ATTAACAATTCTTTCACCAACAGAAAACCAAATTATCAGCAAGAAAAATGGGCTAATATAATATCTCCGCACAGACAAAAGTTTATCTATGTGGATTGGTATTTTGTTTCGTTTTTGTCTATTCTCTAAACTTTTTTCAAGATAGATTTCAAATAGAAAAGAACTACAAATCGAATTTATCCGAAGATCTATTGAGTCTTGTCAGCGCCTTTGTGTTTCTATCTCCTACTTGCTGTGCCCAACAGGGTTTATAATTAGAGTCGTTTTAATATCTACCAACCACATTATGGAATGTAATGAGAAATAAATAATGAATAAATAAAAAATTTCAGTCACAGCATTAAATTTTGCAACAAAAAGTCTGAAACTTGCTTTGTTACTAGATACTTCATCATTTACGTGCTTAATTATTAAAATATGTAAATTTGTTATCTTTACTTGAGCATACCAAGAAATAATTTGGCACGTAAACAATAGGGAACACAATAGTAGCAAATTTATTGTCTATTTAAAAACACAATGATATAATACCACAAATTCTTCTAACTATCGTTTGAAGCATGAATAAAGCGGTGACGCAAGCGAATCTGCAAAACGAAATGTAAATAGCACTATGGACTCCAACGATTGCACATTTGCCACTGACAAATTAATAATAATCAATTATGTTTTATATAGAATAGGTACTTTAGATTTAGACTAAAGAGCAATTATAGTAAAAGATAGTGGTCTAAATTATAACTATAACATTATAGTAGACGCGTAAATAATCTTATGAAACTTTTCACAACATAATACATACTTATATTTTTTACTGTATTCAAGAAGAATGAATTGTATTCAACCATAATGACATAACAACATAATGAAATGCGCTCTGATGGAATTTAGATAAAAAAAAACATATACATACGTGGTAAGGGGTCTATAGAAATCTTAAAATACAAGTTATGAAAGTTCCCCTCATACACCTTCTCATCTTCACATTGGCAGATAAGTAACAAAGTAATAATATACTATTTTAGATATTTGACTATCTAAAACATAAATTTAAAAAAATCCTATAAATAATTCTATAGTTCTTTAGTTATAATGTTCACAAAAAGTGCTAACTGGTTAATCTGATTCAGGTAGCTGTTTATTCATTGTAAAATAATATGGCAGTATTGGATTCCACTAAGCCAAATGTTACGTTCTATTTAGTGAGGTAATGTGAAACTTACTTCACACTGGATATGAAGCTAGTGGCGCGTTAACATAATGGATGGATGGACAAAAGGTGCAGAATTACAGGGACGAAGCAGAGGTATGTGGAGAGGCTCATAATAATACACGTAGGGACGGGACGGAAGCCCCATAGAGATGTCATTTACACAAGTAGAACTGTATCCTTTCTAGTGCATTTACATTAAACCAAAGGAAATAAGACATAGTTATTCATTAATTTAATTCGTTTTAAATCCATTCAACCTTTTAAGAGTGGCTGAGTAACAAGTATCTAAACACCTAAACATCAATAGAAACTTTCACCTTTATAATATCGGTACGAATAGGATAATATACAGGGAGATACTGTTTTTCACCACTGTACAACCTGCTCCAAACTAAAATTCCATCCCAACCATCTGAATGTATTGTGGTTCTCCACCGTGCGTCTTTCAAGGCACTTTCTTCGATGCACAACCACTTTAAAATCAACTTCCGGCATCAGTATTCTAAACAAATTGCCGATTTCGGAAAAAACAGTTTAAAAACCATTAGACATTTAGATAAAACATCCTTTTGGTTCTAATTTTTCATTCATTTCAAAAATCTTATTTTTTAATATCTTTATCATTTCAAGTAGATATAATAAATATACTCTGCATTATACACGTCACTTGTCTAGGTATATAAATTTTATTGATTCCAATGATTGAGTTATGCGCCCTTCAGTACACAGAATTTCATGTTAAATACGAGTATAAATATATATTCCCTTATTTAAGTACAAATGACTACGCAGAATTTCATTTTAAAATAGGATTCTTGTATTAACAAATCGGATAGAAACACAAACTTTCTTAGAAATGTAAATGACGTCTTGAACTATGAACTTTCATGTATCCATGTTTACTTCTATAACTCCAAACTCGACACGTTTCTAAACTAGAACAATAAAAGTATTAAAAATATGTTGGTTACTGGCCAACAAAGGGCCCGGCTGATGCATATTTCATCGGCCGCATTCCATACTGAACCACAAATTTATTCGACAACATTTGCATCACAAATTACAATGACGCTCCACCTATAAACTTCTTAAAGCAAAACCAATGAGCGCAGCAATGTAACAGCTGATCAGCGTTACAATGTCGGGTCAGGTGTTTGGTAAAGGCGCTGGCTGGCCAGGTCGGAGTATCTCAAAAACAGGTTTTTCCAGTCAACTCATGTATAAAATATTGGCTATTGTATGCCAGATTATGTACGTATGTACCCGGCGGTATGATCTTGCAATATTTTGCATTGTTTTCAACAAAGTCTTGAAAACATTCAAACCTCTAACTTATTTTTTGCAAATATTACGTCTATCTTGAAGAACCACCTTGAGTTCTACAGCAATTAAAATTGTTCGATTAGTCAGAAAGAATGACGTAGCGTGGAGTCGCGTAATTAAATCGTAAATGCAATATTATCAAGTCAGTACTAGTAACTATTGATTAAATTATCAATTCCTATTACGTAAACCAATTAAGTAGTTGTGTAGTTGATTCCAGATATCTAGTTCTAAATGTATTAATCTTAGTAAACTCTATGTTAACTTTATCAAGACGTTTACAGTTTAAATTAAATACGAATGCTTGAGATATTAGAAGGATTTACATTTTTATAATCGATCTTCGATTACTCTATTCATCATATCAGAAAAAGTGAACTTTATAGAAAGCCTTAAAGAATTCTTCTCCTTTTTGGCAGTAATTTAACGTTATTTTAACACGACAATATCATGGTATAAGCGAACTAATCTGATAATGAAGGACTCAAGGTTGGTCACCTTAAGAACTCGTAAACTACGCATGATAAATCCGTCATGTTTGTGCTCATTTAATATGTAGCGACAAAAACTGTAATCCTGTATTGTGCCTTAAGCCTGACGAAACCTAAAAGCTTAAAAATATTTTTAAACAGAATTGTTATTAATGAAATAACAAGCCCGATAACATTATTATTTGATATTATAATTCCATTGAACATTACGTATTTACTCAACAACAAAGTGGCTAATTAATGGATAATGATTTTATATTATAGATGCCTAGGAACTCGAATTAACATTGAAACAATGTTATGGTACGGTTTATGGCCTACACACAATTGGATGTTATTTGAAGCTGTAGTTATAAAGAAATGATGGTGTTTTGTGTACAACTAGTTCCATTATATCTACGGACAAAAATTCCCGCGTCCATTTTCTCAATATTAACTTTTTTCCATAATAAAATCCCTAAAATTTTTCTCTACAACGCATAAAAGTTATCTATTGATGGATCCATGATTTACACAAGGGGAAACTTTGTCTATAGACTAAATATTCTTCGTAGAAACGTACCACGGCTGCACAGGCCTATAAAGTAATACTTAAAAAGCATAAACTTGACTGCAATCTGGCTCTTGCGTCATACCCATTCTACGGATCATCGCTGCAGCTGCCGGTTCATAGACCTTTTAACGAGAATACCCGCTACTATAAAATATCTCAACTCACAAACAACAAAGATTCTTAGCATAGATAAAACGCACAACATTAGACAGGTTCCCGAATCCTATGATATTTAAAAATGCAAACAAAATACAACTTCGAAAGGTTGGCATTTATAAAATTTTAGTGATAACTTTAATCATTACCTAATTATAACTTCGCTAATGTCTTCTTCTAAATTAATGATAAGTGTCAGTTTTTAAAGAAAAAAAGCCAGTTTCGGTGTCCCGTTAAAACTACTAAAATTACGGCGAACTCAAGATCATTATCATCTTTTTAAGAGAGTAATCAACCTGTGACACAGTATGTTTTTACCCAAAGGCTGAAAAACGACAAGAAAATTAGAGCTTTGACTTCAAAAAAAAGTTCTCAATTCCATTTTTTTTTTTGTTTGTTACATTATAACTCCATCAATCTCAAAATGTTTACGTTTTTCAACCCATATTTCTCTAGGAATCAATTTTACTGATACGTAAAATCCTATATATAAGAATATTAGCAAAGATGGTCGTTTCGATTCGAATGTTTGTTACTCAATCACGATTTAACCGCGAAATTGAATTCGATTGATACGTGCACAGAAGGACCACATCCGACAATTTTATACTAATCTACGCAGATGTCGCTAAATATAGCCAGTTAAATCTAATTGCAGTTGCAATAAATGAAGAGAGACATCGGAAACCCAAAATACTCGTAACTAATTTAAATTTATCTAAAGCGCATGCGTAGTATTATGGGATCGAGTAAGCAAACAATTGGGAATTAAATATCTATCAAGAAACACAAAATTCTGTGTAGTGCAGTGATCTTGTTCGTAAGTAGATACCAATATATTTGACAAAAAATAAATTAATTAGCAATATAAATATATACCATCAAAGTAATGGAAATTACCTATCACTTTTCGCCATAATGTGACGTCTTACCTGTCAAAATGAATTAATAAAATATGCAAAAAAAAAAAAGTGTTCTATGAAAACAATATTTCTTCTTACATTGTAAACCGTACTTTGACAGTAGGTCGACGCGGGATCATTGACGAATTACGAATGAACGATCTTAACTTAGTCTTATTTTGATCGTATTAGAAGCTGCATAGATATTCCAATAAATAAAATAACCCATAACATTTGTAAACTTAAAATTGTCGAATATAGTAAGTACTAATATACTATCATTAGCAGTATATTCCGCAGTAATTACAGCTATTATATTGTAATCATTAATTGGAGTATTACGCAACAATCCGAATTATAGATAGTGGGATCGCACGGTCAGTACAGATAAGTCGAATTCATACGCACTAATGGTAACACTAGCACTATTGCCTCGTGTATAGTGTAGCGTCGTAACGTAAACAAACAAATAATATGTACTGTAAGTAACTACACCATTTTACCTGCACGAGTGATGTTCGATACATTCGGACTGGAGAACTAACGGTAAATGAATACAAACAACGGCCGGTGAAAGCGTAGAGGATTTTCAACACAGTGAAAGCCAGTAGTACGGTACACCTGCGCCGCGTCGCCGGACAACATAACCTCAAAAATGTCGTTCGCCATAGCGTCTCTGGTGGTTCTGACGACAGGAGCAGCCGTTTATTGGTACATGAACAGACATAAACCAATAAAATATATATTGAGTGAACTGAAGTACACGTTGGACATGCAAGGGGCTGGCGTCGGCGGTTTAATCGACGATTGGGTGAATGTAAGAAGAAATAAAATAGTGTTGCCAGATGCAGAGAGAAAAGTTGCCGTAGTGACGGGCGGAGCTCGCGGCATTGGCACTGAAGTGATAAGAGGATTGCTCAAAGCAAACATGACCGTTGTTATGGGAATAAGGAAGCCCGAATTGTCCAAAAAACTATCTGAAACTATGGATAACGGGGAAAATTTACACGCGTTTCACCTTGATTTACAATCTTTGAAATCTGTCAAACAATTCGCTGACAATGTTTTGAAGAAATTTAATGAAGTGCACATTCTAGTCAACAATGCAGGAATTATGTTTGGTGATTATAGTGTAACAGAAGATGGCATTGAAACCCAATTGTCAGTTAATCATATTGGTCATTTTTATTTGACACATTTATTGTTGCCAGCATTGAAAAGCGCAGGTAAAGTTGGGGAGTCTGCGAGAGTTGTGAATGTAACATCATGTGCGCATTATCCAGGAAAAATATATTTTGATGATATTAATATGAAAGAACATTATGACACCACCGCAGCATATGCCCAATCAAAATTAGCACAGGTATTATATTCAATATACTTATAATAATATATTTAAATAAAAAAACAAAGTAACCCAGTTCCACTGCTAAAGTGGGTCAGACATCTATTATGGAAAATTATATAGGTAAAAATCTGTACCAAAAATGTATAAAAACTGGGCCCAGTCAAAATAGACAATAAAATATAGAAAAAGTGAATCCAAAACATATTTAAATTTAACACTACTATTTTTTTTTTTCTGGCACAATATAAATCTAGAATTCAACATTTGTAACACAAAATAAAACATGACAGAACATAAATCACAGAAGATTACTAAATAAACATTGCAATATGTGGTTTTTCTTGACAGTCATTTTCATTTAGAAATCATATGTCTTATGCAAATTAAAAAAAAAAACTTGAATTTTATAATTCATTGATTTGTTTAAATTATTATAACAAAATTAAAATAGGACCAAAAGCAAACAAAAATTTTGTTTAATTTTGGTTTATTGAAATTTTTTAAAGTGTGTGTGTAATGTCATATAAAATAAAAATATTAATTGAAAACATTTGTGTGCCAATAGATGATTTTGTAAATCATCTATAATTAATCTTATTATACTGCACTTTTAATAAACTATAAGTAATGAATTTACATTATCAGATAATTCCTTCCTATAATGTTCTAAAACATGTTTTTCTTTGTTACAGTTGATGACTGCAAGATATATAAACAAACTGTTAGAACAAGAAGGCTGCCCGGTCAAGTGCTATGCTGTTCATCCAGGAATAGTCAACACCGATTTATTTGAGAAGACACTCTTTAAAAAAGCTTTCCCTTGGGCTATGAGAATATTTTTTAAATCGCCAGAACGGGGAGCTATATCTATACTTCACGCTTGTTTCAATAAAGACTTAGAGAACAAAGGTGGTCTATATATAAGCAATTGTATAGAAGGAATTAGTAATAGTTTTTCAAAAAATACTGAACACCAAAAAAAATTGTTTGAAATATCATGTGAATTGATTGGTATTGACATGAACATGTATGGAAAGAGTGTATGATAAAGTCATTATTTTAATCTAGATAATAATAGAGGCAAATAATATTTATAATAGTTTTAATTACTGTAACTAGCAAAAAATTTATATAAAATTGTGTAAAATGGAATATTTAAAATAAATATATTAATTGAATAGTTTATATTTTAATTATTATAAGCATAACCTTTCCTTAACATACTAATATTAGAAATGTGGAAGTGTGAATGTTACTCAATCACATAGAATAACTGAGTAAATTGAAATAAATATTTGGTACACATATGGGATTAATATAGTAACATATATGTTACTTATTGTAAATTTTGTATACTTTTCTATTAATTTATACTGACAAAACCACAGGATACAACTAGCAGTTATTTGTACATGTAAAACAATGACATGTTAGTACATAGTGTAGTTATGTGTAATTATTCTGTTATCAAAGTTTACATTATCTAACCAACCATAATGTAAGAAGTAAAATTCCTAAAATTAATTTATTTATTCAGTCAAACCATTATCTAACCACATGTATGAAGCAGTTCAAACATTATGCTAAACATGATACATACTTGGACATAACTACCACAGCTAATTTAATTATTATTCTTCGAGCAGTGAATGGCTGTTTTTGTTAATTTTATCTTATTGTGCTTTAGGTACTTCTAGTCATTGCATTTAATTGGAATTTATACAATAGAGTGTGAGGGAAAATATTACACATTCAATGACATAAACTGGTAAATAATAAATAAGCATGTTTGTTATTAAAATAATACCATACTGTAATACACACAATACCTGGGATATTACATGCATTACCGTGGGTAATATGCTAGGTATTGCAGGTGTTCATAGGCTATGATGATCGAACTCAGTGGTATAAAAAAAAAAAAGAAAACCATACATTCCACAAAGCTGATGACTATAAATAAATACAATAAGGAAACATTAATAATACTACTATAATTTGTTTTTGTTCCTTGAAAGAACAGTAAATAATCTTGATGTATTCATTAAAAAGATTGTTTTACAAAAAAAACTTCAATTGTGGTAAAACCAGTTATTGCGATTTAAAAACAAAACAACACAACTGAACATATTTTGATAAAATTTTTATAGTACTAATATGCAAGTATAATCTTTCAGAATTATGAGGTAATGTTGAATGTACAACATAATTCAGAACTACATTTTAAAGTTGCTTGAGATTTAATAATTATAAAAAAAGTAACTATGATAATGCTGTATATGCTATTATATATACAATAATGATAGTATTATAAACAATTTATTCAAGAATCTCTTTACTGTACAATTACTCTTATTTTCTGCAGTTTTATTTTGTTGATAAGTGTGCCAAATAAGAAAAAATAGTATTTTTCAGTGATAAAATTTTTTATCTCAGTTTTTTTTGAAAATTCAATTTCTTGGATTTTTTTTCTTGTCAGAGTAGTAAATGAATAGACAGATAACCATAAACACTTGCAACATGAGAGGAATTGCTTAAAATCTGTAAATTTTAGTTACATGTCGCAATATAAGATACTTTTTATCCTAACTCCACAAGAAAAACTGCAAGACAGAACAAATAACAAAGTACTCACCTGCTGAAAAATCCAGATAACCCCTTTTTCTTTAGCTTCGACTGATCCTGATCTGATGTGGTAGTTTCTGGTACTTCATCCTCTTTCGAAGCACTAGACCCGAGGGAGCACTCAGACAGACTCGACACAGTGCTGGAGAATGAACCACCGTCTTTGCCACGCTGGTGACCACTCACACTACCACCCCACTGTAATGTACTTTTCGGGGAATCACTTGTATCACTTTTCTCACAGGTCGACAAAGAAAAATTACCCTCATCACTGAAACTGCTCTTTTTCGATAACTTATCAACGTCATCCGAGGTGTCTTCTGGCGGTTTCTCAACTTTTGGACTCACGAAGTGCAACTGCTTTGTTATTGGATTGTATGCTAGTTGCATATTATCCAGTGCTTCACTCAGGCGCATCCCGCCTTTTTGGCACGGCGTCGACATTTTTAGATTCGAAATTTAATCACTAATTTGAACTGTATAAAAACAGATCACATCTAATAGGAATTACAGATTTTCCTCTTGTTGTATACATCATTGGAAATTAATTGGGTACTTGCTTTAATTTGATGACCACTCCAATGTGTTATTTGCTTTTATTGTTTAGAAAAACATCATAGAATAACAACATCCATTATTAAAGGTTCGTGCGTAATATTTTACACTATCATTTGCGGATATTGTTAGGAATATTAACAAATAATTCAGTAATAAGATCACAATAATTACTATTTACATTATAAGAAATATTTTTATATTTTTATTCTATGAAAATAATTCGTACTAATCTAAATTAATAAAAATCACAAAGCAACTCAACACACCCATCACCTCATAATTTCCACTCTAAATAAATTGAAATAAATTGACATTTGCTCGAGTTTGACATTTTGTATTGCATTCGTTTAGTTCAGAAACGTTCACATTACCTATTACAATTTACAAAAAAGGGTACATTGATAGATGTGGAGTTTTACGGGAGACCAATAACGTTATTTTATATTTAAATATTTTATTACGTACAATGCCACAAAGATCATTTTAGTGAAAAGACAAAAGTATTTATTTTTCTAATAAATTGAGCTATAGATTTATGGCCGTGTACGACCTGTTTCTTATATACATAAATTGAAAATAGGTGACCATTGTAATATATTGTTTTATGTCGATAGAATATAATATAGACAATCTTATCAAGATAAGTCAGCTAATTAGCCAACTAACAATATTCATTATGTAGGTAGGTATTTCATTAGTAGTAATAACCACCTTATTCATAAAAACTAAAACGTATTTTAACTATTATAGTGTTTTGTCCCTTTCTTTCAAACTTAGAATTTAACATAAAGGAAAAAGACAAAACACTTTATTAGGCGTCTGACTGTTTTTTTAAGAGCATCAATATGTATAAAATTTCTGAACGATGTAAATATTTGCGTTTTGTTATTACATTGTGAAGTATTCTACACTAAAACTTGTTTTGATAAGAGGACAAGGATGTTCATAAACCCCAGAAACAGCAATGGCAATGATATTATGTGTATTGGGTATATTTTTTTTAATAGGTGATAATGGTATGGTAACCCCACCTGCACTATTGGTATACACTGGCGGGACACCAGTAATAGATGACTGATGAGGATGAAAGCAGGTCAGTTAGCCCAGGGGGAACTACCTAGAGGTCGACCTGATAGGGTATATTGCTAATAATGGGGCTATTTGGCTCCATTACTAACAATTCCTTTTCCCCTGGGTATTGGGATATCATAGTATATTCTGTGATGTTCATGGTCTGTTCATGCTATAAGAGATTTTTTAATGGGTGATAATGCAATAGTAACTCCGCCTGCGCTAACGGTATACGCTGGCGGGGCACCAGTGATAGATGATAAGTGACGATGAAAGCAGGTCAGTTAGCCCATCGTGACGAATTCCACTAGAATTAACCACGATGGTTTCCAGGGGGAACTACCTAGAGGTCGACCTGATAAGGTATAGTAATATACCCTATTAGGTCGACCAGTACTACTAAGTAATAAGACCAGTAGTACTAGTAAGTAATGGGGCTATTTGGCTCCAATACTAACAATCTCTTTCCCCCTGGGTATTGGGTATCATAGTATATTCTGTGATGTTCATGGTGCTGTTCATGCTATAAGAGATTACCATCTTGCATGTCACAGAGGTAGATGCCACCTCATTTTAATTACCATTCTAAGTATAAGAATAATAATAAAAAGAATCACGTTTATAATATTAAATAAAAAACTGTGTTTAATCAAAATAATTTATTTTCTGGTGTCCCATTCATTAATTGAAAACATTTAAATATTTAAAAATATTTTTTCATTACATGGTCTTTTTGTTATCAACAACCTTAAGTTTATTCAAAATTTCCATCATGTCATTATAAAACTAATATTATAAAAATAGATTTAAATATAATACAGGTGAATATTTACAAGTTAAAATTACATTCAATAACAAAACATAAGTATATTGATCACTCGCAATTTACAAGAAATGCATAGCTAAGAAAGTTTATAGCAGTGTCTTTTTATTTTTCACATAATAGTTGGTAGTCAAGTCTTTGGTTATCTTGATTGTTTAGCATCAGTAGCACCTAATTCCGGAAATAGTTCTATTATGCACAAATCCAGTAAGTTGTACACAAGCTGAAAAAAAAATTTAATTATAATACAATATTGAGTAAAAATAGAGATAAAAAGATGAATTCAATGTAGTGTTTGGAAGCCACTGGCAACAAAGTATAATGAAGTTAAAATAATGAAATTGAATGTCAATGAGTATTTGCTTCTGTAATGTTAAACCTAGTCTGTAACGGCATTTCTGTAGGATTCCATTACAGGACGCATAAGGAGGGCGGAAGAGATGATATCTACTTTTCCTCTATTATCATCCCACTCCTGTAAGCATCATAGTGTATTTATGTCTTTAGAAAATAGTTACCACTTTTTATTGGGTGACCAAGTACTTTTGTTAGAGCGAAAATAGATGGTAATGGGGCCTAACATCGCCATTGCTTATAATCAAATTTTACTAGTACTATTCTATCAGATTGATTTCCAAGCGCGAGTGGAAACTATTGTGGTTAATTCTTCTTTTTTTTATACAACTTGGAATGGCAAACAAGCTGACGGCCCACCTGATGGAAAGTGGTAACCGTTGCCTATAGACATGAGCAGTACCATGGACATAACATACTATACTGTTTCGCCCATGATACCCCCCATGCGTTGCCATTCCTGAGGACTCAGGTATTATTCCTCAGTACCCAGTAAATTCACGCCATATCCCACCCTTCAAACCGAAACACAGCCATGCAAACACAACTGCTTCACGGTTAAAACACGAATGGGACAGAGGTACCCAAGCAATCGACTTTTGTACAAAGTCTCCCTCTGGTCTTGAAAGCAAGATTAATATTAGTCATTAACTATAATGAGAAAATCACCCCGTTTGATATTCTAAATTTATATTTTTACTAGTGTTCTAAATGTGAAAGGGAGTTTGTTTGCCATCTTGCAACGCCCGAGCAGCTATATACATATAAAATCACTATGAATTTTAGTATACATGTACGTATACGGGACAGAGAAGGTTCTATGCTCATTTTTATCCCGATCACGCGGACGAAGGCGGTGAAAAGTACTAGTGAAACAAAACAGCGAGGCGCTAGATAAGAGCGAGACCTGTTTGTTGAGGTGCGGCTGCTGCAGCAGCTCGAACACGCCGAGCAGCGCGCCGCGCGCCCGCAGCCGCGCCGCCGCCACTCCCACGCGAGCCGCCGCACGCGACCGCACGCGTTCTCGAGCCGCCGACGAAGCCCGTTCGCGGACTCGCGAACCGAACAGCAATTCTGCAACCGTTCATATGCTGTGTACACTCTACAACCTTCACAAGTCTACATGAAGAAATTTCTAGTAGTAGTCGTCATCGATTAGGAGTTAAATGTGGACTCATCTAAAAAATGGCCAACTGGAATATATATATATATATATATATATATATATATATATATATATATATATATATATATATATATATATATATATATGAAACAAAAAGACGACGTCTGTTAAACACCAACGATCAATGCGCAACTGTAAGACTCAGAGATAAATCAACGATCGGAACTACCAATAATAGGACAGCAAACGGAGTTACTCCCGCACAAATGAAATAAAAATATACAATATTATAAATCAATAAAAACATAAATAAAATCGTAAAATTTAGAACAGTAGTAAATTTCGCAGGAGATGTACACACCGTGTCCCAGCCTGATGAAGTGAGCTAGCCTAGGCTGCGGCAGCAGGCGAGCGAGTGTCCGCTGCAGGAACACAGCGACTACTGCATCCGCCAGCACACGCGTCCTGCCCAGTACAGCACCCACCACGCGCGTCAACACGTCGCCTCCGTGAACTACTTTTATTACTAGAATAGAAATCGTGAAAATACTCTTTTTAATCGTCATTTTTTTAAAGATTTTGCAGCTGTTAATATTATTATCTTTTTTTTTTTCACAACAAACGTCCCTGACAAACGAGCATGCGGCTCATCTGATGGTAAGTGACTACCACCGCCCATGATCACCCACAACACCAACGGCATTGCAGATGTGCTGCCGGCCTTTTAAAAAGGAATATGCTCATTTCTTGAAGGTTATGTTGTCGTATCGATTCGGAAATACTGCTGCTGGAAGTTGATTACAAAGAGTGGTTGTGCGTGGAAGAAAGTGCCTTGAAAGACGCACGGTGGAGGACCGCCACTCGTCTAGATGGTTGGGATGAAATTTTAGTTTATGAAGGGTTGTACAATGGTAAAAATCAGCAGCAGGTATCAATCCGAACAATTCCTCAGAGCACACCCCATGATAAATTCGGTAGAAGATGCACAGAGATGCAACATCTATTAGTATCTAATATGAACCCACAAGAAACTCAACAGTAACTCTTTCCAAATATAGTAGTCTGAATTAATATAGTTATTTAAAAGCTCATGCTATAATCAATATCACAATTTTTATGATTTTAAGAAGTAATTTTGGTAAGAACCCTCAATGCTGTGTAAAAATAAGCACTGAAATAAAAAAGTTTTACACATTCTTCAGAAAATTTATAAAGAATACTATGTACCTACATCTTTTTTAATGTTTACATAAACAACAGATAGTTTTAAAATGTTAAAAATATTTCACTTAAATATAAATATTGGAACTTTATTGTAAATAGCTGAAATAAAACGCAACTGACACCTTTTATGGCGGGAAATCCATAATGTCATATTAAAATAACTTCAAGTAAAAAAAAAAAAAATACAACCAAGCCAGACTTAAGCTAGTGGTTTCATTATATTTGAAACACTGAACAAAATTTAAATAAAAAAAATGAAGCTATTGTTGTTTTACTAATAAATAAATAATTATTAAATAATAATTAAATAAATCTTTAGATTATTAATCATTCATTAAGTTTTAAATTACTTATTTTAAACAGTTGAAATAAATATTTAATATATATGTAGTTAATTACTTTTCGGCCATTTCCACACTAATGATGAACCTATTATTGTTTATTTATTTTTACTTTATAATACATGCTAATAAGACATACCGATACATGACAGTAAAAAACAAATGTTAAATATGTTATTCACTATATAATTTACAAAATGACTTACAAAAAAACATAAGGCAGTCTGTGAAGCCTTCAGGTGCGCGTTGTAGCGTGGTCCCCATGGTACCCACCCCCACTCGTCCCCCGCGGAGGCCGAAGTTGTCCCCGAACACGCCTCCGAGAAAGTCCCGCGGCCGCCGTGGACCGGGCGAGGGGACAGCCGTGGGGACTGTTGATTCCTCATTCACTTCCACTGCCTCCTCCACATTTTGTGCGGTTCCTTGTTTTCTGCAAATTGTTATAGCCTTTTTTAGTATTATAAATGAGCAAGTGAGTTTGTTTGTTGCTTGGCGCTTTACCAATTATCACGAAATTTGGTATACATTAGGGGTGGATAATATATAGCAATGGGGGGAAAGGGACTGTCAGTAATGGAGACTGAGAATCCCATTGCTAGCAATATAACCCAACCAGGTCGACCTCCTCGCGGTTCTCCCTGGAAACTATCATGGTTAATTCCTTGTAAATTCGTCATGATGGGCTAACTGGCCTGTTTTCATTCTCATCTATCACCCTTCACTGGTGCTCCGCCAACGTATCTCGTTAGCGCAGGCGGGGTTACCATACCATTTTCACCCATTAAAAAAAATGGGATCTTTATATATAAATAGTATAATACACTTAACTAGACGACAAGACCGTCATACACATACAATTAAAAAAATAGAGATAACAATATGTGTTCTTCAAAGAGGATGTGTTAAGATTTCTTCAGGGTGGACGAAATGCACGTGAAACCCATGTGTCGCTGGCGTCAATACTAGCATACCGTTTTCCAACAGACAGGCTCTCTCAGGGTTTGTGATATAAAAAAATACTTACAGCGCTTGATACCGCTCTAAATCCGATGAAAACAGCAAATTCCTTAAAAAGCTTTCCAAGTGCTGCCCTTTTTCTTTCCTTAGTTTGTGTGTGACGGACTGGTATAGATTCGCTAAGTCTGTACTGTTAGCGTTGAGGGTCGACGCCTGGACCACCATGGAGAACTCTCCATCGAAGGTGAGGAACAGATGGAGAAGCTCACTCGTTTGGAGAAGACTCTTCTGCAGTAATCTTTGAAGGAAGTCTTCGTATTTATACCTAAGTGTTTCAAGGGGACTGTTGTCTCTGAAAGTTGCAAACAACAAATTGATGTAATAATCATGTATAGAATATTTTAAATAATACTAATATTATATAAACAAAAAAAAGAGTTTGTTTATTTGTTACCTCTTAACACTTTAAATGCTTAACCAATCACTATGAAATTTAGTATGCACGTACTATGTGAGATAGAGCAAGGCAAGCTACTTTTTATCTTCCAGTCACGCGGAAGAAGTCGCGGGTTAAAATTAATATTACATAAATAACAAAAATTGTGTTGTGTCGCACTATTATTAATGTATTACGACCTTACTCTATCCCACGTGATGAAATTGGCACACTTGCCACTTTTATTTTCTATCCAATCTAGCCAACAGTTTTCCTATTTACCAGAAGGAGACTTTGTACAAAAGTCGATTGCTTGGGTACCTCTGTCCCATTCGTGTTTCTACTGTGAAGCAGTTGTGTTTGCATGGCTGTGTTTCGGTTTGAAGGGTGGGATATGGCAGTGAATTTACAGGGTACAGAGGAATAACACCTGAGTCCTCAGAAATGGCAACGCATGGGGGGTATCATGGGCGAAACAGTATGTGTGTGTACTGTTATGTCCATGGTACTGCTCATGTCTATAGGCGACGGTTACCACTTTCCATCAGGTGGGCCGTCAGCTTGTTTGCCATTCTAAGTGGTATAATAAAAATACAAACATGCACATTCACACATAAAACACATTTACATACATACACTCATACAATTATAAACACACATATGTAATATATACCAATATATAAGTAAATATATACATAAATACAGTTTTAATATTTTCATATACATACATAAAAATATATTCAACGCATAATATTATAACGAGCGGTTAACGCACCGGCCCGGGTCCGTGCATTCACTCACTGCAGCGTGCATCGAATTGAATATTCATGTCTACAGGCGACGGTTACCACTTTCTATCAGGTGGGCCGACAGCTTGTTTGCCATTCTAAGTTGCATAAAAAAATATATAATTACTTATTGGCAAGCAATGCTATCGCAGATTGCATCTCGTTGGGTTCCTCACATACTGCACTCATTCGCTCGCGCGTCGTATAAAACTAATAGTGCATTTTCTATTGCGACACCGATTTTTTTTATTCCTACACACCTGATTTTATATTGAAGACAGCCGACACCTATCTAACATGTCCCCTCTAAATATCCTATAATATGTTACCTAGATATTAGAAGTTTACCACATATTATGTAATAGAATAAACTACTCACTCATACTACATTTACAGTGCATAATTGGTTGTTCACGAAACTCACCTTCTAGAAGGCAACTGTAGATCTATAAACAGTTTGTCTCCATGAAACTCGTGTAATTTGCTTCTCAGTAAATGAAAATCGTGCTCGCTCCGCTCCACGGTCGATAAGCTGACCGAGGAACTAGTCTCGACGCGGTGTACCGCTAGGGTGAATACTCGGACCGTTCCTCGTCTTGGTGGTAATTGCTAGTAAAAAAATTATACGTAAGTAGATTAATTTATTAATATTTATATAATTAATCGCATAGGCTAATAATACATACAGATAACACTTTTATTTTAATATAGACAAATTAGGATCAATGAGAACTGAATAACTGAGAAATCCCTAACAGTGGGTATGTTTTTGTAATTTCATTTTGCATCATTTACTTAATAAAATTTAATGTGCAAATTTGCCTCCATAACAGAAATTTTTGACAGTATATACCGTTTTCAATTTATAACATTGTCATGTAAACTTATTTATTAAAATTTATCAATCCTTCTATATACCTTACGTCAAAGATCCATATACATATATAAAGGGAAAATGTTCTTCTTCTATCTTCAGAAATAGGGTTACAAACTCACCAATTTTGCTTCAACATTCGTCAGAACGACTTTGTAAGTTCTCAAATCGTGTTCCCTTAGCGTTTGTTCTGCGGCTACAGCGTCCAAATACTTGAGGATGTCCATCTTGTCTCCACCGTCGCCATCTGAGACGTCAGAGTTATTGAAAGAATCCAAAACATGTCCGTAAATTGACTCTGGCCTTAAAGGGATCGTAGGTCTGAAATAAATAATAATATTGTTTGGGAAAGTCACATAATAGGAATATTATTAATGTGAAAGTGAGTTTGTTTGTTACCTTATAGCGTCTTAACAGCTAACCAATAACTATAAAAGTTGGTGGTTACAGGGTACTGGGATATTACATTAGAGTCTTTATGAATGAAATGAATGAAGGGTACTATAGACACAATAGTATACTCTGTAATATCTATGAAGCACTAAAGACGTTCATGTCTATAGTTTACGGTTACCACTATTCTTCAAGTATGCCATCAGTTTTTGTCTATTTATGTATCATAAAAAATGAACCTCCGCAGTGAAATTACAAAATGTAGAATCGTAACACTTACTTCTTAATTGCCTTAATATTTCTCTTTTGATAACCAGTCGGTGATCTGGTACCAACCACGAGTTTGTAAAACTGGAACAAAGAATTTGAAGTAAAAATTAATCAATATTTAATTGGCCTTTATTAATTTGATTACATGTATTATAAATGTAGTGATATTAATTTATGTACTTATGGGTTGGAGAACCTAGATACCAGCTTGAACCCTTGGACTCAGTGCAAAGACGAGCTATAAGAACTGTCGATGATCCCAGGCTTACAAGTGGTATCGAACCCTTAAGTATTAGGAGATATTCTGCCTCATACTAAATGTTCTACCGCTTGTACAATGAATTGTGCTCAGAGGAACTGTTCAATATGATGCCTATGGCTACTTTCTATAATACTACGGCTCGCCATCGACATCGTTCACTTCATACCCTACCTACCTTAAGAGGTTTTGCCAATAGGTGCCATGCTACCCGCACGCAATTTTTATACTTTTAGTGTCCAAGTGTCCAGTGTCCAAGGGGCTAGTGTTCGAGTGTCCAGTGTCTGAGTGTCCAGTGTCCGAGTGTCCAGTATCCGAGTGTCCAGTGTCCGAGTGTCTGAGTCTCCAGTTTCCGAGTGTCTGAGTGTCCAGTGTCTGAGTGTCTAGTGTCTGAGTGTCTGAGTGCCGAGTGTCACTAGACACTCGACACACGGACACTGGACACTCAGACACTCGACACTCAGACAATGGAGACTCAGATACTGGACACTCAGACACTGGACACTCAAACACTAGACACTGACACTGGACACCCAGGCACTGGAGACTCAGACACTCGACACTCAGACACTGGACACTCGGATACTGGACTCTCGGACACTGGACACTCAGACACTCGACACTGGACACTCAGACACTCGGACACTCGGACACTGGACACTCGGACACTCGGACACTGGACACTCGGACACTCGGACACTCGACCACTCGACACTCAGACACTGGACACTCGGACACTCGACACTCAGACACTGGACACTCAGACTCTGGACACTCAGACACTGGACACTCATACACTGTACACTCAGAGACTAGACACTCGGACATTGGACACTCGGACACTGGACACTCGGACACTGGACACTCAGACACTGGACACTCAGACACTGGACACTCAGACACCGAACACTGGACACTCAGACACTCGGACACTCGACACTCGGACACTGGACACTCGGACACTGGACACTCATACACTGTACACTCAGACACTGGACACTCAGATACTGGACACTCGGACACTGGACACTCGGACACTCGACACTCAGATACTGGACACTCAGACTCTGGACACTCAGACACTCAGATACTCGGACACTCGACACTCGGACACTGGACACTCGGACACTGGACACTCAGACACTCAACACTCATACACTGTACACTCAGATACTGGACACTCAGACAATGGACACTCGGACACTGGACACTCGGACACTGGACACTCGGACACTCGACACTCAGATACTGGACACTCAGACTCTGGACACTCAGACACTGGACACTCAGACACTGGACACTCAACATTGGATACTCAGACACTAGACACTCCGACTTTGGACACACAGACACTGGACACTGTTATGGGAATCTCCCTAGGAGGTAGATAAGAAGCAGCGCTCACTCACACCTGTTTAATATTCTTTTACGTATATACTACAATCGCACAATTGCCGCCAAGACCTTGCTGGGAGCCTAGATTTTCTACAATATCGCCACAAAACGTGCACGTCCAAAATTATGATCTGAATAGCAGCGCAGACAGACACAAATAATCGTCTTAATTAAAAAATCGTGAAATTCCACAGAAGAGTATATAAATTGGATAAATTACCTCTTCACTATGTAAAAATCTTGGCAACATTATTTTTTCTAAAATTGCGTGCGATTGCCTAGCGGCCTGGTATAGTGCTCGACTGGTTTGTAATCTGAAACAAGACAGGTATGTTACACAATTCGACAGATACACATTTTTAAAGTAAAGTAAACAAATTAAGATTTTTTATTTTTTTATTTTGACAAGTAATTTTCAATTTAATCGATCTATTAAATAAATTACCAGATTTCAACATATGTAACATATATATGTACATGTCCAAATCGAACTATTAATATTAAATCGCACCTTATTTCTTCCATTTGTTTCCACTAACTTTAGACAAAATTCATATCTCTGGCGTACAAGCGATTATTTTATCTATATAGAGATCTCGATTTCGACTTATTTAATTCTAAGATAAAACACAATACGTGTGCCGAGTCAATGGTTCATCTTTGAACGTGTGATTTCAATTGTTTATTTTGTATAACTGCCTACCTATAATGTTTGGGGGGAAAGGGATTGTTAGCAATAGAGTTTGACAGCCCCATTGCTAGCAATATGCCCTATTAGGTCGACCTCCACGTGGTTCCCCCTGGAAACCATCGTGAACAATTCTTGTTGAATCCATCACGATGGGCTAACTGACCTACTTCATCCTCACCTATCATCCTTCACTGGTGCCCTGCCGGTGTATACCGATAGCGCGGGTGGGGTTGCCATTCATTCATTATCGTCCATTAAACTTATAATGTTTGTACTACTATAATGTTGTTACTCTAAATTTAATTTAGTTCATTGTAAGTATCAACGATGTCATGTGCATTAGCTAAATCTTGTTTTTATTTGTGAAAACCTATAATTGGCTTTTTATATTTAATGTTTTTTTATGAAATTTTCTAGCTTTTTTTTTTATTCAACTTAGAATGGCAAACAAACTGACGGCCCATCTGATGGAAAGTGGTAACCGTCGCCTATAGACATTAGCAGTATCATGGACATAACAGAGTATACTGTTTCGCCCATGCGTTGCCATTCCTCAGGACTCAGGTGTTATTCCTCCGTACCCAGTAAATTCACGCCATATCCCACCCTTCAAACCGAAACACAGCCAAGCAAACACAACTGTTTTACGGTTGAAATACGAATGGGACAGAGATACCCAAGCAATCGACTTTTGTACAAAGTCTCCCTCTGGTAGCTGTTGGTTTTTCTTTATAAAAAATAAAATATATAATGAGGCAGGTATCTATATATCTGTACGTGTCAGGGTGGCTACCTTTTAACAGCGTCTTCCTGATGCAGGTCATCGAGCAGCTGCTCGAGGTCACGCGCCAGGCGCGGCGGCAGCGGCGGCCGCGAGCCCGGGTCCACGTGCTGCCGCAGCCGCCGCGCCTGCTGCAGCAGCTGCGCCTGCTCGCTCGCGTCCAGCTCAGGGTTCAGCAGCTTACACTGGAATACTTCTGCAAATTGCGAAGGGGAGGTAGGAGGATTTTTAGTAATAGGGTCAAATAGCCCCATTATTAGCAATATAGGCTATATTGCTAATAATGGGGTCAAGGGTCAATGGGTCAGGTCGACCTCCACGTAGTTCCCCCTGGAAACCATCGTGATGAATTCTAGTTGAATTCATCAGAAGGGGCTAACTGGCCTGCCTTTTCATTCTTACCTATCATCCCTCATTGGTGCCGCGCTAAGGTATACTTTTAGCACAGGCGGGGCTACCATTCCATTATCATCCATTAAAAAAAAATACATTAAGCCAGTGTTTCCCAACCTTGTTTGTGTCATGCCGCACTTGAACATTTTTAAAATTTTTATGCCCCATACATAATTTTTCCCGATAAAGTTTACTTGACAACTCTAATCGCCCATTTGATATTTAGGTAACGTCCAAACGAAATTTTACCTAATAAATTATATACAGCATTTTTTTAATATACTTTTTTTGTTACATTTGGCACCGATATCTATTCATTACATTTAAATGGCATTTTTTAATCCCCCCCCCCTTAACTATTAAATTGCCCCCTTGTGAGGCGTGGGCCCCACATTGGGAAACACCGCATTAAGCTATAGAATTATTCTATCACATCACTCACTGATATCCTTGTAGAACTGCAACAAATGCATATGGCACGTGGTCTTCATGTATTGCATGAAGGCGTAGAAGTAGTCCTGGTCATTTATAACGAACTCCAGGTCTAGCCGGAGCAGTTTCCCACGCTGACTGTACACAGTGTCGTTGTGGCGTACGAACGTCTCTAGGAACTCTACCTGGTGGATACAAAAGAGCAAGTCAAATATTTCCCATTCATGTTTCTTTCGTTCAACAGCTTCGCATGGTTGTTTCGCTTTAAATGTAGACAACAGAGGTCGCCAGTTCGGAGGCCGACCACATACTCATTTGTTGCAGTATCCGGCCGTAGTACCTTCCTAATGCTCCTCAAATATTGCGTCTAAACTGCGCCCACCATGTACCCTCTTGTATAAGCATTCCGCCACCCGTATCCAATAGCGAGGACGGGATGCCTTAAATACTGTACCGCAAACCATAAAAAAAGGGCGATATCATCATCACCATCATGGAGGCAGTGTATATACAGGGTATGGAAGTATGAAACCTTAGTCTTAAGGAATGGCAATACGTAAATGATACCATGGACGTTAAAATATATTCTGGGTTTTGTGCTATTCATAACTATATGTGACAATTATTACTTTCCAGTAGACACGGTTTCAGTTTCCAATACACAGAGTTTGTTACCATTCCAAATTGATAAAGGTTGTGTCCCAGAAAAAATCAATTGTGACCACACCAGTTATTTTACTCTAAAAATTAAACCTTTCAATAGTGAAATTTATTTTTAAATAAAATTATGATAAAAATTCTAAGGGCATAATCTGTAAGTATATGCTTTTAGATATAAAAAGAACTTTCCAAATCGATTTACTATTGATAGAGTTATGAGGCAACAAACATAATAAAAAAAAATATAATCAAATTGAAAATTTCCTTTTTTTATAAAGTCGGTTGAAAAAAATCACTGTCTAAATAATTCCCCTACTAACATTTGGTAACAAATTTAACAACGTTTAGACTACCTCAAAGATAAATAACATACATAAACATTACATACCCTTTGCATGTATGAATCCTATAAACAATGAATGGCAATGCATGGGGGTATCATGGGCAAAACAGTATACTCTGTTATGTCCATGGTACTGCTCATGTCTATAGGCGACGGTTACCACTCTCCATCAGGTGGGACGTCAGCTTGTTTGCCATTCTAAGTTGCATAAAAAAAGCAATGAATTTCTGTTAAAAATGAATTACACTTCCTCAAAAAATCAAGATTGACTAATTATATATCTTGCAAAGGAATCCCTAACAGCTCTAAAGTTAATTATTATGAACCTTATAACCTTGTTGTTAATAAGGTAATTAATTGCTTATTAAAGCAATACAAATTGTGATAATTAAATTAGGATCGTTAATAACTATTGAGAATACATTTAGACTCTTATATATGATGTGGAACAGTCTTAATTGTACTTCTTTGTATTTAATATTGATTAATTAATAAAAATACATTTTAATGTTGGCAATAGTTGCCACGCTTGGCAGGCTTCTAGAAATGTTTTATGTAGGACGCTGCTGCCTATCCCTTGACCTCCCTTAGTCGACTCTTACGACATCCACGGGAAAGGAAGAGGTGACCTATTCCTATTCTATGTCGAAACCACACGGCGAAGATAAAACAGTAATTTGGCGTATTAATTTAAATTGTTAGGTTAAGAGATAAGTTTTTTTTACGAATTCTAATTGTAGTTTATTTATTTATTTGTTATAAGTTACAATAACAGTTTGCAAACGGAAATGAACCATTGAAAAGAAAATTATTATTAAATATATATATATATATATATATATATATATATATATATATATATATATATATATATATATATATATATATATATATATATATATATATAATTTATGTTAAGAGATGACTACGTGACTGTAATATTTGTTCTATGCTTAATTTAATTTATAATTTATGTACAGAATGAAATTATTGTATCTACTATGACATTCAAATACAAATTTTGTTTATGAATAAATAAATAAATAAATAAAAAGTTTAGAGAAGTGGTGCCTCAGAATCGAGCCCAATATCAACAACGTACCTTATAGTTAGGTGTGGTGGGCAGCTGCGCCATGGTCTCGTCGCCGGTGGCGAGCACTATGATGGTGTTCAGGATGTACGGGTCGGCCAACACGTCCGTCAGCGACAGCAGCACCCAGCCGGCGAAAATTTCTCTTATTAGCACACGAAATACTCTGCAATCGGGCAAAAGACCGCCAAATATACTTCTATGTTTATGTATAAATATTGGCATAAAGGGCATAGTCTTGTAACATACATTGTAGTTTTTTTTTATACAACTTAGAATGGCAAACAAGCTGACGGTCCACCTGATGGAAAGTGGTAACCATCGACTATAGACATGGGCAGTACCATGGACATAACAGAGTATACTGTTTCGCCCATGATACCCCTCATGCGTTGCCATTCCTGGGGACTCAGATGTTATTCCTCTGTACCCTGTAAATTCACGCCATATCCCACCCTTCAAACCGAAACACAGCCATGCAAACACAGCTGCTTCACGGTTGAAACACGAATGGGACAGAGGTACCAAAGCAATCGACTTTTGTACAAAGTCTCCACACATAGTAACCCCTGGTAACCATCGTGGATACTATAGGCATAATAGGGCATCTTATAATGTCAATGATACTGTTCATGTCTACGACGTACGACAAAGACGACGGTTACCACTTTCCATCAGGTGGCCTGTCCAGCTTATTTGCTATTCTAAGTATCATATTTATTAACTGTCTTTGTTCAATAAATTACATTCACATCTAGTTAGTTAAATCTACTAGTCATTGAACAAGACTGAGCCTGTCTCAGTGAATAGTTAAAAAATCTCCTTGGACTTATATAACTAACACAAAAAAAAAAAACTAAAAATACTAACGAGTTTTGTACGTCGTTGTCGTGTAACAGGTAGGGCATGAGCGCGTTGGCGAGGCTCCTGAGGTAGCGCATCTCGGCGGCGCGGCTGCGGGCGGCGGGGTGCGGTGTCCCCATGCCGCCCTCCGCCCACACCGCGTAGTGCCGCAACACACATCCCACCAGCCGCTCCAAGATCAACCGGGAGTAGTCCACCTACATTTGAAGAGAGGATCATTGTTAATGGGCGAAACAGCATACTCTGTTATGTCCATGGTACTGCTCATGTCTATAGGCGACGGTTACCACTTTCCATTAGGTGGACCGTCAGCTTGTTTGCCATTCTAAGTTGTATGAAAAAAAAAAATTATGAAGATAAAAATTTTATACATCGGTGATTTAGAATTGGCTCACCTTAAGAGCTCTTCTGAGCAGACAAGCAGAGGCATATCTGAGCTGATGCCTCAGTTCGTCCACGAAGAAAGGTTGCAGTGTAATCTTGCTGTACCATGTATTTACGAACTGGTCTAATATCGCATTGTAGAACTAGAACAAATATTAAAATATATAAGTACATACAGTTGAAACAGGTGTTCTTTTGTTAACATAATAATATAAGATAGTGTTCCAAAAAAATAAACTTCAATTGTAGCAAAACGTGTTATTTTAAATTAAAAACTAAACGGATTTTGTTAAAACGTATATGGGACTAATCTGTAAGTATATTGTTACAGATTTTTTTTAATGGGTGAAAATGGTATGGTAACTCCACCTACGCTAACGGTATACGCTGGCGGAGCACCAGTGAAGGGTGATAGATGAGAATAAAAACAGGCCAGTTAGCCCATCATGATGAATTCATCAGGAATTAACCATGATAGTTTCCAGGGAGAACCGCGAGTAGGTCGACCTGGTTGGGATATATTGCTAGCAATGGGATTCTCAGTCTCCATTACTAACAATCTGTTTCCCCCTATTGTTTCAGATTAAAAAATAACTTTCCCAATTTTCGGTTTATAACTGACGGAGTTATTAGTAATGAGGTAACAAACATAAAAGAAACACAACCGAATTGAGAACTGCAGGTTCTTTTTTTTGTTATAAATATATATTCTTTATTATACTAAAACATACAGTAATAACAACAAGTTAATAACAATGTTAGCAAAGGCGAACTTGTCTCTAAAAGAGATTTCTTCCAGTCAACCGAACACAGTAGAAACAGTTTCACTTTGCGTCGTAAAACTAAAACAAACATCGCTAGTCTAATATTGAGTTGTACAATTAGAACAGCACATTTATCACCACACAATATATAATTCACAGTGTGTAACGGGTAAACGGACAAGGTAAAATCACAAGCAAAACTCAACAATTATTTCTAACTCTCAATAAATCTCCCTAAGGAACTTTCTACACGAACTTAGCGCCACAGTCATAGCCACCCACCCTCGGGGACGAATAGATTGTCAGTAACAGAATCTAATAATCCTATTGCTAGCAATACACTATATTTTTATTTATTCATACTTTTGCACAAAATAAAATATGTTTACAAGGCGAAATTAATATCTGACGGCATTCTCTACCAACCGTTACGCTAAAAGAGAGTAAGTGGTGGCTACAAAATCAATTAGTAAATAAAATATCTTGATAGGTAACAACAACTATATCAGGATGATTTCCGTATGGTTCCCCCTGAAAAACCATCTTGGATATCAACCTAAATCTATCTTCACCTAACATTATTCATCAGGGGGGAAAGGGATTGTTAGTAATGCGCACTATCAGTCCCGTTGCTAGCAATATACCCTATCAGGTCGACCACCACGTGGTTCCCCCTGGAAACCATCGTGCTGAATTCCAGGTGTATACATCACGGTGGGTTAACTGACCGGCCTTTTCATCTTCACCTATCATCCCTAACTGGTGCCCCGCCAACGTATACCGTTAGCGCAGGCAGGGTTACATTCCATTATCATCCATTGAAAAAAAACATTCATCACTGGTATAATCCACCCTTCCCTCGGTCAAATTTCGACCTAATTAAAATGCAATAAAGCCTAATTTAATTGTCTCTAGCTAAATTTTAATTCAGAGTAATTATATAAGATTATATTGATAATGTATGTGTTATGTATATACATATATATTAGTTTATACAAAACACTACACATTGTAAATTATAAAATAAATATTCATAATGACAATGAAACAATAGTAACCAATGAATTCGTGTTTCGTCATTCCTTAACGTAATATCGACGTCGGCAATGTGACAGACAAATAAAGCGCGGCACAATATTATTCGGTACCAACTCTGAGTCACTCAAAGTGTGATAAGAAAATCAATGTTCAATATACGTCTAAATAACTTATAATCTATGTTAGTCATAACAATCAATTGGAATGTTTTAGAAACAATTTTACATAATATCTGTATGTAAGAGAGTGAGCAAGAAACATATTAAAATATCTGTATAGCTTTCTTGATGTTTTGTTCTTTCACTATCCAAGCTATCCATCTCTGAAACTTTTTACCTTTCCTTAAGATCAGCGCAATCTCTTGCGTCGTTCAAGAGGCAGACAAATTCTCAATACCTATCTCTCTAATTTGCTACATATTATTTACCTTAATCTATTTAGTATATTTATTTTTATATACTATTATTTGTATTATATATGTATGTTTATGTAATTTAATCTTATTTTTATATAAATGATATTTAGAATAATATTTTATTTGTTTTTTTTTTGTATTTGCTGTCTGTCTGTGTAGCCCTGTCTACCTCTCTCTGTATTTATTCACAATAGTAGATTGTTTTGCTAGGTTATCTGTAAGAGATTGCTTTTGGCGATAAGGCAACCTTTTGTGTATGCACATTCAGTATAAATACTCCTATATATTTCGTTTCTCAACAGTTAAAAACCATTCCTTTAAAAAGATAATAATAATTTAAACCTGTTGTTTTTGACTTTGAAGATTTAATAAAGAACTTTAACATGCCATTTTATAATAATTATCTACTGCAAAATATGGCAGATAAAAAATATCTGACTACAGTTATTAACACAAAAACCTTATCCTAAACTGTCAAAATTTTGTTTTATAAGTTAAGGTTATTATTTTAAATGATTCTGTGATTTTTATTATGGTTTCTATGTTCCAAAATAATTTATTGTTATTTTTGAATAACAATAACATTTATTACACATAAATCAAGATTAGATTAACCTATTTTTACAAATCTAGTTATGAAAATTACAATTTTAATGATATATTATAGATAATTATAGATAACAATAAGTGATAATTGTATGTCACAATAACCATATTGTTAATACCAATTAAAATGAGGTATACTGATTAATTCATATCACAGCATGGTTAAATATTAAAACATTTTTAATTTATGAATATTTATTTATTCTTAACTGCACAATAAATTTTTTGTACTTTGTACAAGTGGCGAGCTTAATGCCATATGGAATTCTCTACCAGCTAACCATTATATAAAAACAGAAAGCATATGAAGGGCAGATGTGGTAAAAAATATGTAACATAATTATGGTAATGTACTGAAATAATTATACATGATACATAAAAAATACATATATAATACATAAACATTAATTTTAATACATATCCTAGTATATATGAAATATATACAACAAAACAATAATAAGCATTATGAATATGTAGAAACACATTGACTATTATGAGATTGATTTACAGTGATTAATTAAAAATTAAATATACACTTACTGGGTACAGAGCGCATTAATTTACAGTGATTTTATTCCAAAGACCAATATCAAGGATGATAAAACAATTGAACATAAATCCAGAAATTAATGTAATCAATAAATAATAGAAAACCTTAAATATTATTTAGAAAAGTGCCTAGTATTCAGACAACAAATATATTTATTTATTCTTTAGAACAAAACATGAGTACAAGGCGGACTTAATGCTGAAAGCATATATATTTATATAAAACATAATAAAAATAAAAAGACAAAATATATAAAAACTATACATTTGTGTGTGATGTGTATATGTGTGTGATAAACCTATTATTATTTTACTTCATCTATTATGAATGAAACCTTAACTAATGTATTTCTTTTAAATTAATAAATTTTCTTTAAAATATTTTATTTTAATTAATAAAGTTGCCCGCTGGCCAAAACTTATCTGGCCTATTCTCTACGTCAAGAGTTAGCAAAATATTTCTACATACAAATGAAAAACACCAAAAACTTACATCTTCTATGGCTTGATCTAGTTGTTTATGTATTTGGAGTCCATCCCAGGGCTCCGAAGACAGCCCTGTACCATGTCGAGCACAAGTTTCTGATCCACATGTTGCACAACCCTAAAACATTTTAGTTTATAATAAAACTTATAAAATATTTTTTAAACATTATATGTATAGTTTATAATTAAAAATTTTCAATATGGATATTTTTTAAATCTTCTAACATTATCACTTAAAAAACTATGTTTTGTTATTTTAATTATTTAAATAAACTTAATTATAAGTAGTATTAAATACTCATTTTTTATAATTGTATTGCTAGATTTGGAATGCAGTTTAAACTGAGAACAATCCTAATAAAAACAATATGGAAAACACTAATAAAAAAATTTTTTTGTTATTTAATTTAAATTAATTTAAATAAACTTAATTATAAGTATTAAATAATCATCTTTTATAATTGTACCGCTAGATTTGGAATGCAGTTTAAAGGACATTTTAGAGAACAATTTTTACAGCAGGATATAGATCTTGAGAAGAACTGGCAAGAAACTCAATTGAATTACTTTTTTTTTTTAAAGCCAGTTTATTTACAATGTATATTTATATAGTGATGCTAACATTAAATGAAAATTCTTTGATTGTTTCAAGTAAAACTGAGAATAATCAGCTCTTTTTTTTTAACTCAGCTTTTCTTCTGGTGGGTTACTAACGAAATGGCACTTTAAATTATCCAAGTAATTTTGTAGAATTGTGGAATTTAGCCCGTAATAACAAGCCAGACATCCCAACACATAACTGAAGGTTATAGTTATAAAGTGAAATCTGCAACATTGGAAACTGGGTTAAACAGATTTTACATGGCAAACAACGCCGCCGCTATGTTATCCATATACCCTACCTGTAAAAATATAAAACTGTTAGCGAAACAGATATAACCCCCAAGTAAATAATATATTTTTGATTCTCAAAATTTTCTGTAAACTTTTTTTGACATCTTTCAGTCATGGTTAGGCGAACATTGCAAACAAAACAATGACGTTATAACTTCAACCGTTTGACAACAAATTATTGCCATTAAATAAGTCATAATACCCTACAAGATTTTGCCAATTTTTTATTTTAAGATGAATTTTTGTGATGAGTATATTTCGTTTTTGAATATTAACTGGACAGCAATAGTAAAGATTTTAATAATATTGATACACTAATATATCTCTATAATAATAATACTAATATAATATACTACTTACTGAAAAGTTTATATATTTTGTATAAAAATTATTTAATATTATATACCATATCATATCAGGCATCAATTTTCCACTGCTGTCTGCCTCTCCCTATTAGGGGGTTTTGCCAATAGCTGCCACGCTTGGCAGGCGGGTTGACAACCGTAGTTAAACCTTTTTGGTGATATTTGAAAACGGACGCAACTGCCTATATCTTGACTATTAAGTCTTCTTAATCATCTGTTATAACACTCACGGCAAGACAAATATATACTGTAAGCTTCTAACTGTGCCGTTTTCTTTTAAATATAGTACCTACAAAATTATATATTTATATTTAATTGTATTTATATACTTTGTATAAAAGTATTTAATACTATATACATTCTATAAAAGTTATATTACTACAAATATTACTTATATGGCAAAAAGTTATCAAACTACATCAAATTTACCCCTAATAGTAGAAAATTACCAAAATCAGCAACATTCAATGTTTTCGTCCGGAAATTGTCATCATTTAATTAATAATAATAATTTAATAACTTGACTGAAGATTGATTGACTGATAAGAACTAACTGACGTTTTCATGACATTTCTTTATTTTTTTTCTCAAGTTCTAAACCGACAGATTATTTCCAAAATTATTTAATAAACTAACCTCAATTTTTGACACAAAAATAAAAGAGATTACCTAGGCACTCTATATACTTTAATTATATTTTATAAAATAATAAAATTATCGAATTAAAATATTTTTTTAATTATAACACGTAAGTATAATGAATCTTTTTATGAATTAAATATAAATTATACGATTTATTACTTTTAAAAATTACCTATTAATAAAATATAGTGTACCTAAGAATCATGTGATTAATTTTTTTATACTCTTTATATATTTAAATATAGTTACTTTATTCCCAAATTTTAAGTATTTGCCTTAAAAATGTGTAATTAAATTGACTAACTTGAGGAATATTATTATACGCAGTTGATAATAAATATATCTAATTAAGTAATTATTTTTCAAACCGTTTATTTTATTTTTGATGTTATTTTTTTTTAATTATAATAATTAATCATTTTTCTTTTGCCTTTCTTTTTGTGGATAAATTAATACTACTACTACTCAACAATTTATTTATCTAATTTTATTATTTTCAAATTATATTTTTAACAGATTTTAAAATGGCTCTACAAAGATACTTTCTACAGGCGACAAAACAATACATAATTAAATGTCATATTCTGCAGTCAAATATAAGGCCTTCTTATTGCCAGTTGCATCATCAATACAGCAGTAAAACACAAAGAAAATATACTGATAGGCACGAGTGGGTAATTGTAGAAAAGGAGATTGGAACAGTTGGTATAAGCAAATATGCACAGGAATCTCTTGGAGATGTTGTTTTTGCACAGCTACCAGACCCAGGGTCTTTGGTGTTAGCTGGTGAGGAATGTGGTGCATTGGAAAGTGTTAAAGCAGCTAGTGAGATTTATTCTCCAGTAAGCGGTACAGTGACAGAGAAGAATAGTGAGGTGGAGGACAAACCGGCACTTATAAACACATCCTGTTATGAGAAAGGCTGGCTCTTCAAACTTAAATTGACGAAACCTGAAGAACTAAATGATCTTATGACTGAGGAACAGTATGAGATATTTTTAAAGACTGATGTAGCAAAGGAGAAAGACTCATAAATAATAATTTGTTATATTTTAACTGTTGCAAACAAATGTTCGTAAGCAATCATACTATACCCAACTACAATAATGTAATATCTACAATAAGTTAGTTTGAGGCAGCATTCTCTAAACATATCCCTTACTTGTATAGAACAAAAATAATTGAGGCCTATAAAATCAAAGATGGCTAAATCCAAGTCTGTCAAATGTTCAGGAAACTACACAAACTAATATTTTGTCAAGGATATGGATATATTGTTATAGTCGTAGAATACTGACGGATCTTTATATGTAATATTTGTCAGATCCGTCAGTATTCTACGATATATAGATATGCATATATATTTTATATTTTAAACCAGATTGAAGAAAATATAGAATGTTAGTAATAATTTGAATTTTAATGAATAGAACTTTTATTTAAGAGAAATATTTGAGTACAGATTGAAAATGAAATAGATTTTCTAGTGTTTAGGTGCCTTTGATTTTATAGGTCTCGATTGTTATTTTAGTAAACTAGATCACAGGTATTTTTTTAATATGTAACGGTTTAATTACAATATCATAACCATGATGTAATCATACTGTTAAAGTTTGAGCTCGTAAATCAGCCTATGACTATATATATATAAAAACATCCTATTCATTTTTGGTCTCAAAAATCTCTAAATTATGTAAATCAAACAAGAAATCACACAAATACAAAAATATAATCACAAAAATCTATAAAAGAAAAATTGGTAATATCTGTTTGTAATTTTATATTAGTTATACTAATTTCCAAAATGTCAAATAAAAACCCATAAGTTTATTTGCATTTCCATATCATATAAAAAGTTTAGATTTTCAATAACACCAATGTGAGTGTAATGCATATTTTATATTACATTTTAAATCATCAAGTGAGATTAAAATATTCATTTGTTTTACAATAATATAATGTCGAGGTTTTAATCATACAAACAATGTTCCTATCATTTAGAAATGTCTACATATATATCTATGTTTATTTATTAATGTATAAAAATAGTTTTAATCTTAAAGTGCAATACATTATCTTTGTAAATACCTACTACTTTTATTGATAATACGCTATTACTTGTGTACGAGAGATGTTATTGGGATGGAAATTAAATTAGGTATACATTTTGTTTGTTGAAAAAATAATAAATACGGGAGAGGAAGGGATTGTTAGTGATGAGATTTAACAGCCCCATTGCTAGCAATACACCCTATCAGATTGACCTCCAAGCAGTTCCCCCTTGAAACCATAGTGGATAATTCATGTTCAATTGGTTACTATGGGCCAACTGACCTGCCTTCATCCTCACTTATTACCCTTCACTGGTGCCCCGCCAGTGTATACCGATAGCGCAGGCGGGTTATAGTTCTATCTTCACCTATTAAAAAAAAAGTTTTTTCTTTTATATTTACTTACCTGGGAGTTTAAAACGACTTGAATCATGTTCTTATTAATGTACTGATCATCTCGCGTTGATCATTAAGTGCGTAATATGAACGTCTTTTTTTTTAATGGATATTAGTGGAATGGTAACATCATCTGCGCTATCGGTATACGTTGGCGTGGTACCAAACGAGTGATGATAGATGAAGATGTAATCACCTCAGTTAACCCCCTTAGATTATATAGTACATAATACATTATACTTAATCTATGGTTAAATTATCATGGCGAATTCACCAGTAATTAACCACGATACGATAATTACTCGAGCTTTATTGTTAAGAGTGGGGATATTAGACTCCATTACTTACGCCCCCCCCCCCCCCCCCCCCCAATATGGATGTACAGGCTAATAAGGTCAGTTATCTGTCCACTGCTGAACATAGGTCTCTCCATAAACTGTCGTAAGAAACGTGACCGTTCCTTATGATATTTTACCATTGGTGGGATATTGCCAGCATTGCCACGCTTGGCAAGTATTTTGACAACTGCAGTTTGACTTTTAGTAATGGTTTAAGACGAACGCTACTGCCCTTCTCTCGACCATTAGGTTTTTTTTTATACAAACTATTCTGTTTATATTTTTTTTTGTATGTTTCGTCCATTTACCTTCCATTCTTGAGGATTCGGTGTTATTCCATTAAATTGTTAGCAATTTGTGAACGTTATGCATTCTTGAAATACAATGTAAAAAAAACACAAATGATTCGGTGTTATTCCGCTGCAGTGGAAAGAGTGGGTCGGTTCAGATACTTGGGACATATCGTGACAGAGGATCTTCGCAATGACGGAGATGTGGAACGAGAACGAAGAGCCCTGGCCGTCCGTTGCAACATGCTCGCGCGAAGGTTCGCCCGTTGCACATTGTTTCAGCATTTTGTCACACACAAAATTGCACCAATTACTAATATATGTTTCATGATTATCGTGTAGCAAATTTCTGGGCTCACATTCTGAATTCAAAGAATGAAATCCTCAGCACATTGTCCCAGTGTCTGAACAGTCCCATTCAAAAGTATTGGTTGTCCGTGCACCAAGACAGGAACATTAAATAATGTTCTCTTGCTTCTTGCTATATTATTTACTTTTACTTTTTATAAATTATAAATTTTCTACATATTTTAATTTTTATGTTTTTCTTTTTGTATATTTTGATTGTTATATTTTTATATGTTATCCGTGCACGTTGTAATACAATTGTAAATAAGTGATAAATTATTATTATTATTATTATTATTAATGACGATTTCAAATCATTTCATCTGTGATAAATATATACATTTTAATTTAAACAATTTAAATACAATTAATTAATACAGAGTGGTAGTATCGCTCTAAATAAGTGATAAATGAATCTTTTAATGCATACCTACATTTACGTTGAGGTAGGCAATAGAAATGAAATGTGGGGTTAGCCGTCGCGTTCTTCCTCATTCCCGAAGTAGCGATACTGTATTTATCAATAGATTTGTTTTCGGCTTTGCAGAGGTGCATTTTATCACAATACATTGAATTGTCTAAGTATAGGTACAAAATATTAAATTCCGTAAAAATATCTGACATATAATAATATACATATATAATGACAGTGAAATATCCGTTGCGTAGTTTTGAAGTGGTAACCGAATTAAATAATTTGTGTCGCACAAAAAAAAGGACTTTAATTATAGAAAAACTAGTTATTCTGATTTACAAACTAAACTACTCAACAGATTTTGATCAATTTCTGTCAATCTGTAACTAACTGTTTCAAACAAAAAAAATTCCAAATCGTTTTGCTACAGATGGAGTTATGAGGTAATAAAGATTAAAAAAAATACAACCCATTTGATTTGACGATGACAACAAATCAAGATCAAAACATTAAAAAAATGTTCTGGCAAATGAATCTACTTATCTATCTTGAGAGTCTTTTGAAGTCCATTGTAAACGGATAGACGCAGACAGCAATTTTATGTTATTTTGTACTATGTAAATGTACATGTAGTTTATTGAAATGTTTCCATTCTAATCAACTTTTTCAAATTGCCAGATCATGCAATATTAAAACATAAATAAATTAATACTTATAAAATGAGTCATTATCCTTAAGAGAATCAGGAAAAATCACTTGAAATACCGGTTAGCTGCGAATATCCTTTTGCGACATTGGAACTTCAACATTAATGTGTAAAAGTTAAGAATTAGAACAAACTGGCCTCGCAATAACAAAAAGACCCTTCTATTTTGAAAACAGTACTTGAATCAGGCATCTGCAAATGTAACTATATTACTAATGCATCTTAGAACTCTTGTACACGCTGGCATCCAAAGCCTGCAGACGTTTGCCGGAAAATAAAAAAAAATACAGGTAAAGAAGATCAAAATTTCTGCCGTGTAAATCATGAAGTATATTTTATTAATTTTTACATGTGTGTCGAGTGCGTACTTCGTGCGCGGGCGTAAGTATTTTTTAATTTTTATCTAATAAAAAGTTTTCCTTATCGCAAATGTCTTTGGTTTGGGGGAAGTTTTATCAATACCTCTGTTATTTTTCCTTCTATTTTCAAACGGTTTCAATAAACAGCAGATACTTAACTGTATATTTTTTATTATTTATTACCGCATGACTCCTTCAGTTCTAAACCGATTTGAATTTTTTTTTATCTAAAAAGATATACGTCTAGACTGATCCCATAGAAATTTTATCAAAATCAGTTAAGTAGTTTAGAATTTTGGTTCAAAATAACTGGTTTTATAACAATTAAAGCGGAATTTTTGTGGCACACAATTTTTAATTATTAGATATCTTCATTTCTCAACATTTAATTATTAATTTATTATTATAATGGACTCTATTTACTTTTAAATTATCTTAATCAATTACGACATTTTAATCGCTTTTATAATTTGCCATAATGTAACATAATACATCAGTCTCGCTTCTTATAATAAGGCGCTTTCAAATATATGTTTGCGAAGCTGTATTCGCAGGTAAATACCCAAAGCGGTAAAATAACTTACCTGCGGGTCATGTTGATAACTAAAATACATAAATAACATTTTTTTTTAATAGATGACAATGGTATGGCAACCCCGTTTGCGCTAACAGTATACGCTGACGGGGCACCAGTAAATGATGATAGGTGAGGATAAAAGGCATGTTTATTACTAAAATAGTCCTCATTACAAACAATCCCTTCTCCCACCACAAATATCATTAGATAACTGACCGTGTGGTCCCGGCATAGAATAGGCTACCCCTTCCTTTCCCGTGGGTGTCCTAAGAGCCGACTAAGCGAGGATGAGGGATGGGCAGCAGCGTCCCTCTCAAAACATCTACAAACCCTAACTGTGGTTGTCCGCTGTCCGTCTCCAAAGCGTGATAACTACTGATAAAACTCCCCAGGGAGGAGGCTTTTGTTTAGCAGTAGACAGTTAAAGGCTGATATGGTATGATGATGATTAGATTATTAATCACGACGACATAAAAAGCTATTTTTACAATAAGCGTGGTAATAGAGGGAGACTTTGTAAAAAAGGCGTTTGCTTGAGCACCTCTGTCCCATTCGTATTTCTACCGCGAAACATGTTTTATACATTGTATTTGCATGGCTGTGTTTCGGTTTGAAGGGTGAGATATGGCAGTGAATTTACAGGGTACAGAGGAATAACACCTGAGTCCTCAGAAATGGCAACGCTTGGGAGGTATCATGGATGAAACAGTATACTCTGTTATGTCCATGGTACTGCTCATGTCTATACGCGGCAGTGAGTCGTCAGCTTGTTTGGTATTCTAAGTTGTATAAAAAAAACTACTGGCAGAACCCTCTTTATGAGGGAGAGACCTCCCTCATAAAGAGGGTTTGTTTAGCAGTGGACAGTTAAGGGCTTACGTTACGATGATGAAAGGGCTATTTTTACTCGAAACGGCGAGGTAAATTGTAAACTGCTTATAAATTTGACAAATTTACAGAGTCATCATGTTCTACGCCCAGTGGTGGAAAAGGGCATTGCATATCTATATACAAGTGCTCTCCTCTCGTCACAATAATAAACAAAAAGGAAAGAACACAACAAGACATTGACTTTTTGAGAAAATCACAGTGTGGCTTTGAGGGACAAACACCGAAGGTACATATTTCTACACTAACATTATAAAGAGGAAAGATTTGTATTTTTGTGTGTATGTATGTTTGTAATGAATAAACTCGAAAACTATTTTTCACCATTAAAAAGTTACATTCACCCTGAGTAACATAGGCTATATTTATTGCTAGAAAAGATTAGGGGTCCTTACTAAAATTTTAGTAACGTAACTCAAAGTGTAAAAAAATGCTATAAAATATCTTTCGTCGCGTGCGCTGCGGAAACTATTGGTGATAGAACAAAAGTATGTTTTGTAATATTGAAGAAAATATCAATAACTACAAAAAAAACTTCTCGATACTATACGTCTAACTATTATCGTAATGTCACAATAACCACTTTTAAAAAAGTTGTAAAAATGTCCACCCGTGCGGGACAGTACGCTAGTCATAAATAAACTAATGATCTTTCGTACAGATAAATAGAATAAAAAAAAAAAATACATAGCCCATGTTACTCCCTGATGATATAACTTCTATAGATGAAAGAACTCGGTTGAGTAATTTTTAAGTTTATCCATTCATAAACATACAAATAATCAAATCTATCTAAAGAGATAAATACATATGCCGTTTAGTCCCGGCATAGAATGGGCTATCCTTTCCTTCACCGTAAGTGTTGTAAGAGGCAACTAAGATTACTCAATGATCTAGGGATAAGCAACAACATCCCCCTTAAAACATCACCAAAGCCTAACTGCGGGGAGAAAGGGATTGTTAGTAATAGAGTCTAACTGACTCATTGCCAGCAATACACCCTATCAGGTTGACCTCCACATGGTATCCCTGAACACCAACATAGTTAATTCTAGTGGAATTCGTCACGATGGGCCGACTGACCTGCTTTTATCCTCACTTATCATCACCTCTCATTAGTGCCCCGCCAGCGTATACCGATAGCGCAGATGGGGTTACCATTTCATTATCACCCATTAAAAAACCTAACTGCGGTTACCACCAGAGGGAGACTTTGTACAAAAGTCGATTGCTTGGGTACCTCTGTCCCATTCGTATTTCAACCGTGAAGCAGTTGTGTTTGCATGGCTGTGTTTCGGTTTGAAGGATGGGATATGGCGTGAATTTACTGGGTACAGAGAAATAACACCCGAGTCCTCAGGAATTGCAACGCATGGGGGGTATCATGGGCGAAACAGTATACTCTGTTATGTCCATGGTACTGCTCATGTCTATAGGCGACGGTTACCACTTTCCATCAGGTGAGCCGTTAGCTTGTTTGCCATTCTAAGTTGTATAAAAAAAAAAAACAAAAATGTATGTAGACAGGCGTCCATTATAGGTAGAATTCGGTCTATATTGACCGACGCATTCTTACTTTAACTAAATCGACCTCCTTGGTTCTTCTATGAATATCCTTATTTCAGATTATATTATACAGCAAAATTCTGGCATAACATAGCCATTAGTGTGTTTAGATTATTTTCCTAGATAGGTCTGACCCCTTAAGATGGGGGTAAAGGGATTATTAGCAATGGAGTTTGTTAGCAATATGCCCTGTTAGGTCAACCTCCATGTGGTTCCCCCTGGAAACCATCGTGAACAATTCTTGTTGAATTCGTCACGATGGGCCAACTGACCTGCTTCATCCTCACCTATCATCCTTCATTGGTGCCCCGCCAGTGTATAATGATAGCGCGAGTGGGGTTGCCATTCCATTATCACCTATTAAAAAAAAGACCTTTTAAGATGGTGAATATATGTAGTTTTAGATATATTTTTGTGCACAGCTGAAAGTCTAGTTTTCGTTCTGGTTTTTTTTAATAACTGTTAATGGAATGGCAACCCCGCCTGCGCTATCGAGATACGCTGGCGGAGCAGCAGTAAAGGGTGATAGATGAGAATGAAAACAGGCCAGTTAGCCCATCATGATGAATTCATCAGGAATTAACCATGATAGTTTCTAGGGGGAACCGCAAGGAGGTTGACCTAGTTGGGTATATTGCTAGCAATGGGATTTTTAGTCTCCATTACTAACAATCCCTTTCCCCCTTTCGTTCTGGGTTGTACACTAGACAATTCTGCTTAATTACACCAATGAACGTAGCTCTCACTATAACTCGCAAATTTGAAGCTTCCCCATTCAGCTAAGAGTGTAAAACTATAATATAATATTCTTACCGTAATTTTGGAGGATCGTATTTGAAATCCGTAAATCATCACCGGCAATAAGCACTTTGGATGCAATATAATGTGTAATCAACTTTGAGAGAGAGATCATTCGTTGATTGCATTATATTGATACAATATACAAACGTATTCAAAATCATTGCAGGTATGCTGTCCAGTAGAGTGTTATACACCTGACGGAAAACCAGGCAAATGCATCAGTATAAATTCTTGTCAACACTTGCTATCGATGCTTGAACCGCCATCGCCCAAGGAACACATCGAATATGTACAAAATTCTAAGTAAGTAAATAAAAATATTACTACATACTTATTAGCCTAACAGCGCTTGACTGCAGCCAGGTAGGTCCTACCATGAAATATTTAAATATAATATTATTAATATTATATTTAAACATTCCATTATCATCCATTAAAAAAAATCACTCCTTTTGGTGAGGATATTATAGTGCCCGAATAAAAACATTATCTTTTGATACTCCAATTACAGATGCGATAGTTTAGAACAATACAGCGTGTGCTGCGGCCCTCCCAGTAAAAAATTCGAAAAACCAATTCAAGATGGCAATTGTCAAGACAATATAAACGCATTCCCGCCAGACCCGTTAAATGGATGCTGCGGAATTGATGGTAAAGTGAACAATAAGATTTTTGGTAAGCAAGAGTTTTAATATCAATCAGTAATTTGTTTACATAATGATATTTTGAGCCAGTATCCGCAATTGGATGTATTTGCCTCCAACTTGCTGGAGTTTCGTCGAGTGACCACAGAGTATTTGTGTTCAGACATTTTTTGTTTCAGTTAAATCTTTTTATATTATTTTTTGTTTAATGATTTTTGTGTAATATTCCTTTTCTCAAACATGCTTGGAAATTTGAGCATTATTTTGACAACCTTCTTCGAGATAAATCGAACTTGCGGTACTGGTCGAGCAGCGGCCGGCAATAGTTGTATGAAAATCCATATCTGTCGTGTTTAGCGGCCAAATAAATTATTATGTAAAATCTAAAGAAAAATATTTGAAAATCTATGAAAATTTTGTTCAATGGAAGAATGAAAGAAAATCGAAATCCTTATCCGAAAATGTTTTTCTGGCTTATTTCGGCGAACTCGCCAAAAAAGTGAAGCCTACAATGCTTTGGGTCATCTATTCAATGCTAAAATGCACAATTTTAATGAAACATAACGTGAATTTGAATAATTTCCGCGCATTATTTGAGAAAAGTACTATACAAGCCTTGGCCGCAACTAGGCATTGATGGACTCACGTATGTGTGCCTCGGGTTCCCCTCGGCCCACATTCACACGTTCGTCCATCAATGCCTCTCTTGCTGGCCGCTGCAGTAATGTACTATTTATATGTTATTGTACTCTTGCTTTCCTGGGTGAGCGTATTGGAAGACTGTAAGGCTCACCCATTCGATGTAATAAATAAACACATAAACATTACAACTTTGTGAAAGTGATAGTAAGTCTTCATAAGTAAGATGTTTGCCTTTGTCATGAATAAATGAATATAAAAGTAAATAGGAAACATGCAATTTTTATTGTTTACTTATTATCAAAAAAATTAAATCTAAATATTTTAATCATTTATTAATTCTTTATTACACCGCTTAAAGAATAATACAAGAAAATATATATATATATATATATATATATATATATATATATATATATATATATTACATAAAAATATGACACTACTTAATAATTACGAGACAAGAATCGATGCAATAAATATAATTTTCCAAAAGTTTCAACTACCCAAAATTTTAAGTACCTCTTAGACACTATTTGAAGCTGGTCCCTTGAGAATGGAAAGTCTGAAGGATAAGATATTACAGTGGATATTGCTAGATAGTTCTGAGATATAACATCTTAATCCTCAGCATTGGTCACTCATGAACGGTAACATAAGCGTTACAATATGTTCTGTAATATATTGTGTGTAGTTTCGTTATTATAATTCTTAATATTTTTTTTGTTAACCTTTGTGTGGGTGTAGTCGCATATTTCTGTAAAATAAAATTTCTTTCTTTCTTCTAGTATCCATAATGTTTATCCATCTATGATAAGACAATTGGTTATTGGTTATAAGGTGGTTCGCCGTAGGATCTGCTTGTTTGCCACTCAAAGTTGAATACAAGCACAAAACCTGCTTGATAAAACGTTCTATTTCTTATTGTTTTGTTAGTTTATATTTTACTGAGTTCAGTAAAATATATTAAATCTGCAAGATAACACTTATTTAGGTGTTATCTTGCGGAAATCATTGGTTATTTGATTAGAACTATCTTGTTTAATTCCGCTACCATTAGTATGTGTGTGACTGCCAACACTCGAAGACTGACCACCACTATCATTACCAGAAGTTTCAAAGCTTTCCATATTATTCATCAATATTCGGCTGCCATTTTGTTCACGCAACTTTTGCGACATGTATTTCAGGCAAGCATAAATCAAATAAATCCTACTTGATTGAGGTTTTTTTGTGTACATGTTTACGTTTAAAAGTTCAGTTACGTTGAACAAGTGCAACTCCTATTCAATTTCGATGGACTTTTTAACGGTGCTTTCAACTTTCAGTCCCCCAGAAAAGTCGATGTCCCCGAAATACAGAAGGAATCATTTTATAAAATATTTTGCGGGTATATATCCAATTTTCTGGAGACTCGAAACAAAAAAACCAGCGAAATTAGACAGAAATTTCATTTGTTGAAAATCACTTAAGATTCTAACAAATCGGTACAATTCAACAGCTTATGGAGGAATAGCAACGGGCATTGACGAATACCCGTGGCTGATACTGATCGAGTACGTAAAGAACGGAGTCGTCAAAACGTTGTGTGGTGGATCATTAATTAGCGCCAAATATGTGTTGACAGTCGGCCATTGCGTCGCCGGGAGCATTTTAAAACAAGGAACCCCGTAAGCTAATTACACTATTTATATTATTTAATGCAAACCTATTAAACGGATTTGAATACAAACTTTAATATTTTTCAATTCGCGCTGATCGACATGGCATTAACTTTTCTTTTTTTTTTTATACAACTTAGAATGGCAAACAAACTGACGACCCACCTGATGGAAAGTGGTAACCGTCGTATATAGACATGTGCAGTACCATGGACATAACAGAGTATACTGTTTCGCCCATAATGCCCATGCCATGCATTGCTATTCCTGAAGACTCAGGTGTTAGTCCTCTGTAGCCTGTAAATACACTGCCATATCCCACCCTGCCAAACCGAAACACAGCTATGCAAACACAACTGCTTCACAATAGAAACACGAATAGGACAGAGGTACCCAAGCAAACGATTTTTGTACAAAGTCTCCCTCTGGTTAATAAATGTATTGGCTTGATAATAAATGACAAAGACTTGTTTATTACTCATTAGTTTAATTCTAGAGACCAACATATATATTGAGAGAGCACGCGACAATAGTGATACGTCGTTCCATTAGTGATGTGACCTTAACTACTTAAATCTATATTTATAACAATAAACGTGTAAGCATGTATATCGTTGGATATAGTTCTTCTAGTTTAAATCATTACATATATCCATACCTGATTCTGTAATGAAGTGTTCGGAAGGGAGGGAAGGAAAAGGAATGAGCCAAAGTGACGTGATAAATTTGATTTTTTTTTTTAGAAAAAACGTGCGTCTTGGCGAATATGATACAAGCAACGATGGGAGAGATTGTGTAGTGACACAGGAAAATGAGATGGACTGCGCGGATCCTCCCGTTACTATACCCATCGAGCTCACCATCCCCCATCCTCAATACGACCCCATCACACGGAAAAACGACATCGCTCTGATCAGGATGAAGCAAAATGCACCTTACACAGGTTTGTCACATAGAGGGTGTTTGTGTTTGTCACTTATGGAATTAATCACATTTTCCAAACTATGTGAAGGAATATTGCTAGGCTATTTGTATACTTGTTGGCCAAAACCCATTCTATGCTAGTTCATTATTTCATCAAAAATTTTTTTTTATGAATATAATAGTGTCCATGAATATAATATGAATATAAGAGGTGTGTTCCAGTCATATTGTTTTTTAAGAAATTAAATATTCTTCCACTCCATGTATGTACATTAGAGATTTGTGTATATTTGTAAGGGAACATGCACCTTTTTCAAAAGAATATCGGAGATGATAGATAAACGACAAATTATATGTATCGAAGTGCAGGTTAGTTTAGCTCATACTGTATGGCGATTAAAGTTTACAACCATCTACCAATAACATAATCACGATGGTTTCCTTAAAAATTGGGTTAAACTTTTATACCATGAATGAATATTTCGCTAAAAAAACAAATGTATTTGACCCCACTAGAGATACAGTTGTTAAAATATTTTATAAATAATAATAATATATTGTATGCTAGGAAAGCCAATATAATGGCAATATATATATATATATATATATATATATATATATATATATATATATATATATATAAAATTATATTAAAAATTTGCATTAGAGGCAGAATGTATTTATCATCTAAAATTATGCAATAAATTCATTCATTTCATAATTTTAGATACATGTTTAGAGAGTGACGCTTAAGAATCGACCCCAGTTTACGAGAATGCAACACAAGTTTACAGTACTATAAAATTACGTATTATAGAAAATATTATCTATGCTTTAAAGCCAAACTATTACAAAGTAAATTAATTATTCTTGTCCACAGATTTCATTCGGCCCATTTGCCTCCCAACAGTGGACGTCACTGCGTCCCCCCCACAAAACTTCACGCTATTTGTGGCAGGCTGGGGGGCGTATAATGAGACCGTTAAGAAGAGCAATATCAAGCTACACGTGTCTGTTCCGTATGTCAAATTAAATGTATGTCAAACATAGCATGCATCTACTTTTGTAATGTCTATATATAATATATGTATGTGTTTTTTTGATGGGTGAAAATGGTATAGTAATCCCGCCTGCGCTAACGGGATACACTGGCGAGGCACCAGTGAAGGGTGATAGATGAGAATGTAAACAGGCCAGTTAGCCCATCATGATGAATTCATCAGGAATTAACCATGATAGTTTCCAGTGGGAACCGCGAGGAGGTCGACCTGGTTGGGTATATTGTTAGCAATGGGATTTTCAGTCTCCATCACTAACAATCCCTTTTGCCCCTATATGTATGTGTTGCCATGTGGACCCGGCATAGAATGGGCCACGCCTTTCTTTCGTGTCGTTAGAAGCGGATAAGGCAACTTAATGGTCGAGGGAAGAGTAGCAGCGTGCCTATCTGCGGTTGCCAACCCATCCACCAAGCGTGGCAACTATTAGTAAAACTCGCGTTTTGGGGGAGACCTATATGCAGCAATGGACAATTAACGTAAATAACGGAAATTTTATGCCCTTTTCCAATATACAAATAGTACTTTAGTAATAATAACACAATTATTATCAGAATTCGAGCAACGCTTCACATATATATATATATATATATCTGAGAGTACAAATAAGGGGAATATCCCTTTGTTTAAGGAGCCAAACTCACTCTGGACAATTTTAAAATCCTCGGTGATCTTTCTCATATTGGGACAGACCCATCCTCAGCAACGGGACTAATGAAATAGAATATAGGGGTGGGGGGGGGGGGGGGGGTTGGGTTGTTAATAAAGCATTGCTAGCGATATACACTATCTTTAATTTATTTATTCATTACTACAAATATGTGTACATGGCGTACTTAATGCTGAAAGCAGTCTCTCCCAGTCAACCATAGGGAAGTGTCAGAATACTCGAATGCGGTACTACTAATTATTGATTACATACATACTAAAATTACATATATTAACGAATAAATTTAATAGGTGATAATGGAATGGTAACTCCACCTGCGCTATCGGTATACACTGACGGGGCACCAGTGAGAGATGATCGGTGAGGATAAACCATATATACACTATCAGGGCAACTTGAATGAAAACAAAATAAAAAATCCATTAAGTGGTGGATTATTTAATGATTTCAACCGTAAAGCAGTTGTATTCACATGGCTGTGTTTCGGTTTGAAGGGTGAGATATGGCAGTGAATTTACAGGGTACAAAGGAATAACACCTGAGTGCTCAGGAATAGCAACGCATGGAGGGTATCACGGGCGAAACAGTATACTCTATTATGTCCATGGTACTGCTCATGTCTATAGGCGACGGTTACCACTTTCCATCAGGTGGGCCGTCATCGTGTTTGCCATTCTAAGTTGTATAAAAAAAATATTTATTAGGAGTGGGAACTAGTATCCCCATTGCTAACAATATATCAATTGGTCAATCTTTACGTAATTCGCTATGGAAAACATCGTATTTGATTTATTATGATAAAATTCATTACTCGATACTCCAAATACATTTTCACCTACCACCATGTATAAATATTACCTCACTACACTGAGTAAACCAATACCGCAGGTATTGGTAGGAGATATTACTCCATTTTCAACTGTAATTTTTTTATAACACGGGACAAACGAGCATACGGCTCACCTGATGATAAGTCATTACCGTTGCCCATAGGCATCCGTAACATCAAAGCCGGCAACGCATGGAGGTATCATGGGCGAAACAGTATACTCTGTTATGTCCATGGTACTACTCATGTCTATAGGGGACGGTTACCACTTTCCATCAGGTGGGCCGTCAGCTTGTTTGCCATTCTAAGTTGTATAAAAAAAAAAGAATATGTTCCTATCTTGAAGGATTCAATGTCGCATCTGTTCGAAAATACTGTTGCTGGAAGTTGATCCCATACTTTGATTGTACGTGAAATATAAATGAAAAAAATCCTATTAGATTTACATTTCAATAACAAACTATTGCTTTAAATTTCTAGGAGTGTATACCAGTGTACAACCTCACTAAACGCAGTGCCCCCTTATGGGACAAGCAATTGTGTGCGGGCGGTGAGAAGGACAAGGACTCGTGTAAAGGGGACTCAGGCGGCCCCCTCATGTACATGAAAGGACGGATCCAGGAAATTATAGGACTCGTCAGCTTCGGAACGAAGCCGTGTGGACTGGAAAAAGTTCCAGCCGTGTATACCAAAGTTTACGAATACATCACTTGGATCCGCGATACGCTGAAGCCTTGAAATTGAAACTGTAATTTATTAAGCTAGAAGAATGTGTTATGAATTATGTATAATTAAAATATTAAATGTAATTGTAGTATATAAAAAAAAATTAAAATTAAAATGTTAATAATACATGCTTTTTAACAGAGTGCGGCCCTGGAAAATAAATAATAAAAAAAAATCACATTCACATTAAATACGCATTTCGGATGACATAAATAAGTACTAATCAATGTGCTTTATCGTCTTTATTGAAGTGCACTCTTACATCTACAAAAAACAGTTATTATAATAAAACATAATCACAATACTTTGGCATCCGTCGATAGGGAAAATATATCATAAATATATCACAATAACAATTTTGTGCATCGTCACCAACAACGTAATCGGTTAATTCAATTACCACAATGAACAATTATTAAAAACAAATTATTGTGCAAGTGAAGATATGTTCGTAGTAATGTCAATTTATTTAGTACAATCTATTTCAATAGAACTTAAACAGTTTAACATAAACAGTCTACTGATGACCAACAGTAGTATGGGGGGAAAGGGATTGTTAGTAATGGAGACTAAGAATCCCATTGTTAGCAATATACCTAACCAGGTCGACCTCCTCGCGGTTCTCCCTGGAAACTATCATTGTTAATTCCCGATGAATTCATCATGATGGGCTAACTGGCCAGTTTTCATTCTCATCTATCACCCTTCACTGGTGCTCCGCCAGCGTATCCGTTAGCGCAGAAGGGGTTACCATACCATTTTCACCCATCAAAAAAAAAAAAGACCAACAGTAGTACAAATAACAAATGTATTATTTTTTTTATACCATGAAAGTGGCAAAGAAGAATACAGCCCGTCTGATAGTAAATGGTCACTGTAGCCAATGGACGCTTGCAACACTAGGGGTGTCACGTGCGCGTTGCCCACCCTGAAGAATTCTTAATATATCCTTTTTGAACAACTCTATACTGTATTCTCTAGAGAAAACGTCGGCAAGGAGCTCATTCCACAGCCCAAACGTTCGGGGGAGAAAATTTCCATTGAAACCGCACTGTACGTGACTATAGTTCAAGCGTATGAGCATGAATTTCAATTTGTTACTAATTTCAACAGTAATTGCTTACCAAATCCTATTGAAACAGAATATACTTTTTAATTAATTAACAACAATAATAATATCCTTTGATTAAAAACTATTTACATATTCAATGATTCGCTTGATTTATAAATTCACTTGATTAATAAAAAAAATATTGGGTGGGACAAGTTATCAATGTAAGAGTGTCTTGATCGCTCATTTACTAACATACTCGTAGGTTATGTAAATTATAACTGACAAAGTGGACCTTATGTTGTATGAATAAATAAAAATATTATTATTATAAATGGATCCTCCAAAAAAATAATTCCGTACAGTATTAAAGTCAAGTAACTGAAGATATAGGTCAATAAAAAAATTACATTACAAATTGTACCTATCATGACATAAAGACATGGTGATTATATTAATTTTAAACATTACAACTGCACACTTAACTAAGTTATATATTTACATTTCTGTGCGATAATAATAGTACATTACTGCAGCGGCCAGCAACTGAGGCATTGATGGACGGACGTGCAAATGTGGGCCGAGGCGTAGCCGAGGTACACATACGTGAGTTCATCAATGCCTAGTTGTGGCCAAGGCTTGTATAGTACTTTTTTCAAACAATGCGCGGAAATCAAAAACACAATTTTACTTTTTAAGTTCAATGACGAATAACGAACAATAATAATTTTTCAAGCGCCATAATGTTCCTTTGTTTTTTTTTTTTCAATAAATAGCATTCTATTTGCAAGCCAGTTCAAAATTTAAATAAAACCTTTTATTAGTTACCTCCTTGGTGGCCATGTTTCAAAGTAAAAGGTCATTCCATTTTTACATTACAGGATAGATATAAGTTTACATAGTAATTTATCTGGCCGCAAAACACGACAGATAAGGGATTTTCATACAACTTTTGCCGGCCGCTGCCCGCATATATCTGGCCAGTACGGCAATTTCAATTTATCTCGAAGAAGACTGTTAAAATAATGCTCACATTTCCAAGCACGTTTGAGAAAACACATTTATAGGTATTTAACAATTTATATTACCAAAGACACCACTGCATAATGTTGCCTAATTCATTAATAAATGTTGCATAATGCCTGACTAGTATCAGTGTTGCCATAAATCATAAAAATCGCAATAGGACTTGTTTCGTATAACCCGCCAATATAAATGTACTAGTCCGATAATATAATGCCGTCGTGCGCGACGCATATTTAATTTGGCAGATTATGCAGAGCAAATCGTATTACGATCCACTAGCGTATATCGATAGCGCAGGCGGAGTGACCATTCTATTTTAACCCTTTAAAAACAATCCTATTATAATTCATGAAACATTACAGGTTTACAAAAATATTAAACATTTACCCCTTATTCATAAATAAGTCAAATTTCTCATAAACCTAGTTTAGCTATTGAACTGTTTTCTCTCCTTCTTTTGCGATAACTTCTCAATTTGAAAAAAAAAAATTGATAAAGCACTGTAATAGTCAAAATAGGTTTGTAAGAGATTTTATTTTTTTATGAATAAGGGGGTTAGTTTCCATACAGACTGGTTTGGAGAAATTTCGACCATGTTTAAAATTGGGCTTTAAAATAAATGAAATAAGATTTATTTTTTCATCGAAGTTACAAAGCGTAGAGAGATGAGGCGGACTTAAAGGAAACAGAATCCCTATAATCATAAGAGGCCATAATTATTACCATATTTTTTTTTTAATTTAATATACATTACTGTATTAAATTTTGTACTACTTATAATTACTGATATTGTACCATTTTAAAGGGTAATTAAAAAACAAAATGAGATATTATTGGACATAAATTTTTTGGTATTCAGAGTTCTATAAAAAAAAAGTATATAAAAAATTAATTATGGTTAAACTCTTTACAGATGATTATTACCCCCACAAGGTTCCCCCAAAGATAAAAATAAGAACTTGGATGGGGGGTATCATGGGCGAAACAGTGTACTCTGTTATGTCCATGGTACTGCTGATAGGCGACAATTACCACTTTCCATCAGGTGGGCCGTCAGCTTGTTTCCCATTCTAAGTTGTATAAAAAAAAAAACTTATTTGGAGCCATTTAAATCCCTGTAATTACTTTATCTGGTATGGCCAAGGGAAGAAATCACTCTACATTTTCATTTACCAATATCATGGACCCATTTAATTATATGGACTAAAGGGGGGTTGTTAATAATCTCCACGTGATACTATCTGGTAACTATTTTAGTCAACTAATGGTGAATTTGTCATCATGGGATAAAGACCTGACTCTGATCCCTCACTGGAATCCCGCTAACATTAATTCATAACACAGGCGGAATTACCAATACATTTTCATTTATTAAAAAAAAAAAAAAACTTTTATATATTTATAATAAATATTACTTTCGTTAATTTAAAATAAATTCCACATTAAAATGCTACAAAATGTAGTAAATAATTCGGTCACGCAAAACTACTAATTATAAAAAAAAACCTTATGACTAGATTAGATCCAAAATTCAAACGATAAAAATATCCCAAGCGATTTAATTGGCAAACATTTACTCTCACATTTCGTTCACTATATTAAACTTTCTCGTTTAATAACTACAATAATGGAGAAATGGAGACGTTACACTTTACCAATGTTTTATTTTATTTTTATTTTATTTTAAGTAAAATTCCAAAATCCTCCATCGATACAACTGCCATTCAAAATATTACACGAACACAATAAACAGCGGGTCTACCATGAAATGAAATTCCGAAATTTGGACTCAATTTCGTGTTTTTGTTTATACCAAAATCAGATCAATAAATGGAATTTAACATTTCGTTCGTCATACATCCTATCATAAAAGTCCAAAGGAACAATATTTTAACATTTTTAATATTTCCAAACGACATGTATTATGTAATTTTAACATCAAATTTGTGTTTCATTTGGCTCTGAAATTTCGGAAAACACTTCATGGTAGGCCCTCAGTTCTATGCGAAGACTTTGTTAATTCTTATCAAAGGAAATTAATAAATCAAGCTGAGAAAAATACATTCATGGTGCTATAGATACGGTCTTAATACTTACTAAGAAAACTACAACACGTAACGCATATGTTAATATAAAATAAATTCTCTTATTACAATAACAATATGGCCATAGTGTAATTATAGTTATAATACTCATGTAAAACATTGCCTACAGTATCATTCCACTATGCGATATATCACGTACCTCTGGGGTACTCTTCATTAATGCGTACCTCTGGGGTACTCTTCATTAATGCATACCTCTGGGGTACTCTTTATTAATGCGTACCACTGGGGTACTCTTCATTAATGAAGTAAAAAAAATGTCGTTCGTAATCTGTGTGCAAACTACGTTCTTTAATTTTGGGTATATTTTGGGATAATTTTATTTTGGGTACTTATACTGCACTGCTTTCTCTTTTAGGACACAGGTATTTATTAATATAATATTCTATTGATGTAATATTTCGTAATTTATTTATTTGTAAATAGAAATGAGTGCCGCATAATACCATCAGTTGTGGGAATCTCAAACTAAGATTACCCCGTGTTATGAATAACTAATTATCGAACATTTGGGGGTACTAGTTAATATAAAATCGTTTCCTACATTGATCCAGCTGAGTATCGAACTCGGGACCTCTTTTTGCAATAAAATGTGTCTACCACTGTACTTCGATAGTACAAATGGGATAATAAATTACACAACTCTATATAAGTCATAAAAGAGATGTGAAGTGTCTAGACACTGACCTTGCCTATATTTTACACAATTTTACTCAGATAACCGAGTATAGGTACCAACCAGAAATTTTATGTTTAAAAAACCATTGTAAAATAATGGTTTTGTCTAAAACACATGTACAATACCTTTGTTTTCGGTATGTATGCGTATTACCTTAAGTTACCACTACATTTAACACAAACCTACCCAGACAACCGTGTGAAGGTACCAGCGACGCGTTTGTTCTGTTTGTAAGACCATTGTATATTAATAGCTTTATCCATAGACACGTTGATGTTATAAATGTGTAGTACCTTCGTTTTCGGTATGTACGCGTACTGACAGCGCGGCTTCTCGCAGGGGTAATCGTTGTATGTGACGCCGGTGACCGCGGGCTGAGCGAAGACTGTGATATTATTAATGGGCGGTACCCCGTACCCCCACCATTTGACTACACTGGTGAGGTTCGTGCGATTCAAGTAGAACTCGATATGACTGTATTTCTTTTCATCATATGTATCTGTTGAAATAATGTTAATGATTAAAAAATTTGGAATCTATAAAATGTACAAAAGTCGTTTGCTTGGGTACCTCTGTCCCATTCGTGTTTCTACAGTGAAACAGTTGTGTTTGCATGGTTATGTTTCGGTTTAAAGGGTGTTAATTTACAGAGGCCAGAGGAATAGCACCTGAGTCCTCGGGAATGGCAACGCATGGGGGGTATCATGGGCGAAACACTATACTCTGTTATGTCCATGACACTACTAATGTCTATAGGCGTCGATTACCACTTTCCATCAGGTGGGTCGTTAGCTCGTTTGCCATTCTAAGTTGCATAAAAAAATCTATTTTTATTTTTATTGTTTTGTCGAACTTATTATTATACTTACTGGGGCTATCGCCGTCGTCCCAGTATAATTCCCCGAAGGCCTTGTTCATATCGCTCGGTATCACGATTAGCTGCATGGGAGAGCTGCGCGTGTTCGACGTACTGACGGGCCCGTGTACAGGGGGCTCTTGTAGCGGCAGTATCGCTCCACCCTGTACACGTTATACATATAAATAAATTCACAAATATAATTATTTAATTTGCAGAACTCAATCAGCCATAGTTACAATGTATTGAATGTTATTTGATATTTTTCACAAGTAAAATTGCAAAAAAATTAGAACGAGACTAACACGGGGCCTATTCTCTTTAGGAAATAGCGTGAATTTACAGGGTACAGAGGAATAATACCTGAGTCCTCAGGAATGGCAACACATGGGGGGTATCATCAGCGAAACAGTATACTCTGTTATGTCCATGCTACTGCTCATGTCTATACGCGACGGTTACCACTTTCCATCAGGTGGGCCGTCAGCTTGTTTACCATTCTAAGTTGTATAAAAGAAAAATAAATCATGAAAATCAGTATATAATATGCCTAAAAAACGATAGAAGATACAGTTGTATTAAATATTCCACTTTTGAAGTTGATTAAAAATACTTTTTACAATACTTCTTTCATCTACTTAACTTTACGCCAAGTTATCTACTTTCATGACTCGTCTCGTGCATGCCTGGGTCACGATGGGCCAATCATCCTGACTTCATTTTCATCTATTATCAGTCACTACCCACGGATACCGACAACATATTACTGACAGCGTTACCAAACCATTTTTATCCCATGACAAAAGAAATGTTTGTTATAATACAGATTGAAAATATTTTTTTTCATATAGTTTTATCTTTTATATATTTATATAACATTTTAAGTATTTCTTTTTATTTTATGTGTTTGCTTTTAATGAATTACTCAAGCTGTGCACATCATGTAATTGGATTATAACCTAGCCAAATCACAAATGTAACTATTATTTAAGTTTTCTATGGTTGTGATCTGTTTTATGTGCCAATAAAATAAAAAAAAATTACCTTGACAGCCACAGTCTGGTCTTCAGTAACGTTCCGAGTGGTGTTCTTGGCGAGGAAGGCGCCATCAACGATGTTGTACCAGAGCTGGGAACCTGGGAAGTACGGGGTGGCGTAGGTGGCGCCCTCTGTCAGGATGGGTGTCACCATCACGTACGGACCCACCATAAACTGGTCGTCTATATCGTACACCGCCTCGTTATCTGACCACCTATGGACATATAATGAGTAAATATAAATCATTTAAAGAAAACTTAATCGAAAACATTATATATGTATTATAATATGACATTATGAAAGGATTAAATCAATAAAACAGAATTTTTATTTGAATAAACTTAATTTTAAACATTTTTGAATAGTCATTTTTTATGATTCTACCATACAATTTAGAATGCAATTTCAGCTGAGAAGAACGAGCAAGAAACACAGCTGTTGTTTCTTTCAAATAAAATTAGTTTTCAAAGCATACGTTTTAAAATAAATAATTTGGTAATTAATTGCAGTTATATTAAACAAACTAATCACCACAAGTAACACCCATTCACAAAAAAAAAATAAACTTAATAGAAACTAAATATTTTCTTATAGAATGGAATGGCAACTAAGCTGATGGCCCATTTGATAGAAAGTGGGCTACCACGCGTCGCCTATAGACATTAACAGTACCGTAAACATCATAGAATATACAGTAAAAATTTAATAAGGCGTTACCATTACTGAGATCTAATGTGTTACGCCCTAGTACCATTTAATTGTATCGTCTTTGAAACTATAGTACATTACTGCAACAGCTAGCAACTGAGGCATTAATGGACAAACGTGCAAATGTGGGCCGAGGCGTAGCCGTGGCATATATAGGTGAGTCCATCAATGCCTAGTTGTGGCCAAGTCTTGTATAGTATATTACTGCATCGGCCAGCAACTGAGGCACTGATGGACGAACGTACAAATTGTGGGCCGAGGCGTAGCCGAGGCACACATACGTGAGTCCATCAATGCCTAGTTGTGGCCAAGGCTTGTATAGTACTTTTCTCAAAAATGCGCGGAAATCAAAAATACAATTTTACTTTTTAAGTTCAATGACGAATAACGAGTAATAATAATTTTTCACGCGCCATAATGTTCATTTGTTTTTTTTTTTCAATAAACAGCTTTCTATTTGCAAGCCAGTTCGAAATTTAAATAAAACCTTTTATTAGTTACCTCCTTGGTAGCCGTGTTTCGAAGAAAAAGGTCATTCCATTTTTAAATTACAAGCCAGATATGAGTTTACATAGTAACTTATCTGGCCGCAAAACACGACAAATATGGATTTTGATACAACTTTTGCCGGCCGCTCCCGCATGTATCTGGCCAGTACGGCAAGTTTGAATTATCTCGAAGAAGATTGTCAAAATAATGCTCACATTTCGAAGCACGTTTGAGAAAATAATATTTTTATTTGTGACAACGCGACAACTCACTCAAAGAAAAGCGGTCGCACGACACTGCCGCCGAAGACGTGCGCTCGCCAGAAGAGCGTGTAGTAGAGCGGCAGCAGCCGGTAGCGCAGCCGCAGCGCCCGCCGGCTCGCGCGCACCACCGCCGCGCCCATGCTGGCCGGGTCCTGCGGCTGCCGCCACGCCGCCGGATTAACACACCTCAGTACATACATACATACATACATACATACATACATACATATCTGTCACGCCTTTTTTTTATCGTCTGGAAAATACTTTACGCAGACCCATACACCTTGTGGGGGGTGAATGGATACTGTGGGAATCCCCCCGTAAGATGGGAGTGTACCCACCAAAAACCAGACGATATACCTTCGAGGTGCCATATGTCGGAGACATGGGTTCGTTATCGCACTCACCACATCTCGGACGGGATATCTGTCACGCCTGTCTCCCATTACGGTAGGTAGAAACAGTGGAACGCCAAATGCTTCGATTCAAACAAACCTCATTCGCTCCTTCCACATTCATCGATCTTTTCCTACACACTTCAGTAATGAAGCAAAATGAAAATTGAACTCCTTTTTCCGCACTTAATTATTGTTATTTGTGTTATAAGGCAATATGCTGTTGATGTTCCTTTAAATAAATAAATAAATTTGTCATTTGGGTACTGTAACTATTTTCTATTTTCAACCGAATTTAAAAAAAAAAAGTTTTCAATTCGATTGTAGTTTTTTTTTTTTTTTTTTATATTTGTTACCTCATATCTTTCGTTAACTTATAAACCAATTTAAAAAAAAAAAAATTTATTCAGAAAAGATACACTTACAAAATGGTCCCATAGAAATGTTTAGTTTTTAAATCAAAGTAACAAAAGTTTAAGTAAAAGTAATCAAAGTATCACAATTGAAATAAGTCTTTTTATATATACAACTTAGAATGGCAAACAAGCTGACGGTCCACCTGATGGAAAGTGGTAACCGTCGCCTATAGACATGAGCAGTACCATGGACATAACAAAGTATAACGTTTCGCCCATGATACCCCCCATGTGTTGCAATCGTTGAGAACTAGGGTGTTATACCTCTGTACCCTGTAAGTTCACTGCCATATCCCACCCTTCAAACCGAAACACAGCCATGCAAATACAACTGTTTCACGGGAGAAACATGAATGGGACAGGCATCTGTTATGGTCATCTGGGTAATAAAATTTAATTTTTTTCATAACTGGCTCCAATTTGCTCGGGCCAAGTCAGTATAAAATGAGAATAACAAGGATACCTTGGAGGTGTCCGAATTGTGATTCCTGGAGAAGGGGTAGAAGGCGCCGAGCTGCATCCAGCGGCGGCACAGCTCGGGGGTGGCGTCGCCCGTGAAGCCGCAGATGTCCGCGCCCATTAGCGGTACACCGAATATGGCGAAGTTCAGCAGCTCTGTAAGTACAGCTCTATAATTACTACTCGGGTGGGGGGAGATTATTAGTAATAGGGACAGGTGGCCTCATTGCTAGCAAGCCGTGTGAGGTCGACCTCCACGCGGGTCCCCCTGGAAACCATTGAGACTAATACTTGTTACATTCATCACGATGGGCTAACAGACCTGCTTTCATGCTCATCTATCATCTCTCACTGGTGCCCCGTCAGTGTATACCGATAGCGCAGGCGGCGTTACCATTGCATTATCATCCATTAAAAAAAAATTACAACTTGTGTGGGGGACTTCTACCCCATTTCGTTTTGGGTTGTTAATATTGGGGATTATTATAGCTTTATTACTAGCAACATACCTTATTTTTTTCTTTCACAAAAACTTTTGTTTCCGCCACATCCTTTTCGAGCTTATATGATACACGTGAAATTTCCTGTTTGCCTATACCTATCTAACTCCCACTATTATGTTTCTTCTATTTTACATTACCAACTATATGGTTTTAACTAGTCGTATCCCACTGCTTTAACCGCATAAATTACATAAAATATCCTATAGGCAAAGTTAGGATATAACCTATCCGTGTACTTAATTTCATTCAAATCGGCTCTGTAATTTTTACGTTTTTTTTTTTTTTATTTAATTAACATGCATAAATACATTAAAAAAAAAACTGGATTTTTTAGTACCACTTATCCCTCTTGGACTTGTGTGTGATACTTTACATTTCGTTCTCAAATGTCAATATTTACATTAAAATTCTGCTGTCTTAGCAAGGTTGGACAGTAAACAAGGTTTTGTTTAAACTTTATGTTTTAAACAGTGATATTGTTTCGCAAGTCGGTAGGTAGAGAATTTACTAATCGCGGTATGAGGTAGGCGCTCGTTCGCTCGCCATAGTAGTTTTTTGCTCGAGTATTGACTAGCTTGTTTCGCGCGGCGGAGCGTGTATGTATAGCATGTGTTATTTTTATTTGAATTTCCTGTTTAAGATGCCTCCCGTGATAAGAGTAACACGCATATCCATGATATTTTAGTTTATGCTTGCAGGGTGTGTTGCGCTACGTACCGGGCACGGTCATGCGCATGTCGTGCCAGGCGCTGCTGATGTCGCCGCTCCAGTGGCCGGCGAGGCGGCCGAGCCCCGCGAACGACGACCGCGAGATTATGAAGGGACGCTTGCCGCGGATCTCGCTCAGGGCGCTGCAACGGGACATATTGTTTTATGATAAAAAAATAAATAAAGAAGAGTACATATAAATGAGAAGAAAGAAGAGGCACTAGAAATTGGAAAGGTTAGAAGAAAGAATAGGCTCTAGAATTTGGAAAGGGGGAAATGGAGATTGTGACAATCGTGCAACTCTCAGCCGTTGTTCTTTGTACGCACCCCAACGCTGTATACGATTGCGTTTTTCTCGATTACTATCGGCACCGGCAGTTCGCACCTGTACTGCTCAGTTTGCTCCCACTTATCAGGCTGTTTCTCTGCTCAATTCTCTGATTGCTCAGTAGCCATTTATTTCATAATATATTCATTGATATATTTAATGACAAAATAGATATATTTTTTAAATGTTGTTTAAAATTTTTAAGTTTGTAAAATAAATCTATGGCTCACTACAAATTTTGGGTGACTGTAAGTGTGGTGAGTAATTTATAAGAAAATAAATAAATCAAATCAAAGAGACAGAGAGTTGGATGGTGGAACGATAATGAGAGAACTGATCACTATGAAATTTGTAGATATATAATTGGTTTTATTTAATTGGTTAACTGAGAGAGATTACTATATAGCATTAAGTGCGCCTTGTACCATACATTTTATTGCATGGCTATTAAAATATATAATAAATTGTCTTATAATGTAAAAAATTTGACCAACACACAGTTTAGGAGAAGATTGTTTGACTACTTAATTGATGGTTGTTTCTATTCTGTGAAAGACTTTTTGAATAGATGTAATTTGTGATACTTGACATTGTAAAAGCTTATTAGTGATTGTAATTTGAAGTAATTGGTTTTGTTGATGTTAATTTGACTTATTTTGGATATTATAAAAAAAAAAACATTTACACACCGAAATGGTAAATATTGCTGAACAATTACTTAACAATAACTTAAGATCTGCTACTGGCAATCACCAATATTTTGTAAATATTTTTTTTTTTAATTTTACTATTATTATTATTATTATTATAACGTGGTCAAATAAAGAATAAATAAATAAATGTCTGTTAGTAATATTTGATTGTATAGATTTAAATGTAATTTGATACATCGACCATTTTCATACCATCATGGAGGCAAAGCAGAGTTTAAGTTAGTTAAAAGTATACTTTTATTTTTATTCTCTTCCATTCCAGAAAGCTAACGGAAAAGATTTATTTATTTAGGCACAGTAATACAATTCACATTACATTGACTATAATAAGCTTTATAGGGGGGAAAGGGATTGTTAGTAATGGAGTTTGACAGCCCCATTGCTAGCAATATGCCTTATTAGGTCAACCTCCACGTGGTTCCCCCTGGAAACCATCGTGAACAATTCTTGTTGAATTTGTCACGATGGGCTAACTGACCTACTTCATCCTCACCTATCATCCTTCACTGGTGTCCCGCCGGTGTATACCGATAGCGCGGGTGGGGTTACCATTCCATTATCATCCATTAAAAAAATTAAAAAAAAAAAAAAGCTTTATAACTAAGTAATTGTTAATTCTATCGATTCTATCGATAAATCCATTTAATACTTGTTTAAATATGGTGAAGTTGCTAAAAATATAGAAATCTTACTAGTTTGTGGCCCGAGCCTCGAGTAGTCCGTATATGTTGTGCAAGTCCTTGTGAAGTCCGCCGTGGTGCTTCGCGTCCGCGCACAGCGTGTGTGTGGCGAGCGGGTCCATGTGGGGCCGGTACGGCAGGACTTCTGGTCCACAGTGGCCCACTGCTGTACCGTCCACGAAGTTAGACGGCTCATTCATATCCTGCATAGGGAAATGGCTTTAGAAGAGAATAGAATGGAATAGAATATTAACTATTAATTTTACAATGAGAGACTTTGTACAAAAGTCGATTGCTTTCGATTGATTGGGTACCGCTGTCCCATTCGTGTTTCAACCGTGAAGCAGTTGTGTTTGCATGGCTGTGTTTCGGTTTGAAGGGTGGGATATGGCGTGAATTTAATGGGTACAGAGGAATAACGTCCGAGTCCTCAGGAATGGCAATGCATGGGGGGTATCATGGGCGAAAGAGTATACTCTGCTATGTCCATGGTACTGCTCATGTCTATAGGCGACGGTTACCACTTTCCATCAGGTGGGCCGTCAGCTTGTTTGCCATTCTAAATTGTATAAAAAAAAAGTACTCCTAACATTACAGACATCTACACTAATACTCCGTGTGGTCCCGGCATAGAATGGGCCACCCCTTCCTTTCCTGTGGGTGTTGTAACAGGTGAATAAGGGGAACTTAATAGTCGAGGGATCGGCAGCAGCGTCCCTTTTAAAACATCACGAAAGCCTAAGTGCTAGTGCCAATTCGCATGCCAAGCGTGACAACTATTGGTAAAACAAGGCCTATGTTGAGCAGCAGACAATTAACGACTGATAAAATAATAAAAAATAATATAATAACAGAAATATTATAAAAAGTTTTTTTTTATACGTTTATTTATTTGTAGTGGATAAATCCCAAAAGAGTACTGAACCAATTTAAAATTACTAATGAGTTACGTAAGTTAGATATTATTAAAAAAAAAAAAATAGAGATCCATTTAAAAAACAGACAGTAACCCAAGGTATAAAAAATTTGTCTATTAAATCTAATAAAAAATACGAATTTATCTTTCTATCTATATACCCGTGTGAAGCCGGGGCAGATTGCTAGTTAACTATAAATGTATGTACTTACAATCCAAACACCATCGTATTTCACTTTCTTATAATACGCCGTCAACATTTCCACCCAATAAGCGGTCGCGTTCGGATGGGTAAAATCCGGGTACACGGTCAAACCCTCATTCCATACCTAGAACAGAACAGAATAGAAAACATTTATTGCCAGTAAACACACAATCACAATATAAAATACAGAAAATACATATACAAGAAGTGTCCCATACTAGGCAAAAGGAACCGGCTCAGCTGATACTGTGAGTGTCCCAGTGCAATGTGTACAGCTGTACAGTGCTGGTTTTCAGCCAGTCCCTCTCTTAACAAAACACAACAAAAATGCAAGGTTTTTCTTTTTTTATACAACTTAGAATAGCAAACAAGCTGACGGCCCACCTGATGGAAAGTGGTAGCCGTCGCCTATAGACATGAGCAGTATCATAGACATAACAGAATATATACAGATGGTACTGCTCATGTCTATGGGCGACGGTTACCACTTTCCATCAGTTGGGCAGTCAGCTTGTTTGCCATTCTAAGTTGTATAAAAAAAAATCAAAGTTGTGATAAGAAATATTATTATTATTACCTTTCCCAGCAACGGTTGGTTGGTGTTGTTTTTTATGAAAACGTCCATCTCGATGCCGCGGTCGTACGGCGGGTACGTGCCCGGTTTCTGAGACGCACTGATGCCCGGATCTAAAAACAAACAATCTTTTTTTTTATAATAACAGAGCACGGGAATACAATTATAAATAATTAAACATTGTGTCCCACAAAAAACCAACTTTAAGTGTGACATAAGCATTTATTTTGATCTAAAATCTAAAGTACTAAAGCGATTTTGATAAAATCTCTATGAGACCAATATGTAAGTACATCCATTCAAATAGGAAAAGAATTTTCCAAATCAGTTCACAACTGACAAAGTCAAGAGGTAACACAAAATTAAAAAAACTCTTTTTACAAAATTTCTAATATTACTCTCTGTTTAGCGTAACGGTTGACTGGTAGAGAATACCATCAGGTATTAAGTCCGCCCTGTAGACATATTTTAATGTGTGCAAAAGTATAAATAAATAAAAATTTAAAAAAAAAACATAATGACTTAAGAAAATGTTGTGTACATCTGTAATTGGTGTAAAACATAATTAATCACTTAAGAAAATGTGTACATCTATAATTGGTGTAAAACATAATGACTTAAGAAAATGTTGTGTACATCTGTAATTGGTGTAAAACATTATGACTTAAGCAAATGTTGTGTACATCTGTAATTGGTGTAAAACATAATGACTTAAAAAAAAAGGTTGTGTACATCTGTAATTGGTGTAAAACATAATGACTTAGGAAAATGTTGTGTACATCTGTAATTGGTGTAAAACATAATGACTTAAGAAAATGTTGTGTACATCTGTAATTGGTGTTAATGCAAGATGCAAGCCCTGTATATCAATTAAAATAATTGTTTGTATTTACATTGTTAATGTACCTTTTAAAATAAATAAATAAATCTTATGTGTTTATACAATGTATGCAGATCGTATGACTGCCTATTTTTATTTTTAAAATAACATACAATTTACATGAAAAAGTTTTGCTGGAAAAAATCTCTTATTAGAGATAAGCTCGTCTTTGTACATTATGTTTCAAATGAATTGTGGTTAACATTATATTTTGTGTACAATAAAGAATAAATAAGCGAATTGAGACGTTGCTTTTTATTGAAGTCGATTGAAAAGTACTACGTGTACATACCAATAATCATGACGTACCGCATCCCCTCCTTATGCAGCTCGTCGACGAAGTCCGGCAGGCCCGCGAACCGCTCCTCGTCGTATGTGAAGTCATTACGGTTCTTCATGTAGTCGATATCGTTCCATTGCACATCCTATCAAGAAGCGTTTTTTATACAACTTAGAATGGCAAACAAGCTGACAGTCTACCTGATGGAAAGTGGTAACCGTCACCTATAGACATGAGCAGTATCATGGATATAACAGAACATACTGTTTCGCCCATGATCCCCCCTGCGTTACTATTCTTGAGTTCTTAGGTGTTATTTCTCTGTATCCTGTAAAGTCGCTGCTATATCTTATCCTTTAAATCGAAACAGCAATGCAAACACTACTGCTTCACAGTAGGAACACGAATGGGACAGAGATGTCCAAGCAAACGACTTTTGCACAAAGTTTCCCTGTGATCAAATTTTAGTGTGGTAGTTTATAAATTGTACTTAGTGGAATGAACACAAATATTATTTTTTTTTAGGTCTGGGTACTTAAATATTTGTAATTATATTGGAAAGAACATATAAAATATTTATGAAAGCTGCCATGCAAACACAACTGTGATTACAAATGTTTGCAATTCTATTTCATAGGATGAAAATGGAATACTAACCATGCCCCTGTGTTATTATATATATATATATATATATATATATATATATATATATATATATATATATATATATATATATATATATACATACATATATATATATATGCTTCAGTAAGGTAGCTTCATTTCAGATGAGAATGAAATCAGATCAGTAGGACCCATAGTAGCAAATCACTACTTTTTAGAGTTAATTTTTTTTTGGAGTACGCAAACAAAGTCTCAGGTAAAAGTTAGTGATTACATAATAGTAAATTGCTAATATTCGACAACGTTACTGTACTCACGAAAGGTATGCCCGCGTCGCGGTTTCTCTTCCACACATCACGTGTCGCGTTCAGTGATAAATAGTTGAACCTGAAATAGTATTGCGCTGTTAAATAAATAAATTAATAAAATTATTTTTTATTCAAGTAAATTTAATTGTAAAAAATTTTGAATAATAATTTTATAATTTGAATAACAGTTCAGAATCCAATTTCAGACGAGAAGAACAGGCAAAAAAGACAGCTGTCGATTTTTTAAATTTTTTTCGAATAAATTATTTGAAAAAAGCTACGTATTTTTCAACAATCTTTTTTTATGCAATTCCGAATAAGAAACGAGCTGGCCACTTAATGGAAAGTGGTTATCATTGCCTATATATTATATATGAACAGTACCGTGGACATAACAGACTATACTGTGTCGCTCATGATACGCCTCATTCTTTGCCATTTCTGAGAAGTAATGTTATGCCATTGTACCCTGTAATTTCACTGCCCTATCGCATCCTTTAAAGTGAATCATAGTTATGCAAAAACAATTGCTTCGCGGCAGAAAAACGAATGGGACAGAGGTACACAAGCAAACTACTTTAATACAAAGTGTCCCTCTTATTAAAATAAAAAATAAAAAATTTCAGCAAAACGTAAACTAAGTTGTATTTGGGTTGTATACTGACTTGCATAGATGGAAGCCGAGCGCCCAGTAGGGCGGCAGCGCGGGGCGGCCTAGTATAGCGGTGTACTGCTGCAGCACGGCGGCGGGCGTGGGCCCGGCCATCACCAGCAGGTTGAGCACACCGCCGGTGGCGCGGAACGTGATGGCGGGCGCCGGCTGCACCACCACGTCTGCCGGTATATTCACGTCAAGTTTCTACATATTGCGGGTCTACCATGAAATGAAATTCCGAAATTTCGGACTCAATTTCGTGTTTTTGTTTATACCAAAAACGGATCAATAAATGGAGTTTAACATTTCGTTCGTCATACATCCTATCATAAAAGTCCAAAGGAACAATATTTTAACATTTTTAATATTTCCAAACGGCAGGTATTATGTAATTTTAACATCAAATTTGTGTTTCGTTTGGCTCCGAAATTTCGTAAAACATTTCATGGTAGGCCCTCTAGATACATCTCGCGGCTGTAATAAAAGTATATATATATCGCTCATAACATCGCTCATAACATTCTTGAAGCTATATCTGTTTATAATATGACTAGCGACCCGCCCCGGCTTTGCACAGGTGCAATGTTGATACTAAATAGCGCAGCCGGTTCATTAGAAACTTCTGAAATTATCAGTGTTTCTCTACTGTATTATGCATGTATTATACATATAAACCATCTTCTTGGGGGGAGGGGAAAAGATTGTTAGCAATGGAGTTTGACAACCCCCTGGAAACCATCGTGAACAATTCTTGTTGAATTCGTCACGATGGGCTAACTGACCTACTTCATCGTCACCTATCATCCTTCACTGGTGTCCCGCCGGTGTATACCGATAGCGCGGGAAGGGGTTACCATTCCATTATCATCCATTTAAAAAAAAACCTTCCTCTTGAATCACTCTATCTACTAAAAAAAACCGCTTCAAAATCCGTTGTGTAGTTTTAATGATTTAAGCATACATAGGGACAGACAGACAGCGACAGCGACTTTGTTTTATACTGTGTAGTGATTTTCTAATAAATACAGCTTCTTTATATATCGAATGCCTGCAGCATTTGTTTACATTTGTTTTGTCAAAACACATTTTAGTAAGTCAAGTAATAAGACTAAAAATGAGATTTCATACCCATTGCGTTCGAGTTGAGTAGAAACACTCCGTGTGCGTTACCGCCGGGTTCTATTCCCATGTAGAATGGATGAGTGCCATACAAGTTAGCCTGTAACATCATATACTTTTGTAAAATAAAACATACCAGTTTTCATTGTAACGGGATTAATTTACAGGAAATTATGAGGTCTTTAATTACAATAAAAAAAAATTTACGAGTTATAAATCTGATTTTAGCTGCTTTCTCGTTTAGTAAATTCTATATAAATAATTGTTATAAATAATTGTCCATAAGGCAAAGATATTGTATAAATACAAAAAATACAGACAATAATAGATGCTTTTTTTTTAAATAAAAAAAAAAAATACAAGAAAACCAGATAAAGGTCATAATCATATCAGCTTTTAACTGTCCACTGCTGAACATAAGCCATAACATAAGCTAAGGGGTTTTTGCCAGTAATTACTACTATTGGCAGGCGAATTGGCAACCACAGTTAGGCTTTAGAGATGTTTTAAGAGGGACGCTGCTGCCCAACTCTCACCCTCCCTTAGTCGCCTTTTACGACACCCACGGGAATGGAAGGGGTGGCCTATTCTATGCCGGGACCACAGGGGAACGATAACGGCAAGGTAACATATCACGTACATGTTGTAAATAGCAGGATGCAGTAATAAAATATATATGTATTTGTGATATAAAATAATAAGTTTAGTGAAAAAAATACGAGACATGTCTTATAAAAATCTGACATAGAGCAAACATAAAAATAATACATTGTTCTAAAAAACCTCAATGTCAACAGCCAGTATTAAAACTTCAACATTACATTCTCAATAGGTTTCCTGTCGCGGTTGTAGAGTGCAAAGGTTTGCCAGTTCATGTCTATCATAAACCTCGCCCGTCTCTCGCCCAGGCCGAATATGTGATGGGTGGGCAACACGGCTGACAGCTGCAGCATCATATCCGATAAGATCAACCCGCCCACGTCCTCTGTGTCAAATCTGCAATATTCAAACCCAATAGAGTGAGATCCCATAAAGCAGCAGCTTTTAATGGTAGCTTCCGATATCAAGCCACAAAATGTTGGAACAATATACCACCTCCCATAAGACTGATCGCCACTAAGTCCAATTTCAAAATTAATTGACAAAAATTCTTAATTGAGAGGCAAAAGTTAAACATTCCCACAAGTTACCTCTATGTTCCATTTGTCTGCTAGATAAACTATCATATCTGTCTGTTTACTGTATATCTATCTGTTTACTGTATGGATAATCTGGTAGTATTGTTTTATTGTTACAGTATTCCCTTTGGCCGCAACAGAATATTAGTGCTTTGCTCTTTTGAGGGCGAAATAATAAACTGAGTTGTCACCATTTTGTATTGTTATGGCACACGCACAAAGAAAAATTGTATTTAGCTTTATGTATTTTTTTAAAATAATTTATGTTATCTCGCTTTTTATGTATATCTATATATGTTACAATTTGTTACAATTTAGAAATTATCTATCTATCTATCTATACCTACGTAATTTTATTAAAACAATTTTTTCTGAATGTGACAATAGGGAAGAACTAATTATTAAAAATCCAAAAAAAATTAATTGGCCACTATGGATCAATTGACGGAACTACATCCCCACCCATCATCCGTCACCTATACCCCGCGATCGTAAACCAATAATAGCATAAGCGAGAATACTGTTTCATTGTCTTATATTAAAATCGAGAAAAAAAGTTATTTCTTTTTTTATACAACTTAGAATGGCAAACAAGCTGACGGCCCACCTGATGGAAAGTAGTAACCGTCGCCTATACACATGAGCATAACAGTACCATGGACATAACATAGTATACTGTTTCGCCCATAATAACCTATCATGCGTTGCCATTCCTGAGGACACAGATGTTATTCCTCTGTACCCTGTAAATTCACGCCATATCCCACCCTTTAAATCAAAACACAGCCCATGCAAACACAACTGCTTTACGGTTGAAACACGAATGGGACAGAGGTACCCAAGCAAACGACTTTTGTACAAAGTCTCCCTCCCTTCCTTTTTATCCTTCTAAAGGTCGTTTTGAGTTGCTATTTGCATATATAAAAGCTATCTACACACTACTGTCTCACCCATATTTCTGCCATGAAACTGCCACTGTGTAATACTCGGTTGTGATTCAGTTTTTAAGGTAGGTCATGGCATTTTTTTTATGGATGATAATGAAATGGTGACCCAGCCAGTGCTATCGGTATACACTGGCGGGGCACCAGTGAGGGATGATTAGTGAAAATGAAAAGGTCAGTTAGCCCATCGTGATGAATTCAACGATAAATTAATCACGATGGTTTCCAGGGGGAACCGCGTGGAGGTCGACCTAATAGGGCATATTGCTAGCAATAGGGCTGTCAAACTCCATTGCTAATAACCCCTTCCCCCCCAAAGGTCATGGCATTGCAATTACAGGACACAGAAGCTTAAGACTACAATCCCCAGAATGGTAATACATGAAGGGTGGGGGGATTGCTAGTAATGGGGACTAGCGGCTCTATTACTAGCAATATACCCTGTTATATATATAGGGGCGACCTCCACATGGTAACCCCTAAAAATAAAATGTGGTTATTCCCAGATTAATTTGTTACGATGAAGCTAACTCATCATCATCTTCATCTATCACCACTCACTGATACTTCACCAGTGTATACCGATAGCGCAGGCGGGGTAATCATTCTAAAAACCTTACCTTAGCTTGTAACTTGGGTACCTTACGAGGTATTGTGTTTTTTGTAATGCCCCATGTGAAGTAAATGGCTATAGGCGACGATTACCACTTACAATCAGGTGGGTCGCATAAGCATATTTGCCGTTCTAAATTACCAGTTAAGCACCAGGGGGGCTACCATGAAATGAAATTCCGAAGTTTCGGACTCAATTTCGTGTTTTCGTCCATACTTAAATCGGCCCAGTGAATGGAGCTTAACATTTCGATCGTTATAAATACTACCATAAAAGTCCAAAGGAATAATATTTTAATATTTTTAAACAGTAAGTATTATGTAATTTTAGCATCAAATTTGTGTTTCGTTCGGCTCCGAACTTTCGGAAAACATTTCATGGTAGGCCCTCAGAACGTAAGGAGTAAGTAACGGGAAAAACCGTCAACATCGAGCTAGTTGTAACCTTTCAAGTTATGAGTTAATGTATGTATGTATGTATGATTACTTACATGACCACATCGTCGCTGTCCCTTATTACTTTAAATCCAATACCGGACCCGTCCTCTGGTATTTTCACCCTCAGCTTCATGTCCGTCAATGGTTTTGGGACCATTGCGATCTCAGGATACGGAGGCTCGTATCTATTGTGCTCGGCGTCGTAAATCTGTGGTGAAACATAAGGGAGCTTCCATTAGTGTGAGCTTGAAAGGGGGAATGAATTAAAGACATCACATTTATAAGGGATCAGATAGAACATTAGAAAATACTACGTTCTTTTTAATGGGTGATGATGGTATGGTAACCCCGCCTGCGCTAACGGTATACACTGGCGGGGCACCAGTGAAGGATGATAGGTGACGATGAGGATATTTTCATACAACTTTTGCCGGCCGCCGCCGATACAGCAAAGTCGATCAAAGATATCTGTTTAAGTGGATGATTATTAATGATCCAAATATCTACGGCAATTTTGTTTTAAAGCCAACTTCGATTAGTCTCGAAGAAGATTGTCAAAATAATGCTCACATTTCCAAGCATGTTTGAGAAAAAATAGATTTATATACATCATGTGCATGCAACGTGTTCTATGATTAACTTTTTAAATTATCAGTTAAAACTATTGACTACAGTATGGGCTTCTTCAAAAATGGAGTAAAGAGGTTCCTTCAGGGTCGGCAACGCGCGCATAATATCTCTGGTTTTGCAGGTCATGTCTATAGGCGACGGTTACCACTTACCATCAGGTGGGCCGTATGCTTGTTTGCCACCTCAGTGGTATAAATTTTTTTTTTAAATCTACAGGTTAAATTGCGAACATGAACAAAAAAAACACTAACACTTAAAATAGGTTAATTGGACGATAAAAATAATTTTCCATCTTCACGCCAAGTCCCTTGCGGTGTAGGCAAAATGAACCGAGTTTCAAGACCTCTATCTTTAGATAAATCTCTTGTTTCCTGCACTTTCATAACTCGTCTCATATCAGGGTAAAATACATAACATCAATAAGTTACCTTAATTTGCACCACTTCATCCGACAAATATTTGATGTCGATCCGGGCGAACTCGAAATCATCCGGATACCCGGACGGCCGTGCTTTCTCATAGAATACGGTGGTGGAATGTTTGTCCTCGGTCATGTTGAGGAAACGGAAAGTATCGTACTGCGGCGGGAAGAAGCAGTACGGGATACCGTCTTTCTGTTCTAGTGTCACGGGATTCCAACAACAGCCTATAAATAAAAATAATTAAGGTTTTTTTTTAATGGATAATAATAGAATGGTTACCCCACCTACGCTAACGGTATACACTGGCGAGGCACCAGTGAGGGATGATAGGTGAGGATGAAGATGGTCAGTTAGCCCATCGTGACGAATCTAACAATAAATCAATCACGATGGTTTCCAGGGGGAACCACGAGGAAGTCGACCTGACAGGGTATATTGCTAGCAATGGGGCAATAATTAGGGTTACAAAACCAGTTATTTTGATTTAAAAACTACTATCACTGGATCGATTTTGATAAAATTCCTATGGGACCAATCTGTGAGTGATATCCTTTCAGATAAAAATACACTGTATCACTCATGGTACCCATCATGTTCCGGAGAAAACGGAATTGTTAGTAATAGGAACGTTATTCCCCATTGCTAGCAATAAACCCTGTCAGGTTGACGTCCACTACTCCCCATCCGAAAACCATCGTGATTAATGAATCTGTCACAATGGGCTAACTGACCTAGTTTCATCCTCACCTATAACCACTCACTGGTGCCCCAATCCCGATAGCGCAGGCGAGGTTATCATTCCATTGTCATTTACTAAGACCCATCAGGTTACATTCATCATTTCAGTCATTATCCGTCCACTGCTGGACATAAGCCTCCCCCATAGACTGCCATAAAGAACGGTTCTAAGCCACCTGCAATTACTGACTCCCTGCAATGTATTTCAGGTCGTCACTCCATCTAGTGAGGGGGTCGTCCTACACTGCGTTTACCCGTACGCGGTCGCCACTTAAAAATCTTTCTTCTATGGAGGACTATGGTATTATTACGTAAAACCAACCTCTATTAACGCAATCCTTCTCATTGGGACTGCCCCGTGGGAAACAATCGAAGCGCATGTTATCAGCAATCTTCTCACACATCTCCTTCAATATTTCCGGGGTACGTTCCATGTAGCTCTTCTTGTTGTAGTCTCTCCGCCTTGTGAACTCGGTGGCGTTGCCTTTGTTCTTTGTGCTTAGATTATTGTGGTCGTGGTATCGATGCTCGGGCAGAATCTGTTTAAGGTATATTATTTAATAATTTAATACTATTTTTTTATACAACTTAGAATGGCAAGCAATAGGTGACCGCTCACCTGATGGTAAGTGATAACCGTCGCCTATAGACATGAGCGGTACCATGGACATAACAGAGTATACTGTTGCGCCCATGATACCCCCCCATGCGTTGCCATTCCTGAGGACTTAGGTGTTATTCCTCCGTACCCAGTAAGTTCACGCCATATCTTACCCTTCAAACCGAAACACAGCCATGTAAACACAACTGCTTTACGATTGAAACACGAATGGGACAGAAGTACCCAAGCAATCGACTTTTGTACAAAGTCTCCCTCTGGTGAAATATAAATATTTATTTGGTATAAAATCAAAATTAGGATAGATACTGATTATATGCTAAATACAATGAAACCAAGAAGTAGTTGATTTTAATATCAATTCCCTATCATTTATGCAAAAAATATTAGATTATTTTTAATTTGGATTTAAAACAGTTTTTTGAATCGGATTTTCTAGTTTGGAAAGAATATGTAATTTTTTTATTATTATTATTTAATTTATTTATTTTAGATAACTTGTATCAATTTTTGTTAGTAAATATACTTAAAAACTATGTTAATACTTGATCGCTAATAATGATCTAGTACTCTCGGCAAGCATTCTCACGAGAGTAGATACTATCTAATTTATTTACAAACATCTTCAGAACACTGTTGCCACTCCCGCATATTCTATGTAAAAACAAAGCTGTCTTTTTACGCACGACTGCGTCAAAACCATCTGTGTGAGCTTCGGCAAACATCGCTGAGGCGCTACAGAAGACTTTGAGTGATATTGGATTTTGGATTTGTTACCATAGGTACATATAATGGAAACTCGATCATTAGTGTCAGACTGAGATTTGACTTTTTATGTTTAACCTTCAATTTTACCTTTTCATACGTAAGTGGTGTTGGCGGCTTCTTTGTATTATCAGGATGCGCTCGCTCCCACAGTTTCCTGCAATTCAATGTTATCTTGTAGGAGTTGATAATATTGAATATGTTAATTACTTAATGACAATTCAAATTTTCCTAATTATCAACGAATTTCAAAAACAGAAGGAATTTAATAATGAAGTTAGATTTTATTTCATCTGAAAGGATAACTTTCAGATAAGTCACATAGAAATTTCATCATCAGAACTACAGGATTTGATTCAAGTGTTTTTTTTTTAATCTATTTGTTATACATCTGCTTTATATGATTTAAAATTACTTCTTATTTGTTATTTAATATTAAATATTTACATGTTTATAATATTTATAACTAAAGTTTCGAAATTAAATTCAAATTTAGAATTCTCCGAAACTCATAGATACTCTTTATCATATTACAAATCGACTCTTCATTCAAAGCGGTCTTAACTTTACGGCGGCGATAACAAAGAAACTGCTTTGCGTTTTACATGAAGGTACCACTCTTAAGAACAAAATATCTCGTGTAGTAAAACCCTTGAAATAAATCCATGCATTAACATATATTAAAATTATAGAATTTTTATTGTGCCTCTGATTAAACTGTTTATTTTTTTAATTAATAAATTACTCTTCACCATCCAAAGGTTGCTTGGCCTCATTTTAATGATAAGGTCATCATTGTTTACTCAGTGTAATCTTGTAATTGTTTATTAATATAATAATAAATATGTATAAAGTTTACTAATGTAATCTTTTGGAGGGAACAAAGAGCATTTATCTATTTTCATACAACAATAACACAGGTATATGTCACTTATCAAACTGGGACATGCTAACTTATTTATTTGAGATAACATGACCTATCTGCGAAATCAGTACTAAGTATAGTAATAATAACGATGAATACCTGTAATGCTCCTCTCCCCAGGTACCGCCCATTGCACCAGAGGCCGCCCACCAGGCACCGATGCACAGAGCACACAGCAGCAAGAGACCCAGCACACCTGACCCCATGCCAGGGAAGTGTTCCCACGCACGCTGGAATATATTGCGGCTCTCGGAAAACCGCTGATATCTGTGAACATACATTTCAACCATGTTGTTTGTTTACTAGTAAAAACATATTTTTTTATTATTTCAGCCTTAGCTGCCCACTGCAGAACATAAGCCTTTCCCATAAGGGGTGTTTTGGCAGTAGTTGCCATGCTTGGTAGGCAGGTTGGCAAACACAGGAAGGCTTTTAGAGGTTTTTTTTAATGGATGATAATGGAATGGTAGCCCCACCTGTGCTATCGGTATACACTGGCAGGGCACCAGTCGAGAATGATAGGTAAGGATGAAGTAGGTCAGTTAGCCCATCGTGACAAATTCAACAAGAATTGTTCATGATGGTTTCCAGGGGTAACCACATGGAGGTTGACCTAATAAGGCATATTGCTAGCAATGGGGCTATCAAACTCTATTGCTAACAATCAGGCTTTTAGAGGTGTTTTAAGAGGGATGCTGCTGCCCATCCCTCGCTCTCCCTTAGGACATAGGACATTCACGGGATTAAGGGGAAAGGGATTGGTAGCAATGGAGTTTGACAGCCCCATTGCTAACAATATACCTCAACCTGATAGGGTAAATCGCTAGCAATGGGACTGGTCCACATTACTAACAATCCCTTTTCCCCTACAGACAATACTTATAAAATACAAACACTAGTCTAGTATACACAAAGCACTGACTGAATATTGTATAATTATTTTAAAAATAGCTTTTTATACTTGGTGTTGGATGTCAATAAACAATGCAACATTAAAGACATATATATATCAAAAGTTTTATTACTTTTATTGTATAGTCATAGATAGAGACAGATAATAAATAAAGCAATTTATATGAAAATTATTTGTGTCACTGCATTGCAATAACATTACAAAAATGTCTTCATTGACATGTCAATGATGAGATTTAAAAGGATGCCAACCAAAATACACTGTGAAAAATGCATAACATTGATGAATTAAAAAAAAAATGTAATGTTATGTACCAATGAATCTGTTTATATGTATTACTATGACACTATCTGATTTTTTAAGCTATTATATATAATTTATATATATATGGTGCCCTGCATTATAGTTGAAGCAGACAGTAGCCTGCTACTATTAGTATCAATATAATGTTCAACCTTGAGACTGTTCTTAATATCAAAAATGAATGCATTAATTGAATTATAAATCATACTGTATTGTATAGGAACTTTAGCCATATGTTAACTTAAATAGTTTTACATGTGACAGGAATATGACACAAGCAGTTATTCAGAAGCACAGTTTACAACTATGTAGCCAGCAACACTGTATGATCAGCAATTATCATCATTAGTTTTACTTGAATAAATCAGAGGTGCCTACAAAAACAAACTTACCTATGTTCCCTGGAGCTGGACTCCCCTTCATTCCTAGGCTTTGGTATTACCCCACTAAAGAGGGGCCCACGATTGGTCTTTCCATTGAATCTCCCAAATGGAGCAAATGAGTTTGATAGTTTTCTTTTAAAAGTAACATTTTTGGGACCACTTAGCGACGTTTCTGTATGGCTTTCTAAATCCCTGCTCGATGATTCTCCTTCATTTTCACGGTATTTTGCCGTCTTATCACTTTCATAACAAAGCCGATAATTTATGTTGTCATTCAAAGTCAACAAATCTGTTTTGCAATTAGGCGACTTATCACAGAAATCTTCGAAGGACACAATCTCGTAATCTTCGTCGTCGTCCCTAGATTTATCAGATTTATAAGGTATTTTCGGCATATTGCCTGCCATTTATCAGACAAAAAATATTTCCAAGTTCAGTTATAATAAAATCTTCATTTAGAGAAGAGAATTCAAATAACCGGGCTAGTACTGTAGAGGAAAATAGATATCATCTTCGTGTTTGTCCAATGAACTTTCAAATGAATCTTAAATTAGAACGTTCAAATCGAAGTTTGAATTAGGAAACAAAGAAAACAACAAAGATAAAAAATTTACTGACAAATTGGAATTGGCAATTTTAGTTTTGTTTTTTTTCTGACAAAAGTGTCAAACTTGGCATTTGACAAGACTATCAAGATAACAGAAATAAACGGTAGCATAGATTAAGGATACTAAAGAGATAAACTAATATATTGTTGTATATGTCAGATTCTATATTTCTGGCACACACGCTCATTACGATACCACATTCTTTGGGTACCACAGAGTAATTAGCGATATCTACTTATACTGTAAAATACTTACCTCGGCGTCTTCTTGAATTATTTGTCCCTATTTATTTGATTTCTATGATTATCCATTTGTCTTATATTTAAAAATAAATAGTTCTATTTAGAAGTACTTCATTAAATGTCATTATAAGTACATTTATCTTTTAATCATTTTAAAGTTGCTAAATAATTAGCAAATAATCATTTTTGTGTATCAATAACAGGTGTAAAGCTTGGTAAAAAATGAGTAAGTCTGTTTATTATTTGCTTCATTTTGTAAATTTACTATTCCATATTAAATACTCTATAAATATTTAAAGAATCCAGCAATAAATATATCGCAGCTTTTAAAATGCCGGTTCATAATTTTTTTATATAACCTCAAAAACTTTGTTTCAGCGATGGATATACGTCCCAATCACACAATTTATATAAATAATTTAAACGAAAAAATTAAAAAAGAGGAATTAAAAAAATCTCTTTATGCTATTTTCTCTCAATTTGGACAAATATTGGATATAGTTGCTCTGAAAACATTAAAAATGAGAGGACAAGCTTTTGTTATATTTAAGGAAATATCAAGTGCAACAGTTGCACTGAGGAGCATGCAAGGCTTTCCATTTTACGACAAACCAATGGTAAGGTAACTGGAGTTTTTGGTATTTTTTTTTTATTTCTATGGTTTAATGACTGATGATAATGGTAAATGAATTGTAGCATTCCTTAAAATATAGGTGAATACTTGACTTATTCATTCATCATATTTGTGAATCTGATGATAAATATCTGGTGATGTTTACTACTTATTACCAACTGATTATTAACTTTAATAATTTACAATTAATTTTAAATTCGTTTGATCTAAGTTTTTTGTGGGTCTGAACGCAGTCTTAAAATAATGAAAAAAGTTAATTTAAAAGTCATTAATACAACAACACAGACAAGTATACTTAAAAGATATTTATATATATTCTAAAACAAACAACTTGATTGCAGAGAATCCAGTATTCAAAAACAGATAGTGATGTTATCGCAAAAATTAAGGGCACCTTCCAGGAAAGACCAAAACGCCCCAAGATGCCCAAAGGTACAGATGATAGCAAGAAGAAGAAGAACAAAGAAGCTGGACGGCACGCTGTCCATGGTGTGGGTCAGCCCAGTTTGCTCAACAATGTCAATGTTGAACAACCACCTAACCAGATCTTGTTCCTTACCAATCTACCAGATGAAACATCAGAAATGATGTTGTCTATGCTTTTCAACCAGTAAGTTAAATATTTTTTTAATTTTAATACCATTAAAGTCCCATTTCCATGCATGGGGCTAGCTATCAAGACTGAAAATTATAAGTCATTTGTTCAATCTCTATATTCTATGTAATACAAACATTTTTATTAAAAAATAAGTCATATTATTTTAAGGCGACTGTATCAGATGGTTATTATAAGAAGAGGATAGTGGTATACAATTTCCAGTTTTTTTATACTACTTTATTGCAGTTTGCTTCTCTAAATGTATCTTAGAACATTTTATGAGAATGAGAAGTGTTGATGACACTAAATGGAACCAATGATATAAATAAAAAAAAAATAACAACACTAATATAAAAAATAATATTTTGAAAAAAGAAATTACATAAGAAAAGATTCAATTTTCAACTGACTTACAAAAGAAGGTTCTGAATTAGGTTGTATATTTTTTTTTTTTTTTTATGTTATGACACCATCAGTTGTAAATCAATTTGGAAAACTCTTTTATCTGATAGGATGTACTCATAGACTCACTTCCATAGAAATTTTATCAAAATCAATTTAGTAATTTAATTTTTTAATCAAAATAACTGGTTTTGCCACAACTGAAGTTGTTTTTTTTTTTTATGTAATACAATTATTTATCATCATCGTGATCATTATATATCTAATTTGTTCATAATATATGATACCTTCATACTATATTCATTAATAATTAATTCCCTTTACAGATTCCCTGGCTTCAAGGAAGTCAGACTTGTACCAAATCGACATGACATTGCGTTTGTTGAATTTGCTAATGAAATGCAGTCTGCAGCAGCCAAGGAAGCACTCCAAGGATTTAAGATCACTCCCACTCATGCTATGAAGATAACATTTGCCAAGAAATAATATTTAAATTTGTAAAGTTAAAAATAAAAATAAAGTTTAAGAACCAATATGAGATCTGTTTGAAGCATTGCACTCCGCTTGAACAGCTCTCTTCGGCTGTGATTAGTTAATAAGTGTACAATTGAGTTTATTTAAACAAAACACATATTCTCCTAAAATTAAAAATCCCAAAACATGATAAGTGATGATCTTAAGCCAGTTATTGTGGCTTAAATTTGCTATGGGGCAATTAACAAAAATTAAAAATTATTGCATGCCTTATGTACAGTATAAAAAAAAAGCAAAAATATGAGAAAACTAATATACTATAGTATTCTATTATTCAATAATTTGTCACTTTCTCTTTTTTTTTTTTGTTATGGTATTTTTTAACAGCTAAATTCATTTACCAAAGGGAGACTACAAAAGTAGTTTTGCTTGGAACTCTATCTCATTCGTGTTTCTACTGTGAAGCAGTTGTGTTGGCATGCCTGTGTTTCAGTTTAAAGGGTTCTTTTTAATGGGTAAAAATGTAATAGTAACCCCGCCTGCGCTATACGCTATACTGCGTATACGCTAGCTGGGTTTAGTTTGAAGGGTGACAGAGACATAACATCTTAGTTCTTAGGAATATCAACGCATGGCGGTATCATATGCGAAACAATATACTCTGTTGTGTTGGTCCATGTCATGTCCATGGTGTACTTTCCATTAGGTGGGCAGTCGGCTTATTTGGCATTCTATGTTGCATAAAAAAAAAATAAAAGGACAACCAGTACATATAGGGATATACTTTTTAATTACCATTTTGTTATTATATCAATATGATACTGTTCAAAATTTATAGAATTCTTCAATAGATTATGGTGCTAGAGCCCTAGTAATTTTATGCACACTAAATATCACTATACATAGTTCATCCCTCATACCGTCAACACATAGGATGCAATACTGCAAGACCTTTGATAATAAAATCAACTTTCATAAATATTTTATATGTTCTTTCCAATATAATTACAAATATTTAAGTACCCAGACCTAAATAAAAATAATATTTGTGTTCATTCCACTAAGTACAATTTATTAACTACCACACTAAAATTTGATCACAGGGAAACTTTGTGCAAAAGTCGTTTGCTTGGACATCTCTGTCCCATTCGTGTTTCTACTGTGAAGCAGTAGTGTTTACATTGCTGTTTCGATTTAAAGGATAAGATATAGCAGCGATTTTACAGGATACAGAGAAATAACACCTAAGAACTCAAAAATAGTAACGCAGGGGGGGTCATGAGCGAAACAGTATGTTCTGTTATATCCATGATACTGCTCATGTCTATAGGTGATGGTTAAAACTTTCCATCAGGTGAGCCGTCAGCTTGTTTGCCGTGTTGTTTTCGTGCTGCTTACCTCTGGATGAGAGATAGGCTTTCAGCTATACTTAAGACGTTTTTAGATTTAGATCCGTGAAAGGGTAAGCCCACTCTGGAAAATAAATACATGCCTTGCTATTTCTGTAAATTAAATCAAATAATGCTTGTTGAAATATGAGTATATGTCAATAGAACTGCTATTTAATCATTTCTGTAGCTATTTCTATAGCGAATATAAGATATCGACAGTGTTCCGGACTACCTTAAATCGAATTACAATCATAAGTATATTTTTAATCTATATTTAAAGTAAAAGTGATTCTCAAACATAGCATAAATTAATTAAATATTCTATTCAGATTTTCAAAGGAAATGAAGAGAATTTTAAAATTTTGTCATTCAGATACAAAAATGCACTATAATTTCAGCAATAATTTTTTATTTCCGAACGTTGAAAGGAACCAATAACTCGACCGAATGTAGTATGTATGTGATCTATTTACATTTACTTTGAATAAATGTAGTAGAAAGAGATAACTATAACAATTAAATACGCGCTAGACAAGGAGAGACAAGTATATTAAACTACATTTAAATTAAACAACGTATCCACGTTATTTTTAGTGATTGCGAAACTGTCAAACTTTAATATGAATTTGTGATCTAATTTGTAATTTTTATTATTTTTTCAAAATAATAATTTACTTCTCTATTTATTTTAATCAGGTGTATAAATTCCACTTTTCTCTCTACTATTAATGTGATATATCAGTCAGTGCAAAGTGTGTTTATTTATAAAACATGGAAGATATATTTCAGTGGTGTCGAGAAGGAAATGCCCTACAAGTAAGGGTTTGGTTGGATGACACTGAACATGATATGAATTTGGGGTAAGGTTTGTTTAAGTATTTAAACCATATGGAATTTGGTTGGTACCACCTTAATTATTAAGTGTAGATCATACGCCCACAGAGATTTCATGGTCGAGTTAAATATGTCAACATGTTCATTAAATCAATAATATTGAGCAGAAATAAAAATATTTATTTATTATTAAGTCTCCATTAAATATGTCTCCATGAAAAATAAATAAAAATTGCATATAAATTATTATTAGGAATAGTAGAAGAGATTAATAGGTCAGTACACTGACTCAGCCTCATTATTAATATTAGTTTAAATCACTGTCGTAAGTCCTTGATATATTTTTTAGCAGTAAATATACTTTATTTTATGTTACTTTTCAATATACTTAATAAATACACAGTTTTTCAATTCAACTAAAATTATTTTTAATTTTATGTCTTGTATGAAATATCTCTACCAATATTTTACTTGATTTAAGTTACTCTTTTCTTAGTTAAATTTGTTAAATATAGGAGTCCCATGCAATTTTGTAGAGATAGATATTTGTTTTTGTGTGGAAATTTGTTTTAAATTATTTAAAATTCAGTATGGTTAATTATTTAAGTTTTCTTACAGTTATGCATTTTAGTTTTATAGCCTTCTGTTATTGAGTATATTAGTTTTATCAACATATTAGTTTATTTGATAATTTTTAATTAAATATTTGATAAAAGAACATACTTACATACATTTAGAGATTAGATAAAGTCATGGCTGTAGCTTGGAGGAAGGCATTTAGGGACAATGCCCTACCTTAAAACGAAAGGCTCCAAGAAAATTAGATATATATATATTCTTTATTGCACAAAAACATACAGTAACAACAATAAGTTAATAACAATGTTAGCAAAGGCGAACTTATCTCTAAAAGAGATTTCTTCCAGTCAACCTAACGCAGTGGCATAGGAAGTAGTGAGTGGGCAGTAGTAGTGCAAGACAGAAATTTAAATAAATATTTACATAAATTATAAATAATTATATATATACACACATGCATTCACATAAATACATACATACACATACACATATATATACATATACACATACACATACATATACATATACACACGTTAAATACAACATATAAATATCAGATACAAGAGAACACAATGATGACAGTCTTCTAATCATTTTTATATTTAAATTAAATTGGAAAGATAAAATGATTTTAATCTTTTTAGATTTGCTTTTACAAAGTCACTTAATTGTGGCTTCTGCTCTACCAAATAGTTCTTTTGCCCTACCTTAAACTTGGGTCTAGCTATGGTCCTGGATAAAAAAAGATAATAATAATGTAGCAAATATGACTTGGTAGTCATCACAAACAAGAGTCTGTAACATAGACATGTAAATCCTTACTAATATTATAAATATGAAAATGAGTTTGTTTATTTGTTTGTTAATTCTTGGAGTCTTTACGACCTAACTGATCTTTGATAAGAACTTTGGTATACAAGATATATATAGGATGGATAAGGGTATAGTTTTTTTTTTTATATAAGTCAATTAACATATCCTGGTCATGCAGATGAAGTCACAAGTGAAAACTGTTGAGAAAATAAAAATCAGAGATTAAAGTTTTTTTTTTTTATCTAATACAAAACAATCTAAGGATGTGATTTTATATACATATATTTCATAATAAAATTCCATTTGTATTCACACATTGTATCAAATGTAAGGAGTCATTGATGAAATCCTACCACAATGAATGACATTAAACCACAGAGTTACATAGTAATGTTATGACTAATCATAACAGTTTCCTTAGGCATAGATCTGATCTACTTTACTGTATGAACTTATGAAGCATAGCTTATTCATCTTTCCATATTAGAAATTTCATGTAGCAATTTGGATGTTAATTTTACTGAAAATTACATTTATAGTGTTTGTATATATTTGTAAAATATATTTAATTTTCAATATTAGATACTCCAACTTTTTTCTTTTCTTTTATAGTCTGCTAATTGGCAATCTGTTCCTTATAGAACAATAATCCAATCTGCTGTTTTGATGTCAGGTTTAAATTTTGTTAATATATGATGAGGCCAATCCATTAACCAGCTCTCAATCACTGTTCGTAAATCTTTCTACCAGTCCTTGGATGCTGTGTGTTTTTAATCGAGAGAAACTAATGCTTTCCGATCCTTGTAATTGAGCGGACAATTCATTCCTATGCCTATTCTAACTAGTAATATGAGAACTGGTTTTGACAGAAAATATTTTTAAAAATTAATTGAAGACTGTAAAACGTTGTTACTAGTCATGTAGTTCAGAAACTTTGCAGTTAAAATATATTTAACTAACAGAAACTATATGATGTTGCTTTCTACTTTACTTATAATAGGTTAATTGCCTAGTAGTCCAATGTTGATAAAATGTATATTATTTCTTTATATTCTTTATTCTTTATTGTACACAGAAAGTTATTTCCCATGCTTGGGCTTTTTTAATTTCATGAGGAAGTGTGTTCCATAATCTAATTGCAGCCACAACAAAAGATTCTGAATACGCTTTGTAGTTTGTAGTCAATATAATAGGTAGGACAAATTACTGTAAGTTTAACCTCAGTGAGACATATCATCATAGTCGTAGAATACTGATGGATCTGGCAAAGATTACATATATAGATCAGTCAGTATTCTATGTCTATGACGATATGTGTGTTATAAGTCTTGCATACTAAGGTATTTTTCTTATGTTACTAGTACTAATGGTTTATGGTGGGCGAAGTGAGGGATGATAGATGAGGATAAAGTAATATCTATTGCCTATTGTGACATATACACTAAGAATTATCCACAATAGCCAATCAAAAGGAAGATTCACTGAATGTAGAGCAGATCATACTAAATGCCTCTCTTGTCAAAAATTACACTGGATTTTTTAATGATAATGGAATGGTAACCCAGACTGCTCTATTGGTATATGCTGGTGATGATGATAGGTGAGGATAGGAGGGATGGTAGGTGAGGATGTTGTATCAGCCATTAACTGTCCACTGCTGAACATAGCCTCCCCCATAAAGCGAGTTTTACAGTTTGGCATTTGGTAATGTTTTAGGAGGGACGCTGCTGCCCATCCCTCCACCATAAGTATCCTTAGTTGCCTCTTATGATACCCATGGGAAAAAAGGGGTGGACTATTCAATGCAAGGACCTACAGGGCTTAGGTGAGAATGAAAAGAGGTTGATTGGTGCATTGTGATGAGTACATAAAGCATAATGGTTTTAAGGGAGGAACGTATGGAGGTTGATTGACAGTGTATATTGTTACCAATGGGGCTGGTAGTTGCTAATACTAACAGTCCCTTCTCCCCAAACCACAATAGCTTTATTCTTATTTACACAATTTTTTTTTATAATTCCAGCGATGATCATGGCTTTAGCCCTCTCCACTGGGCATGCAAGGAGGGTCATCTCAAAATTGTTGAGATGCTGATCAGACGAGGGGCCCGCATCAATGTCACCAACATGGGTGATGATACACCGTTGCACCTGGCTGCTGCGCATGGGCATCGACCCATTGTACAACTGGTTTGTTCATCTGTTTATCTACCATCATCTATATCTAGCAGTCCCCCCCCCTCATTAAATTTGGTATACAGACATTGTTTGCAAAAGAGAAGGAACTATTTATTTTTGTTAATCAAAATATCATTGTCATACAGACAAAGTCACAGCTAAAAGCTAGGTTTTAATATGTTAGTTGTAGTAGGTAAAGTCTACATCATATAAACCGTTAATTTAAATGTAGTAATTATATGTAAGTTATTATTGAGCGGTTGTTGCTTACGCTCGTGTCACAGCCGCTCAAGATTAAGGATACCGAACGGTCCCGAAACTAGTCGAGTTTTCTTACTTGTCATATCTCACCCTTCAAACCCAAACCATGGCTGTCCATCCAAACACAACTGCCTCACGGTAGAAACACGAATGGGACAGAGGTGCCCAAGCAAAGGACTTTTGTACAAAGTCTCTTTCTGGTATATAATATATAATAATGTGTACATATAAAACTTTTAATAATAAAACCTTTAATTGTTGTTACGTTATTATAAATATGAGGAAAATTATGCAGTCTATATAATAATATAAGGAAAATGCCTCTATTTTTAATATATCTTAATTATCGTTGAATACTGTACAGGTAACTATATTACGCATTGCACAAAAACATATTTTGCTCAATAATTTATGAGTATTTAATAGAATGTGTGGTTTTTCAATTCAATACAATTGAAAATTAAGTACTAGTTTTTAATCATAACACCGTTCGTTAGGTTTCAGAAGTGGAAAAATTTATGAAATACACCGCTTCTGGATGACGTAGTAAAATAAATATGACCTTATTGTACCACATTTTTTGCAATAAAATTCATTCATTCGTTCATTCGTTCATAAAATATACATCTAATTTTTAATTACAACTTCAAGAATATAACAAACCGCATTCCATTAGTGCCTACTGTTTGCATTGATGTCGGAATAAACAGATAAAAATTAAAACATTTTTAGGGTTCCGTACCTCTAATGGAAAAAACGGTATCCTTTTTTTTTGATGGGTGTAAATGGTATGGTAACCCCGCCTGCGCTAACGGGATACGCTGGCGGAGCACCAGTGAAGGGCGATAGATGAGAATGAAAACAGGCCAGTTAGCCCATCATGATTAATTCATCAGGAATTAACCATGATAGTTTTCAGGGAGAACCGCGAGGAGGTCTCATGCGTGCGTTTCTCTGCCTATCCTATAAAGATACACAGAAATAACTATACAAAGGGTACTCTTACTGTACACGCAATATTTTTTGCCAACAATTGTGAACTTTGTTTTATTTAAAATGAAAAAGTAAGGTTTAATTTTGTTAAAACTAAACTCGTTTTCTGATGTCAATTATCACGCTGTTGCGTAAACACATTGTCCTCCTTTTCCTCGACAGTTGAGTAAAAATATTGTTCGTTATTATTTCCAGTTGTTACAAAATCGTGTGGATGTAAACTTTACGAATGAACACGGCAACTCCCCGCTGCATTACGCCTGCTTCTGGGGGTACAGCGCGATCGCTGAGGACCTGCTGATGGCCGGCGCACTGGTCTCGATGGCCAACAAGGATGGGGACACGCCCCTTGACAAAACTAGAGGGCAGCTAGTACAGAGGTGAGTAATTTTTTCATGGATGTTTTTTAATGATAATGGAATGGCATCCCCACCCTCGCTGTCGATATACACTGACGGGGCACCAGTGAGAGATGATAGGTGAGGATGAAAGCAGGTAGAGTTAATTCATTGTAATTAATTCAACAAAATTTAATCACAACGGTATTTTAATATAATGAAGCAGAAAAATTATATATATATATATATATATATATACATATATATATATATATATATATTAAGTTTAGATTTACTGGTGCCTGAACTGGGTATCCGAAGAACACATATCATAAGTCACCAGGACCCCTCCCTAGTATGAAACAGTTTATGGTAATACATACATGAAAATATTGCTAGTAATGGGGCTATTTAATTCCATTACTAACAATCTCTTTCCTTGTACTCAATCAGTTAGGTTCTATAATGTGATGATGAATTCCCAGGAAAATTATATTAAAATCAAATAATTTTCACGAGCAGACTCCACGAAATGGCAGTGCAACAAGGGCAGGAGCTTAAGAAGATCCAGTTCAAGGACCAGTCGTGGCTCGGCCTCAAAACGCGCAGCAGGGACGCGACGCTGTCCCGCCACAAGGGCATCAACATCAACGAGCTCGCGCTGCACACGCAAATAGCCACCACGCCTTCAGGTAAATTCTAAATAAAATATGTTTTTTCAAAAAAAGTCATAAATTGTTGGAATATACATATATTGATAGATTCGCGGTGGGCCCAGTATACAATGGGCCACTTCTCTCTTTCTCGTGAGTGTCGTAAGAGGCGGCTAAGGGACTTTAATGGGATAAGCAGCAGTGTCCCTCTCAAAACATCATCAAAACCTAAATGTGTCTGCCTATCGTGGCAATTACTGGCAAATATGTCATGTCGTATAGGGAGGTCAAAGGTATGACCTGAAATAGAGCTGGCTGGAAGACAATACATGAATTATTTGCACCAACAAGAGGGAAGTCTTGAAAGAAGAGAACTAATGTACCAGAGAGAGACTTTGTACAAAAGTCGATTGCTTGGGTACCTCTGTCCCATTCGTGTTTCAACCGTGAAGCAGTTGTGTTTGCATGGCTGTGTTTCGGTTTGAAGGGTGGGAAATGGCGTGAATTTACTGGGTACAGAAAAATAACACCTGAATCCTCAGGAATGGCGACGCATGGGGGGTATCATGGGCGAAACAGTATACTCTGTTATGTCCATGGTACTGCTCATGTCTATAGGCGACGGATACCACTTTCCATCAGGTGGGCCGTCAGCTTGTTTGCCATTCTAAGTTGTATAAAAAAAAGCATAATTATAGGAGCATCATTCAAAAATCATCATTTTTTACTGTTTTAATATAAATTATTATATCTTGATTGACTATTTATATATACATATAGTATGTACATAGTTCAAAAGATGTACTCCTAGATTATATAGATAGAGTGTCTCCATACAAATACTTAGAGAAAAGCGGGTCAACTTTTTCATATAATTTTGCGTGATAAATAGTTATGAGTGATTCCTTTATAATTTCTATATTTATTAGATAATTAAATATAGATACGTCACGATACATTATGTGCGTATGTGTATAGAACATTAATAAAAAATCGAGTCGCATAATTCGACAAAAAGTTGACCCGTTTTTGAGGCTCTATGCTCTATCTATATAATCTAAGAACGGACTAAATTCAACGAGTAAATAACATTATATTTCAAAAAATTATTAAGTGGTCATTAACACGTTGAGCCCGGCACCGAATTTGCTGTCCTTTCCGTTCAGCCGGCAGCCGGTAGCCAGCGAGAGATACAGTGTTGTATGCTATCGCCAAGAGATTACTTTAGTACTAATGAGATAAGGTATTCTCTGTCGCGCTATTTTGGACGTTTTTTAGGTGTATGTGTAATGTATGTGTGATTCTATTCCATATTTTCGTATGATGTATAGTAAAACCACGTAAGTACCTTCGAGAGGTGATCAGTTACAAAAGACCTATCGAAGTGTACAGATTGTTCGTAAAAAGAAAAAAGAATTTATTTTTGGAAATAGTTATTGCCCATAACGTTGAATATGTCCGACGCTGGCCACACGGAAAGTTTGCTGCCGGTCCCCAGGGACCGACGCTGGCCATACGGAAAGTTCGCTGCCGGTCCCCAGGGACCGACGCAGGGCCCAACGTGTTAATAAATAATATATTGCAGGCGAGACGTGGCGCGGCAAGTGGCAGCGCAACGACATCGTGGCCAAGATCCTCGCCGTGCGGGAGTGCACGCCGCGCGTGCAGCGCGACTTCAGCGAGGAGTTCCCCAAGCTCAGGATATTCTCGCACCCCAACATACTGCCCGTTGTGAGTACAACACAGACACCAGTTACACTACTTGTATACATCATCCCTTATTAGTGTTATAAATGTGAAAGTGAATTTGTTTGGACACCACGCCGGCATACACAGACCACCAGTGTATGCCGGCTGAAGGACCCAGCGACCCGGAGGTCGTCGCCTCCGGAGTTGAAGCCGGGGTAGTGGGGTATACCCCGAGGCCCCTACCTCGCCCGCCCAAACATCATCCGACGGGCGAGAGATGCCCATGTTGTTGTTGTTGAATTTGTTTGTTACCTTTTAACGTATTAATTTCTTTACCAATTACTATGAAATCTCCCTAAGTCACCTAGTTCTAACTAAAGCACTGGGATCTCTCTCTCTCTCTTCGTCCACTTCATTACCGAAGGTCCGTGTCGTTGAAAGATGTTTGTTGTCTCTCTTATGATGTTATTCCATTTCGCACGGTCTTCAGCCTCTCGCAGGACAGTCCCGTAACGGCGGTTACTTGGTCCGACTATCAACTAGGCGATTGTCCGCGTTATCTAGGATCTAAATAAATTCAATATCTCCATGGGGGGCGGAGAAGGGATTGTTAGTAATGGGGATTAGTAGCCTCATTGCTAGCAATATACTGTATCAGGTTGACTTCCTCGTGGTTCCCTCTTGAAACCATCGTGATTGATTTATTGTTAGATTCATCATGGTGGGTTAACTAAACCTGCTTCATCTTCACCTATCATCTCTCACTGGTGCCTCACTAGTGTATGCCGATAGCACAGGCGGGGTTACCATTCCATTATCATCTATTAAAAAAAATATCTCCATGCAGGTGGGATGCTGCGTGTCTCCGCCGACGTTAGTGGTGATCTCGCAGTATATGCCGTGGGGCTCCCTGTACGATTTGCTGCACGGCGGGGGCGCTGGTCGGGTCGTGGTGGACGCGGCCGCGGCCACTCGGCTAGCCGCGCACGTAGCGGCTGGCATGGCATACCTGCACTCGCTACAACGAGATAAGATCCTGCCCACGTACCACCTGAACAGCAAGCACATTATGGTAATTATCAGCACTCATTGCTACTTGAAATATCAAATAAACTGATGGTCAACTTGATAGAAAGGTCGAAAAACAACAAAAAAATGTTGACTCTCCTATACTAATTCCTTAACTGAAAGCATCAATATAATGGAAATTAAACTCTCTTTTCCGCGTTTAGCCTCTCATTTGGGGCATTGTGCGTGGAATTGTGTGTAGTACAGCCAGCCCAGCTGCGCCCAGAAGCACAGAAGCTTCCTGGGATCTTCACAAGCCAACTGAAAGCACCATCTCCATATGGAAGGCTAAAAAATCTTAGTCATTTGTCGACCCAAGTTCCTTTGATGAAAGTGTTCACTTTCTCCGGCAGAATACTCCCTTCAAAGGATGCTAATGCCAACAACTTCAATTTGTCTTAAAATAATATGGATCTACGACTTACATGCTAATTAAAATAATTGGATAGATCGACGACGACATGACAGCGCGTATCAACATGGCGGACGCGAAGTTCTCGTTCCAAGAGAAGGGCCGCATCTACCAGCCGGCGTGGATGGCGCCCGAGGCGTTACTGAAGCCCGCCGCCAAGAGGAACTGGGAGGCAGCCGATATGTGGAGCTTCGCTATACTGCTCTGGGAACTGGCCACGCGAGAGGTGAGACGACTATTTTAAACTGTGTTATCCCACATTCGAGAATTCCTACTTATATTAGAAATGTGAAAATAAGATTTTTTTGGACCATGTTATGCCTAATATACGCATTAGGTGCATGTGTGCACGTGTATTTGTGTTTGTGAATTTCTATTAATATCAAACCGATTTTAATTGTATAAGTTTTATTAAAATTGTTAATTTCATGATGGTCTTTATATCTCCAAACTTGTCCACTTAAAATTTTTGTCTAATGTACAGATACCGTTCGCCGATCTGTCGCCAATGGAATGCGGCATGAAGATAGCTCTAGAAGGTCTCCGCATAACGATACCGCCGGGGGTGTCTCCGCACATCTCTAAACTGATCAAGATCTGCATGAACGAGGACCCCGGCAAGCGGCCGTCCTTCGAAATGATACTGCCTATTTTAGAAAAGATGACGCGCTGATTTTGTTACGTTACATGGAAATTGTGAGTGATGGTGTCCGAATGTTAGTTACATTATTTTATTTATATATCTCTTACAGATGTTAAACACTATTAGGATGTCTTAAATGACTATAAGAAGCGAGGTTTTCTATTAGTTTGGTATTTTTTTACGATTACATCACATGATTATGTTCAGAGGGAGACTTTGTACAAAAGTCGTCTGCCTGGGTACCTCTGTCCCATTCGTGTTTCAACTGTGAAGCAGTTGTGTTTAGATGGCCGTGTTTCGATTTGATGAGTGGGATATGGCAATGAAATTATAGTGTATAGAGGAATAACAGCTTAGTCCTCAGGAACGGCAATACATGAAGGGTATCATGGACGACACGGTTTACTCTGGTAAGTCAATGATACTATTCATTAAAATGTTTTTTATACAAAAACACAATGTTAAAAGGGCTATTAGTGACAGAAACACTAATTTTAATTCATATATAAGAGATATATAATTTACAAGATAGAATGAAGCATTCAGACAAAAATGTTATATTTAGATACAAGATACATAAGTGATACAAGAAAATTCAGCCACCAACTTGGGAATTGGAACATATATGTTGTTTTATTTTCATAACTTATGTTGTTTTGAATTTTTGTTCAATTCCCATAAGAATTGCTAGGTAAGAAAAATATCCACAGTGAATGGAAGACACTGTTGCGCGGGTCAAAATACATCACAAAAATATACAATTTGTTAAAAAAACGCGAGCACCTCGATTTTACGAAATATGAGTTATAATTTGCAATTATTGCATATTAATTCTATAACTTAAAAAATAATCAAACCATTGGTTACTTTTTTTTTAATATAATCACAATTAATTCTTAATTTAAATTTTATACATTGAATAAGAAAAACTAACTATATAGATATATATATATATATAAAGGTATAATATATATACATATTCATCAATATATATGAATATATAATAAATTGCCAATATTTAAATCCATTTTTATTGATATTACATCTACAATAAATTATTTTTATATTTGACAAACTATAGTTAACAAACTTGGCTTTTTTTTTTTCGAAATTGATTAATAAAAAAAATAAATAAAAAAAATAGATATAATAAATACAAAAATCTTAAGTATTCATTTATTTTATGTATTGATTATGTTTGTTTACTACATAGGCCAAGTTGGAAAAGCCACAATTTATTCCTATATATAATAATTGAATAATTCGATATTTTTTCTAAACATAAATTATCTTTATTTACAGGTAAGTGCCATAGAAAGGTACAAAATTATTGTTTATGAAACATATGAATTCAACTGCCAGTATTTTTATCGTTGTTTAGTACTTAGGTTGTGTTTGGTTTAAAAAAATTAGACTAATAAAGTGTTATATACACTGTATAGATAAGAATAGAATAACGAATTGTATTCATCAACTTTGTAACTGGTGCTAAAAACTTTTAAAATAGTAATTTCAAATAATTCACTCACGTTCTTTAAGAATTGATTAAATTTTATTTTATACAGTAATCGCAAATATAATAATGTACTAATCAATTATTGGTTTTGTATTAAATATTGGTTTATTGCTTCAAAAATTTTAAAGATATAGATATGTATAATTCAAAAGTAGAAGCAAATTATTAGCATTTTTCCTTTTTACATTGGGGCAACATTGCGTAAAAAACATTGTTTTTTTTTTTGAAACTGTAAATAAACAGTTATTATATTTGTAATGATCATCATACTGTTTTGATATCTGGGTGACCTGACAAGGTCAAGAAAAATCTTATTATTGTTATATTTATCAAATAATAATTTCTGTAAATTTATATATTTAATATGGCCTGCACACAATTATAGTGTCACTCTTGAATTGTAAATAGTGGGATAAAGATTTAAGTAATGTTCAATAAAAATAAAATGTAATAGAATGACCTTGACATGAGATTTTTGTATTAGTAAAAAGAAATTAAGCTTATATTGAATATGTATTGACCAACCTATGACTCCTTAAAAATATAGCTAAACAATTGTATATATATATATATATATATATATATATATATATATATATATATATATATATATATATATATATATATATATATATATATATATTATATTAATGTTATTCACAATTATGAAAACAATATCAATTTTTCAAAATGTTTGCAATACGCCATTTGTGCTTGGTAAAAATGTGCCTTAGATTGACTAAGCATTTTTACATAAATACCTAGCCATGTATAATTAATATTATTGGATGACATAAGAAAATATCTAATATTTTGTATGTAGATTGTGTTATAATGAAATACTATTTTTGATGTTACAACTTTCATAAAGTTGTTAATATACTAACATTTCTAATAAAATTATTTAATAAATAATTTCTTGTCGTTATTGTGTACCTACTTTCTTCTCTTAGTGTCTTTTACTTTTTCACACTTTTATTTATTGGCGTGTGGTCCCGGCCAAGAATAGGCCACCCCTTCCTATCCTGTGGGTGTCGTAAGAGCTGATTAAAAGAAGGTAAGGCAGCAGCGTATATCTAAAAACTGACTGCGGTTGCCAACCGTGGCAACTACTGGCGAAACCCCCCAAGGGGAGGCCTGTGTTCAGCAGTAGACAGTTAAAGGCCGATATGATGATGGTAGTTAAACTATATAATATTGAGACATATTAATAAGAAAATCCCATATGACATTCTTACCACTTGTACAAAGTTTTATTGTGCATTAAAAATAACACCATAATGATACTGTAGTACTTTTTATAGATGATAATGAAATGGTAATCCCAACTACGCTACCGGTATATAGGTGGTAGGTGAGAATGAAAGCAGATCAATTAGCCCATCGTAATAAATTCGTCAAAACTTAACACTTTCTAAGAGGAACCAAGTAGAGGTCCACTTGTGCGTTTGTGGAGTGTTGTGAGTGTGGCGTAGAAAGACCAACTTAGAGAAAGACAAGGTACCTAAATCTATGATTATTGGTTAACTATGTAACATTCGTAATATAAATGGCCACAAAAAAAGAAAAAAAAAAAATATAAATGTCAGTTAAATGCTTGTCAATGTCAAATTATCAATGTCAATATGAAACATTCGCAGAAGTGAGTTAATCTTAAAGTGAATAAATTTATTATAAATAAAAATTCACAACAATTCAATGAAAATGACATAATTCTACAAATCCATAGTATTAAGTTTATATATATGAAATATATTCAATTATGGAACCAAGTAATAGTTTAGACAGTCACATTCTGCCTAAAATAAGAGACGTGGAATGGAAGCTCGAAGTAGTGACGAATTCGCCAGGAGTCGGCTCAGATAACTTGTTGTATACTATTACATTGAAAACAGACTCGGGAAACGATGTCCGATTTACGTGCGGAAGTCTGCAGCTACACGATTTGGTATATAAATTAAAAGATTTAGTGAGACATTGTGAGAAACTTAAGAATGAACTTGTTTAAATGTATGTTGTAGCAAACCTTGTAAATATTTAATGTTTAAGATCTCTTTGTACCCAGTGTATTGTTATAAAAACGACTACAGTGTAAATTAATCTGTCTACACAAGAGAATATTATTTTGTTATTGTTTTTTTTTTATATTGTCACAAAATATTTTTATATTTGTAGAAGATTGCAGCGCAAATTCTTTTTGGGATGTAAGATATTTAATTGCATTTGCAATTTCAAATGTGTTATATAGGTATATCTAAATATATCTAGAAAATAAAAATATATTAAAATGTAGGGATTTTTTTTTTTTTAATATATCGTAACATATTTCTTTTTCGTTTTTAATAAAGAATCCTCGAATTTCTGTCATTTGCTGACCTGAGTATATGGTTTTTCATATTAAAACAGTAAATATATGTACCAGGAGGAAGCTAGGACTGTCTACATTCCACTTTCTTTATTCATGTCTCCTAGACATATGTCAAATAAATCCCAGGTTTTCCAAAGAAACTATAAGATGGGGTTCTTCAGATTTTTTTTTATACCACTAAGCTGGCAATCGGGTATATAGCCCATCTGATGATAAGTGGTTACTCTAGCTATGGTAATATTATATACAAATGGTGTAGACATTTTTTCAAGGTCAGCAATACACAATGCCTCTGATATAGTAAATATCAGCATAATTTAATATTTGGTGATAATTCTATTCCATTTATTGGAATGAATGAATGAATTTTCATATTAGGATTGAAGAATCATTTGCATTTGATGACTGAAGATTGAATCATACCAGTGAGACGTGTCAGCCATATCAATTATTCCATTATGATAAATTACACAAGAATTAATCACTCTGGATTTTAGGGGAAACTGCATGAATGTCTACATGACCTATTATCAGTAATTGTATAATTGACAATGATAATGTACTTTTTTTTTATACAAATTAGAATGGCAAACAAATTGACGGCCCACCTGATGGAAAGTGGTAACCGTCTCCTATAGACATGAGCAGTACCATAGACATAACAGAGTATACTGTTTCGCCCATACACTGTACCCCCCATGCGTTGCCATTCCTAAGGACTCGGATGTTATTCCTCTGTACCCAGTAAATTCACGCCATATCCCACCCTTCAAACTGAAACAGCCTTGCAAACACAACTGCTTCACGGTTGAAACACGAATGGAACAGAGGTACCCAAGCAATCGACTTTTATACAAAGTCTCCCTCTGGTATCTGTATTTCATGTAATGATAAGTAATCAAAATACAAAATCATATTCAAAATAACTTTATTTCAAAATACCATATAAAGTACCATAGTATATGAGAACACAAATCAGAAAACAATTCCATTTCACAAATAAAAATCACAGATTAACTAAAAATGACTCAAGTGAGTAGGTATAAGCTGCATTTTCATAATCATCTACTCTACAGTGTTAGTAACTTGAGACTCCAAACACTTAATTTTTATTACAATAAATTTATCTTAAAATATCACATTATCAACAACTACACTACATTTTACAGTGAACTGTTTGCTAATTAACGATAGCTGTTTTGGAGCTAGCATCTAACAATGATAATATTTTTCTCTAGTTATTAGTTGAAAATTGTCATATTGACAAAAGTCATTTAATACATGTTACATATTTGAGTGAAATTTGTCATTATTTATGACAATTTTTTAAGGTGTGCTCCAATGATACCATGATGATATCATGAAAGTAGATAAAATGTTACAATGACGAATATTACCCTAGCAGGCGCTAGCTCATACTATTTTGAATCTTTTAGCATTTGCAACCAACATTCTTTGGCATTCTCTAGAGTTAGAATCGATTCGAAAACAGCAATAGATGAAATACAAATCAAGTAGGCACCTACTCGTGTTCATACCTACCTATAATAGTATTTATATTATAAAATGTATTTTTGATAAAAAAAAATGTTGCCTGCAAACACTATCATAATTTAATTATGTACTTACTTTCATAAAGTAATAAAATTTTTAAAACCAAAACAGAGGAAATAAAAGTACTAAATAAAGAATGTCTAATTTAAAAATGGATTAAATATTGAATGGTAAGTCATACAGATGCACAATTACTGCTATGGATATAGGGGAGAAAAATAAATATATTGCATAACAAACGAAACAGTTTAGGCCTAAGGAGACAATATTTTAGACCGACTGTATTTATAATTATTTATTAACTAGGATACTGGGGGAAATGAGTAGATATTATTTTTGCAAATAAGCATGGGATTATTTGCTTGCCATGTTTTTTTATACAAAATTAACTGTAGAACCATATTGAGTTTGAGCCGTTACCACATTTTTATGACAAATATAAATGGTATATTACATCATCATCTCAGTCATTATCTGTCCACTGCTGAACATAGGCCTCCCACATAGCCTGCCATAAGGAACGGCTCGAGCCACCTGTGTCCCACTTGATCAGGCTACGTATGTAATCCACATATTACATGTTTTCCCTGAAATCAACAGATACAAGTATCAAAACTTACTTTTTTAATATTAATTTCATAAAGTAATATTCACTTTTTTTTCTTTACAAATTTTTTTACAATTTTTTTTTTATACAATTCACTTACTGTGCATAAACCTGCAGTAATTGGCGGCTATACTCAATATGATTTCCAAGTTTAATCAGCAAAACATAGAGCCTCCTTTTTTGAAGTCAGCCAATGAACTTACGACAGACAAAAATGGTTCTCCAAATTGGAAGTTTGGCAGAGTCCTTAATTGCTATTAAAAATTACATGTAATAAAATATCGCTTTACCTAAGCTAGCTGCTTAATTAGTTCTCTTATTCGACTCGTGAACAGATATGATAAGTAGACCATATTTCTATAAGACTGTACAATTATTTTAAATGCAGACAAAAACAAATGTGCGATTGGTTAAGGGCGATGAAGCGATAGGACGCGATGCCTTAATAATAAATATCTATGCAGGAACTAAATTACAATACACACGTGGTTATGTAAAGCTAAATATTCAACACAGCAGTTTATTGGAAGTGAATTTTTTAAAGATGTTTCTAACAGCCGATTTTACAATTTAAAAATTCAGAAATTGTCTATATATATATATAATTTCTGAATTAACAATGTCATTTCCGACAATTGTTAAAAGATCGAATATAAGTTTTAAAAAAACCACAAAATGTTTTTACATAACTGAACAATATTCTCTTAGAAAGGGCAATTTTTTTTAAACCTCGAAGGTGGCAAACAAGCTTACAGCCAGTCTGATAGTAAACGGTTAATGAAGTCTATGGACGCTTGCAACACTAGGGTTGTCACGTGCGCGTTGTCGACTCTGATATACCTTTTTGAATACTCCATATTGTAGTCTCTATATCAGTAAGAGATTGCAATATCAACGCGATTTAGTATGTAAAATCTAAATTCATATGTATGATTTTCATATTTCGTTTCTTGTCTTGAAAGTTTTTTAATTTCATTCTCTATTCTTTATTGTACACAAAAGGTTATTAAAGTGTAAAAACAAATATAATAGTGCACAAAGGCGAGCTTATCTCCAATAGAGATTTCTTCCAGCAAACCCAATATGAGAAAACTGACAGTTCATTAGTAGTTACAGTTCGTTTGTAGTATTTCATTAATACCTACTAATAAGAACTTTACGCTATCAACAAAAGTTATAATCGGCTGTATGACCCACAATTGGTCATCAATGCAACAATAGACTCATTTTTTTATAGCACAATACATGAGTCAGGTAATGTTAAAATAATTTGTATTATTCATTGTGAATTGATCACTATTACAATACACATAAATTATATTTAAGATTAACAAACAACACATAAGAACAAATCCAAATACAACACACGTTCTATACAAATTTTGGGTAATATCACATATCTAGTCCTCATAAAGCGTTAAAAACAATTAATAAGCGCTGAATTCTTAAAAAAAAAAAAAACGCTAAACAATAGTGTTAAAACTAAATTAAAAACATTATTTTTTTAATTAAAACAACATGTAAGCATCTTTGCTTGGTCTTGATACATTTGGGATATGTATATAAAACACTAGGCTGGAAAAATATTATCGTCTGACGATTTTAATCGATTCGACGAGATTCGAACCTGCATCTCTCAGCCATCTGGGCCAAATACGTTTCCAGTCACACCACGGAAAGAATATATTAAAAATGCAAATTCAATCTTCTTTGAAACTCACAAAGCGTGACGTTTAAAATTTTTAACATATATTAATATTCCCAAATGCAAGTTTAATATTAAAAAAAAAAATACTTTGGAATAATATCCAGTCACTGGTATGATCCCAATATATCGCAATATTATCGTTACATTATTCGTAATTTTAATGCTTTTTGTTATCATAAAAAAAATAAGCACAAAACCTGTTTTCTAATTGGACAATATTTTTTAAAAATGGAACACATTTTGCGTAGCTATATAAATTCTAATGATCCGTTTAGTTTGTTATGTTGAATAGGCCAGTATGCCTGAGATCGTAATCAGTCGCTTTCTTATTATGCCATAGCTCGTAGGCCTTTCTTAACTTTAATATTGTAAACACATAGTATTTCTTATAGATATTTAATTATAGGTACTTCACCGATTGAAGCCATTTTGAAATTAACGACTTTTGCTATATACAGTAGAATCTCGATTATCCGAATATTCGATTATCCGGACTTATTCTTTATTACTCTAATTACCGATTTAGAAATGATATTATGTATTAATATGGGAAATAGGTGTTATAAAATCTATTATATTTATTGCTCGTAATTGTTTTAAATTGTATTGTTTCGAAATGACGTATGTAAAATCCTTTAATTTATAAATAAAATTATTATTATTGTTTGATTTGCCTTTGAAATCAATTATCTGGATTTTCGATTATAACGGAATTCCTCCTGGTATTTGTTGGAATCGAGATTGTACTGTACTAAAATTATCAACAATATAATGACGTTCAAATTTTTAAACATTCATATTATAGAGAAATAAGTTATTATAGATATAAATAATTATATTTCTGTTTCCTATGACAGAGAAAAGCACCTCTTTATCGCAGTTCATGAAACAAATGTCAGAGTACATACACCCACCGAATATGACTATCATTATATGTACATATATATATATATATATATATATATATATATATACTGTCACTATATTTTAAACAATAATAATAATTGGAAACAATTTCTGTAAATTTTCTTTTAAGTAGAGAGAATGGATAGTAAATATTGTAGTCAAATAGCCCGGTATTACCCTGAGTAATGTATACATATACATATAAATACTGAAATTGAAGATTCGTTTTCCATATTTTCTAACCGTGTCATTGAATTATGAGTAATTTTTATTAATTACTTTCATAAATACAATATTTACAACAAGACAGCGGTTTATAATGAGTCGTGAAGTCCTTATAACTTGGGAGGAGATATATATAATTTATATAATAAATTGAGTAGCCAGTATACAAAATGACTTCATAAAATCCTGTAAATTTCATTATCTTGTACTATTAACCCTCTGACCGGGCATCCCGTGATTACCACGTGCAGTGTCTACTAATTTAATTTTACGCATCCCTCGATTTCGACGTACTCGCAATTTTTATGTTTATTAACGTTGTTATCCCGCAATTTTTGTTTCGGTAGATTGATAGTTTCTCAAAATCTCGCTAGATGGCTAAATACTTGTACTGCTGTTTGTTGTCAAAGCGATGTGTTTTAATGTTGTAAAAAATACTGCGGTCAGAGGGTTAAAGAACATTTGAACTAATATATCGATATCGGAACATGCAAAGTTACACAAAATACAGGGTACAATAGGACTGATATACCTGAAGAAGGTAAAAGCCCTTAAAATATTAAAAAAAAAAAAAAGACTGACACGTAATGACATGTTAACATTTAGCAACGTTAGGGTCTATACACACTGCGAATTTACACAGCTTTTTTAAGTCCGCGAGAGCTTTCACCTTTATACAGTATCCAAAATCCAAATATTACAGAACTACGGATGGCACCGCGCTGTGGATATTCGCAGTGTGAGCAGCGGGTCTACCATGAAATGAAATTCCGAATTTTCGGACTCAATTTCGTGTTTATGTTTATACCAAAACCGGACCAATAAATGGAGTTTAACATTTCGTTCGTCATACATCCTATCATAAAAGTCCAAAGGAACAATATTTTAACATTTTTAATATTTCCAAACGGCATGTATTATGTAATTATAACATCAAATTTGTGTTTCGTTTTGCTCCGAAATTTCGGAAAACATTTCATGGTAGGCCCTCAGATCCTTAGGGAGAAGAGTAAATACCCAAACAGCCAGTAACTTATGGTTTACGTTGCATTAGAGAATTCAAAAATTGGCCTACAGTGGCGTAATTTGATCATGTGACGTTATTCCAATGCGACTGGTACCCTGTTTAGAGCGAGAAGAATTTGAGGAAGGCTGCGGGCGGCACGGGGTGCGGGGGCAGCGGCCCACCCGCTTCCTTTAGTCGTTCGCGGTACTCTGGGCACTGTATATACATAATATTTTATATAAAAACATTTTATATAAAAAAACAACATGGCGCCGTCTAGCTGTCAAGTTAGTATGACAAAGAAGTTTTCTGTCACTTTTCGAGCCATATATAAATTGGAAAAAATTATCAGAGTCACTGACTGATATTCCTTTTAAATTATAGTAATAAAAAATAAATTTTGTCTTGCATCAGAATACTAGTTCTGGTCTTATTCCTAGAACATCGTAACAAGAGTCAAGTACAATTTATGTGATTTGAAATGCCAAACGAGCTGACGGCCCACCCGGTGGAAACCGTTAATGGAAACCATTGTGGTTGATACCTAATAAATTGAGACGATGGGCCAAACTGATCTGCCATTTCATGCTCACCATAATCAAGAGTAATCAGTTCTGAAGGGGCATGATGGGTACCATGGGTGAGACTATGTATTCTCTGATGTCCATGGTGCTGATATAATATACCCTATATTACTAGCAATTAGGCATTTGAACTCCAATACAAACGAACCTTTCCACTCGCGTAGGCGAGGTTTTTTTTTAAATGGGTGATAATGGAATGGTAACCCCGCCTGCGCTATCGGTATACACCGGCGGGACACCAGTGAGAGATGATAGATGAGCATGAAAGCAGATCTGTTAGCCCATCATGACGAATGTAACAAGTATTATTCACAATGGTTTCCAGGGGGACCCACGTGGAGGTCGATCTGGCAAGGCTTGCTACTAATGGGGCCATTAGTCCATACAGACGAGGTTACCATATCACACATTAAAAAAAAAAAACAAACAAATGTAGTACAAAGTCGATTTAGGGACATCTGATATTTTAGAGGAAACGGGAGGGTAGTTACCTGGTCCGCTATACAGGGATGCCCTAGCGACCGCCAGAACAGGCACTTGCAGTGTCGGCATAGGGACAGTGTCTCCGCGTATTGCGCGTCCTCCCTCAGTCCGTATAATCTGTGGACAATAGGAAAAAAAATTCACAGTCTTAAGAGCGTTATATAATTCATTAATTAAGACATTAAAATAATCGAAGTCAAAAGGGTATAGACATTTATTTATGTATTTTTTTTTTGTTTTTTTTTTTTGATGGGTGAAAATGGTATGGTAACCCCGCCTGCGCTAACGGGATACGCTGGCGGAGCACCAGTGAAGGGTGATAGATGAGAATGAAAACAGGCCAGTTAGCCCATCATGATGAATTCATCAGGAATTAACCATAATAGTTTCCAGGGAGAACCGCGAGGAGGTCGACCTGGTTGGGTATATTGCTAGCAATGGGATTCTCAGTCTCCATTACTAACAATCCCTTTCCCCCGACATTTATTTATTAGATCAGCTGTTAAGTTAAAAAAGTCGCCGCTGCTCAATCTTCTACCATTAAGTTCTACCCACGGGAAAGAAAGGGGTGGCCTATTCTATGGTGGGAATCATATGGCGGCTTATATCACATAAAAAAATACCCGTGTTATTTAAAAAAAAAGACTTTTTTGCTATTAAAAAAGTAAAAAAATATAAATAAAATTAATTCCATATTCGGTTATTGATTCGAAACGAAAAATAAACATAATGTGTAAATGGCGACTCACTTCCTGAGCTGATGGAAGACCTTCTTCCAGTCGACGTCCTTGTCCTCGCCGTCCTTGTCTTCAGCGTCCTTGTCCTTGGCGAGGATGGTGTCGATCTGCTGCTGCGTGAAGTGGAAGTGGACCAGTTCGCGCCAGATGCGCTGCTCGGTGCATACCGACGCCATCACGCTCCACGCCGACGACGCTGCCTGCAAGGCAGTTGGTGCACGTCAATACTAACAATGTATTAATTATAAAATTAACTATATTATTAATTATATATATATATATATATATATATATATATATATATATATATATATATATATATATATATATATATATATATATATATATATATATATATATATATATTACTATATATATATATATATATATATATATATATATATAGAACACAACAATAAAAGTAAATATATCTTGGTTTTTCTCACAAAATAACAACATAAAAAAATCAGTTATGGATCGCATCAATTTTATATGTTTTCACGTCTACAGACGACTGACGGCACAAATAGTCTTTAAATGATAAAAACAATTAACAGATCGTTAAAATAAAAATAAAAAATACTACATTTTAAGTCAAAATCACATTCGGAACACAAACGAGATTGTGATTTAAATTTCAAAAACTTCCATTTTCAATTTATATCAGCCCTCTTGAAGAACACATGGATTCTATTTGAAATGTTTTAGACGACAGACTGTATACTCTATGCCGGGACCACACGGCCATTATGGTGTAGTAGTATTCGCATAACGTCAAAACAAACATACATATATATATATATATATATATATATATAAAATTTCAAAAAATTATGGATCGAAATTTTATATGTTCCTAGTGGGCACAAATCTTTAAATGATCCAATCGTAAATTTAAATATGAACGATTCAGGGATTTCATTCTCTAATTTTATCTTAAGAACACATGGATTCTATTTGAGACGACAGACTGTATAGATAGACAGATACAGATGACAAAACTAGGTATAGCGGTTCCGTCTGGAACAAACGTCTGGATAACGCCATATAAAGGTACATTATAAAACTCTCAATATATGATATACTCACATCTAAGTCCCTGTGATCCGATATCCTTAATAAAATTTCTCTAACACACTCCTCAGGCAAATCATGGAGTTTAGGCACTACTTCTGGACCAGGCTGAAAAGAAAATAATTATATTTGCTAAGAAAATATATAATTTGCTGTGACATAAGACAATATCAAAATATGAAAATCACATTTATTTAATTATGGAGAGTTTGAAAATAAACAATGTTCCAAAAAAAAAAAAAAACTTCAAATGTGGCAAAACCAGATATTTTAATTTCAAACCTAAACTACTAAACCGATTTCGATAAAATTTCTATGGGACTTGGGATCTATGGGATTCTAAATCGGTTTAGAAGAACGTAAGAGTAGCAACAATTAAAAATAAAAATAAAAAACCATACAACCGAATCGAGAACCTCTTTCTATTTAAACTAGGTTAAAAATTCAAAGCGAAATATAAATTTCATATTTTAATATTACTATAACGATTTCTAATAAAAAATAATTGGTAATAAGTGTGGGCAAATGAAATAAATTACATGAACATAAATTTTCAATTTACTTATTTAAAGTCTTGCAGGTAAATCTCGAGATAAGGAGGGGATTCGAGTAAAAAAAAATATCACGTAATTAATGGCCGTTCCCTTAGAGACTGGCTTTAAATAGAGCCAGGGTTGAAAGTATAAGAATAAATATATAAGGAGAACCGATACCGTGAAAACTTTTTTTATGATACTTACTTACAAATAAACTGATGGCCCACTTGGTGGAAAGTGGTAACCGACGCCTAAAGACATGAACAGCATCACGGATATCGGAGAGAACATACTGTGATCATCATGGTATACATATAGCATTATTAATCCTGAGAACTATGGTGTTATGCCTCCGTATGCTGTAATTTTACCGCCATATTATATTATAGTACATATGCCCTTCAAACCAAAACAAAGCCATGCACGTATTGTTTCACGGCAGAAATTCGAGTGTGATAGAGATACTCAAGAAATTTGTATAAAGTCTTCCTTTAATTCCTGATGAATTCATCATGATGGGCTAACTGACCTGTTTTCATTCTCATCTATCACCCTTCACTGGTGCTCCGCCAGCGTATTCCGTTAGCGTAGGCGGGGTTACCATACCATTTTCATTCATCAAAAAAATCATGATAGTTTCCAGGGAGAACCGCGAGGATGTCGACCTGGTTGGGTATATTGCTAGCAATGGGATTCTCAGTCACCATTACTAACAATCCCTTTCCCCTAGGGGTGGGGGGGTTAGAATTTAGGGTGATAGTTATTACTACTTAATACTATTTAATACTTATTACTATTTAATAAATTTATTTGCATTAAATAGGGTAGGTATCGGTGGTCTTATGTTACATAAAGTCTCATGCCTATTTAGCCATTACAGTATGGCATGTAAATGTCCCATTTTGATAGGAACTGATTAATTTATGCATCGACAACTATATTAGATATTTATCTATTTTTTTTTTTAATGGAATTTGGTGGGAATTGAAATGGGTTTTTTAATAGGAGCAGGTGAGGCTGTGCGAGGCTGTGCGAGGCCGTGTGAGGCTGTGCGAGTGTGTGCGAGTGTGTGCGAGTGTGTGCGAGTGTGCGCGAGTGTGCGCGAGTGTGCGCGAGTGTGCGCGAGTGTGCGCGAGTGTGCGCGAGTGTGCGCGAGTGTGCGCGAGTGTGCGCGAGTGTGCGCGAGTGTGCGCGAGTGTGCGCGAGTGTGCGCGAGTGTGCGCGAGTGTGTGTGTGTGCGCGACGCGCGAGTGTGCGCGAGTGTGCGCGAGTGTGCGCGAGTGTGCGCGAGTGTGTGCGCGTGTGCGCGATGCGGATGCCGGCGGCGATGTGTGCGGTGGCGCGAGTGTGTGCGATGCGCGCGATGGCGCGGTCGTGGTGGCGAGTGTGCGCGCGCGAGTGTGCGCGAGCGCGCGCGAGCGTGCGCGAGTGTGTGTGCGACGACGCGCGCGGAGGGGCGGTACCTCGTGTATGCGGATGCCGGCGGCGATGCGGTGGATGCGCGCGATGGCGCGGTCGTGGTGGCGCCAGAGCGCGCGCGAGCCGAGCGGCCGCCCCCAGCACGCGCGCCGCTCGCCCTCGCGCAGCGCCGCCAGCGACACCACCAGCGCGCGCAGCGCGTGCAGGTTCTGCTTCGACCGCGCCACTGACGCGCCCGAATGTTTTTTTTATTTATTTATTTATTTTTTTTTTTTTGGAAAACGTACAGTTGTACAGATATGTACAGTACATACATACATATACATATCTGTCACGCCTGTCTCCCATTAGGGTAGGCAGAAACAATGGAACGCCAAATGCTTCGATTCAAACGAACCTCTTTCGCTCCTTCCACATTCATCAATCTTTTCATACACGCTCGCCGGTTACGGGCACTTTTAATTTGGCCCTTCTTCAGCACGTCGCCTATTTGGTCGACATACGTCCGTCTATGGCGGCCCCTACCGACATCTCCATTCATTTTTGCTTGATAGATCTCTTTCGTAATTCTTGTTTCATCCATCCTCTCCAAATGACTAAACCAACGCAACATTCCTTTTTCGATTTTTGTCACTACATCGTCTTTCAGTCCACACTTCTCTCTAATCACACAGTTGAATTAGTCAATACATAATTAAATTTATATCTATGTTAAGCCATAAATCGTTTTTACATTTGCGCAATGACACAATTGATCGGTTTTTATCTGGGCCTGGCATATTTGATATTATCCTCTAGTGAGCTTGACCCCTTAGAAAGGTGTATATGGGGGGGGAAGCGATTGTTTGTAATTCGGACTGCCAGTCCCATTGCTAGTATACCAAAAAGGCAAATTTACTACATCAAGGTTACTCATTCGTTTACTATGTCTACAATATCGTATAACTTTCACGTCAATATGTACTGCTCATCATGAGCACGTTACGTCATCTATTGTAAACAAATCATACATTTGTCTGCAGTTCTTCATTGCTTTTAATCTGTTAGCAGACAGCTGTCTTGTCTAAACATTAAACAAAGCGAAGAAATGCTATTATGATACCTATCTGATGAAAACAAAGGTTAACATAGTACAGATTATGTGAAGTTAATCCCTTTTTCTTCCAACTTTCCTTTTTTTTCTATTGTGCACATTAGTTCCAAGGGTAGCTCGTTTGTCGTTAGCTTACTAAACATACATGTTTTCACATCAGGAAAATCTTTATAAAAATCCATTAGAGTTAGGTGATGAGTAAAAACTTGATGGTAAATCACTAAACGCCTATGAGAACTTAATAACTCAGTTACTTAATTTTTAATTGCTTTTATGACAGAGCATTTACAAATTCATATTGATATTATGTACAAAAACGCTTATGCTCTACCAGTTTTTAAAAAGAAATATCTGGTTTATTGTTTCCTTCTGTTAAATCAATGGAAAAAAAATTATACAAACAAGCTAAATTTGCAATCCTAAACCTATAAGTAAATGCATTATTAGTATCGAGTAACAACCTCAATATTTTTTTGTATTTGGAACCATAAGCTGATAGCTTATTGGAATTTAATGGAAAGTAAATAGTAACCGTCGTCAATAAACATGAACAGTACTATGGATTCCACAGAATATACTGTCAAACTTTGCCATTCCTGTACTGAGAGACGACCCTGTACATTTGACGTTGATCAAATAAATTTAGATTAACTAAATGATCTTTCGAAAACCACGATCCCAACATGAGCTTCCTTTGCTTTGGTGTAAATATAGATAAGCAGATATCTACATCTACATACATATATTTACATTATTACATGTTTTATATCTCCATATTTAGAAATAATAGGATCTTCATCGTGCCTCCAATAAAATTTTCTGTTTTCTTATTGTGATATTATTTCTTGTAATTATTTATATTTATAATAAGTTTACTATTGTAATCTTTTGGAGGAAACAATAAAGAGTATCTATCTATCTATCTATATCTTTAGGTAATACCTGTTCATGTCAACATTCTTTCGGTACTGCATCTTAATTTTATCCTTTCACAGACTTTATAGGTATTAAAAGCAACCGCAGATAAACAAGAATGGCCATTAATCACTCACCCTGGTCAGCAAGTTGTTCCAACATCGACAGTAGAAGTTTCTGTGCAGCACCGGGCAGATGCGTCAGCCGTTGCCCTCCGAGGAGTAACTCCAGTAGAGCACAGATGTAGTTAAACCGTCGTACGTCCCGGACGGCGGACGAGAAATCGAGCCGCCTGACCGCTTCCGATAAGCCATTGAAGCCTGCAATCTGATGGAAATAAAACATAAATAATATTATTTTAAAATTACTCGATCTGATGGGATTCTAACTTGTATCTTTCGGAATTATGAAATAAAATCACGGAAGCAAATCATCAGCTGCCAAATCTTCAACATCTTTTGAACATCATTTTGAGTCTGACTTAGGTGTCAACTACTAGACTCGTAAACTAGGAATTCACAGTGCGATGCATGAATAACAGAGTGATATTGTGTGAATGTGAATTTGAATCATGTTGGAACGTAAATTATTTCAATGTACTCATGATTTGCGAATGTAGGGGAATACATTTTAAAATGTTCTCCTACACTTCATTAAATTTGATACTTTGGAAATATACACAACCTGGAATAAAATGACAAGCTGAAACTCTACATTGTTGGAAACGGTAATCAGCGTTTATAGATATGAACACTTCTATCATCCTCATCATTATCATATCAGACGTTAACTGTCCACTGCTCAACATTAGCCTCCCTCTATTTTGGGGGTCTTGCCAGTAGTTGCTACGTTTGGCAGGCAGGTTGGCAACCGCAGTTAGACTTTGATAATGTTTTACGAGAGACGCTGCTACCCATCCCTCGACCATTAAATTACCTTAGTCGCCTCTTTTAATATCCACAGGAAAGGAACGGGATCACTGGGGATATCACAAAATATACTTTACGTTGCTATCCCCAAGGATTAATATGTGATACCTCCGTAACTATAAGTAATATCTTTGGCATATTCCAGTCTTCAAATTGCTGGAATATAACTATGTTATCTAAGCATAACAGTTTAGAGGTAGAAAAATGAATCAGAGATACAATGCATACGTTTATGTGCAAAATTTCTCGTTGTAAAACCATCAGATCAGCCGTCTGCTTTAATAGAATAACGTCTGCATAAATATCACAATTTAAAAATAGAACAATGTTTATCAATTAGAAATTAACTAATTTCTTACTTCTCTTGTACATTTAATAGTGATGTGACAATGAGGTGGTACTCTGGCTCCTGCATCGTTTGTTTTGTCACCATCCTCGCCTTCTTGAGACCTGCAAGTGGGAAAAATATCAACATAATATCTAGCCTATTTCTGCCAGTAAGCATTATGCAATGTTGCTCTCAGTTAAACTTTATATAGGGGGCAAATGCTAAAACCTTCGGAAAGAAAGGAATGACTAAATGTCTACAACTTAACATTTGCCAGATGGAAACGGTATCCAACAGCGATTAACAGCCCTACCATTACCAACATACTTTAAGGGATCGACTTAACGAAATCCCTCCTGGAAACATCGTGATTATTCCTGGTGGATTTTTTTATACAACTTAGAATGGCAAACAAGCTGACGGCCCATCTTATGGAAAGTGGTTACCGTCGCCTATAGACATGAGCATTACTATGGACATAACAGAGTTATGTCCATAGTATATAGATTTACCTATTTAGGGAGCAGGGTTTCATCTATGTTTAAAGATGTTTGTAACATTTATTTTGAAATAAACTAATAATGATTACCATTCTCAGCTTTCAGTTTATTTGTTATTAATTCCATTATAATTTCTTTGCATTTATTTAAAATATAAACTAAAAAGGTACCATTTAATTGACGCGTGAAAGCAACTCATTCATTCAATTCCATTCAATTTAGCATCTAGTGCGAGCCCTTAGATGTGCTAGCTTTCCAAACATTTCACCGCAACTATCTACTCGAATAATGACGGTGTGTATTATTAACGGCGCGTGCGCACTGAAATTGTCGTTATAGAAATATCCAGTTTGTGCGCATACATTGCAGAGGTCAGAATGGAAATTTAAACTAATATCATAAAGAGGAAGAATTTAGTTTTTTTTATTGTAATGGATTAAACTCAAAACATGTTTGTTGGTTTTGAAAATTGTTTTACCTACAGAAAATTATTAGTGAATAACATGGTATGTATTTTATTTTCAAAAAAGTCATGTAAGGCTGGAAGGATGTTTAGTTGTTGATACGAAGTGAAATTAAAAAACACTTAGCATCTAAAGAAACATGGAAATTAAGCATGGGATTTTTTACCTTATATTAATATTATATATAATATATAAAAAGGTAATTATTTTTATTTCACTCTGTATAATTTTGATGATCTTAAATAAGTTTCCTTTGTCTCTTCTTCTTATTAAAAAATCAAAGCATAATTATGTTGAAATAACGATGTTTAAATATTAAAATAGGACTTGTTGATGTTTGTTATGGTATCTATTAGTCTATAAAAACGACTCGTAGCAAACACGTCACCTTTGAATTGATTTTTGTTTCTACATTTCTTATTTTTCATAAGTACATTAAAGAGCACTTTTGATTATAAATAAAACCTATCATTGTAATAAAAGAATATAGCAAAGCTTTTTCAACTTCTCAAAGGTTGACTGTAAGAGATCCCTTTATGGGATAAGTCCGCCATTGTAAATTAAATCTTTTAATGTGTCCAATGTAAATTATGTACAATAAAGATTTTACAATACAATACAACATATACAATATATTTTATATGAAAGTAATCTAATCTGAGTATAGGTAACTACTATATTTAGTACGATTTTAAATCTTAATGCCCATGTTTACAGCACATATTTACTTTGTTTGGTGTATATTTATACGTCGGTTACGAGAGAACTGTAAAAATAACTACGGAAAATACGTATCCGAATATTTGAGTAAATGGGTCGTTGGAAACCTTGTAAGCGCGACCTACTTTAATATTCCAATTCCGGATGATCCCTCCTGTCTATGAGGAGATCAGGTAAATGAGAGTCTATTAAAAATGGATAATCTAGGGTTTACATGAGGGAATAATATTTTGAATAGATTTATCGGATTTTCAATATTCAAACATATCTCATGATTACCTAAACAGTTTTTTAGGGGGGAAAGGGATTGTTAGTAAAGAGTTTTAACAGCCCCATTGCAAGCAATATAATCCGACGCTGGCAGGGCACCAGTGAGGGATGATAGGTGAGAATGAAAAATACAGATAAGTTAGCCCATCGTGATGAATAAACCTGGAATTCAGCACGATGGTTTCCAGGGTCACGAGGAAGTCGACCTGGTTGGGTGTAGTACAAACAATAGGCCTCTTAGCCTCCACTACTAACAATCCCTTTCCCCCCGGACACCAACGTGGTTAATTCTTGTTGAATTCATTACGATGGATCTACAGACCTACTATCATCCTCACCTACCATCTCTTATTGGTGCACCGCCTGCCTAAACTAACAGCGCAGGCGGGCTTACCATTCCATTTTCATCAATTAAGAAAATCTGTTTTGTATCGAGATGTCATAAGTCCTTAATTGTTTGTGGTAACAAATACATAAATAAAAAAAAATACAAATACATACTATCGAGTGCGATACTATTCGAGTAATCCTGAAGATCGGTCAGTCGGTCGGTCAGACAGTTAGTCACACGGCTGGGCAAAGACCACCTCAAACTGTTTATACTTTCCATGTAGGTACTAAACTAAAAGTAGATAATAAAAATCACAATTCATACTACTTCTTTTCATATTCATACCAGTTTTTTAATCATATTACCACATGATTATTAGAAGAAAGGGGGAGTAGTAATTAATAACACTTTGCCAGTTTGATCTCTATGCCTCTCCTCTTGGAAACAATCATTATTCATTCCTGGAGAATTTATCACGATAGACTAACTGTCCTCACTTCATCCTCGCCTATCAACCCTCATTGGTACCTCACTAGCGTATACCAATAGCACAGGCGGGGTTACTATTCCATTATTCGTTAAAAGAATTTAATTTGATCATCATTGTCGTTTTTTGTGGTACAAAATCATTTATTAATTTAATTTCATCTTTTCATTGTGTGTATATAAAATGAAGGCACAATAAAATTGGCATATCCAATTTAAACGATGCAGAAAAAATATAACAAACGCTAAATTTGTTTCACGTCAAGCACAGGTTTGTATTGGGAATTGGGTCAGTTTAGGTCAAGTCTTCGTATTGAATCTGACCTATTTCTATTGATATTTACACAACGGTAGATATCTCCTATATTTTGAATTGAATAAGTTTTTTTATTTACTATCGTGTTCGAACAAAGCACAATATGTCGGTGAAGAAAAGGGTGAAGGAAGATGGAAAGTTGCGACTAAAATATTTTTTTAATCGAGTTTTAAAACGAAGAAGGTTCTCCATTCAGTTGTAAACCGATTTGATTTTTTTTTTACTAGAAATATATTACAGATTAGTCCCATTGAAACTTTTTCAAAATCTGTTTAGAAATTTAATTGGTTTAGTCACATTTTTTAAAGCACAATTTAATTATATTAAGAAGTAAGGTAATACTTATGCGGAGATATGTACCCGTAGTCCAGTAGTGGAACTTTAGACTTCATCTGCGTGACCAGACGTTAATTTACCAGGGTGAAACAAACGTTAGGTCTAAACTAAAATTGTGACTAAAAATAAAAATTTAAATAGTAGTACCGCATTCGAGTATTCTGACACTTCCCTATGGTTGACTGGGAGAGAGCGCTTTTAGCATTAAGTCCGCCATGTACACATATTTGTACTAATGAATAAATAAATTAATTTATATTAAAACAAATATTACAAATTGAATGTAATGTATCAATTACTAATGTGGTTACACTATATACCCTATAGATATATAACCTATAAATATCTTTACTAATATTTTAAATAATTCTTAAGTAAATGTTTATTTTACTTATTTGGTGAATTAACCAAGAGAACAGAATAATTTTACACAAGTATGAGTACTTACATATCTAAAAGTACTTAAGTAATCGAATAGTCGTGTCATTAGCATAATCCGTAGGTATAGTATATAATGAATAACACATTACTCAAATCATAGCTTTGGTAACAAATTACAAAATTACTGTGCAATATAACAAAAATTACGTAACAAATCATAAGATATCCATTTGAAATTTCGCTAATGGACCGCCACATTATATTCGCTTTCTTACAAGTGGCCATTTCCCGCCATTTTATGACTTGTCATGTTTATGGAGCGGAACCATAGTGGCATAGAGTATTATGATTCATAGCTTTTTTGGCGGTTAGAAAGTATGACGCAACGAGCGCGCCGCCATTGAGGAGTAATTATTCGATTATCAGTATTGTTGTTGGATAAATAAATTATGTTAATTGTATGATATTATTTAAATTATATTTTGCACCTTTTTTTTAATTACCTATTAGGGAATTAAAATTTACTTACGTAAAGTAATTTAAGTGCTTACTTAAAGTAACCTTACCTTTATATAATGTAAGGCAGATTACTTGAAATGAATTAATTTACAAAAGTAAACAATAACAAATTAATTAACTCATAATTTGTAAATTTTTATTTTGTTTTTATTTTTCTCGTTGCGTAATTTTTTTATAAAGATTATCATAGATAATGATTACGGTGATTTATTTTGATTATGTAATCTATATAAATAAAAATAATTTGCAGTTTATGGTAAGGTAAATAATTTCCCTAATTCTTTTCTGTTGTGTGTTGAAAATATTTGAATAATCGTTCGGAAAAGTGTACAAAAGGTTACAAAATGAACATATCACAAAAGTGAGCGAGCGAGTAAGACCGAAGACAGGGAGATCTTCAGAATTAGTACACTCATGCAAAGCTTAGCTTTAGCGGCCAGCTAGATATACATTTAAATTTAAGGTTTTTTATTTCTAAACTATTAGAACAATTATGGGTACTTAATTACTGTCTTAAATGTATACTTGAATAAGTTATAAAATATATAAAATATCAAGAATACACCAAAACCTGCTGATCGTTGTCTCGTCAGACTTGCATTTCCTATGGACAGTGCAGTAATCCAGTGACGTTTCACATCGTCTCAGTGCAACGTACTGACAACCAATTTCCTAGACCCATCCACTCGTCCCCCACGCATCTGTAAAGGGAACGCTGGTGAGGGACGGGAGCTCACAGTTCTGTGGACGGTATTAAATAGTGCAATAGTTTGAAAGGTCGTTGACATTACACTTGCTC